GATACATAGATAAAACTTCCACTATTTACTTTTAAAACTAATTCACGTCTTGAAGATTTTATAATTAATAAACAAGAAATTAAGAATACCTTATTGAATCTTGTCACCAATAAAGCTTCCGGTCCAGATGAAATTAGACATAAATTGTTAAAGGAAACATATCGGAATCTTTGCGTGCTCCACTTTGTTTACTTTTTAATCTCTCATTAAATGGAGGAATATATCCCGATTTCTTTGATAAACTGTGTTGGAAAAGTGATGGAACGTATTATATTTAAACATATGTATAACTATTTTCATAATAACTCATTACTATTTTCAAACTCAATCTGGTTTTTTGCCAGGTCACTTAACTGTTCATCAGCTTATTGATATTTATAATCAAATTTGTAAAGCTTTTGACAACATGTATTATATTTTGAGATATTTCAAAAGCGTTTGATCGAGTTTGGCATAAAGGTCTTATCTTCAAATTAAAACAGTATGGAATTCTATGAAACTTTATTTCATGGTTAAACAACTATCTTTATAATAGGTCTCAGAAAGTGTTTGTGTCTTCCTCTTTCTCTAATACTACATTACTTGGAGGAGTCCCCAAGGGATCCGCCCTTGGTTCTTTTTTATTTTTAATCAAGTTAATGGCATTGCCGAATCCCTCCTAAGTGTAACTAAACTTTTTGCCGACGACAGTTCGTTGGCAGTCTTATCTAAAGATGTCTCGTATATGGAAGAAATTCTAAATAAAGACATTATCATAACTACATCATGGTCTAAAACAATGGCTTGTTTATTTTAATCCAACAGAGGTCATGTTCTTTTCATTTTGTAATCGAAATAAACCGAATCGTTTTTTCAGCTTAAGTATGTAGACCACCATAATCATTTAGGGGTAACATTTAGTCAAGGTGGGTCATGGCCTGAACATATATCTATTATAGTAGTAGAAGATTTACCTTATTTTGTTTATACATGTACTATATTTATTTTCATATTGAGTTCATTACAATACTGCTGCAAATCAAGGTTTGGTGCGTTTATTCTAGTGGCAAATTAATAATGGCATATATTTTTTTCCATTTGATATCAATAAGTCATTTTTGATTTTCTTTGTTTGTTTTTTTTAGCTTAAGCGATTTTTTTTTTGCCAGTTAAAATACATGAAACTAATATCGCTTATCATATAACTATCTAAGAATTTCTAAAAACCACAGTTACTATGTTACCATTAAACCAAGAAGATAGACCTTTAGGGGAGGACCCTAGACAATGTTGGTAAAACTTTTGGTCCAACCTTTTTGTATGTACATTATATTTATTTTTAAGATAATGATGTTAAATTGTGTAAATTTATCATGCACAAAATTTATATTAAACTAAACCGAGATAAAATGTATGCCTTTTATTCAAAGTTAAATCAGCAAATTAGTGTATTAGAAATATGTGACGTCACTGTTTTTAAATACAAATTATAGTTAAAATATGATCTGTAAACACTAATGTCCGTGACAAGAAATTTCATAATTAATTAAATACACATGTATTTCTTAGTTCAGAAGAGTCCTTTAGAGTATTAACAAAATGGTGGTATTGAAGGTATTTGTTTCTAAAGAGCAACCGTCGCGAAAGTAAGAGAATTTACATGGTCGGATATCTTGGTGAGTGAGTGAGTGAGTGAATGAGTGAATGAGTGAGTAAGTGAATAAATGATTGAATGAATTGGTGAGTGATTGAATGAATGAATGAATGAATGAATGAATGAATGAATGAATGAATGAATGAATGAATTGGTGAGTGAGTGAGTGAATGAATGAGCGAATGAATTGGTGAGTGCGTGCGTGCGTGCGTGCGTGAGTGAGTGAGTGAATGAGTGAGTGAGTGAGTGAGTGAGTGAGTGAGTGAGTGAGTGAGTGAGTGAGTGAGTGAGTGAGTGAGTGAGTGAGTGTTCTGTAAATATACACATAAGTATTTCTTTATAGACTAACATCATAAGGAACATTAATGTCGAAACATTATTTTCATTACGTACCGTCATGTCATAAATCTCTTCAGTTGAGTCCTTTAAGTTATAAGGCATCCGCAAGAAATAAACAAATGATGGATTGGCCATGTTTTATGAAAGGACAATAATAATGGTTATAACATTAATGGGGGCATAAAAGCAAAGTCAGTTTATGAAAGTTTAAAAAGAGAAAATAATTTATTATGGATAGACTTGCATGCAGTCATCACAATTTCTTAACTTTTGTTGGTTATTTATTTCCCCTGTCTTTAATAGATGTAATAAGGTGTTTTTATGTAAAAGTCTTGTTCTAAGCGACGGCGTTTATGTCTAAATTGAGCTTATACACGATATACGCTTTTGGTTTTGTTGTTAATATAGTTCAAAATCTAGAGAATATGCCTATTTGGAGTTTACATCTACATTCACCCATTGCCCTTGTCGGCCGATGAATATACATTGTATATTGCTGGGATTCATTAATAAATAATATATATTATTGCCTCAAGTTTCTAGCTGCGCATTTTTATTTTCTATAGGCTAGGAGAAATTAATACAAGTAATAATAATGATGATGATGACGACGACGTCGACGATGATGATGGTGATGATGATATAATAATGATAAAATATATTAATAATAATAATAATTATGATGATGATCATGATGAATAAGAAGGAATATAACTGAGATGATGATGCAATGATACGGATAAGATTTCTCAACGGTTTCGTCGACTCAATGAAAATGTATGTATACAAGATGTCACAGGGTGAGAAAATTGTGAAGCCTGACCGGGACTCGAACTGAGCTATCCGGCCTCTTACACATCTTCTTCTCTAAAAGTGAATAGTTCTGAACCGTGATAAAATCCCCAGCTATATTGAAATTTGTCCTCGAGTAATGTAAATTAAACTCTGAGATTAATCCAGTCACGGTCCCCCATTGGGCGCCAAATGTCACAGGGTGAAAAAAATGTGCAGACTGACCGGGACTCGAACCCGGAACCCTGTAATACCTTACCGCGGCTCAACTGACTGAGCTATCCGACTACCATATTTTGAGAAATTTCCTTCTTGCATTTGTTAGAAAATGAAGTGAAAAATAAAACAATGTTATCATTATAATATTAAAATGAGAAATAAGATTTTTTTCTAATCATTATATAAGATAAATGAAAACATGAAAAATAATTGAACATGGGATGGAACTTGTTCTTCATCTTACGATGTATATTTTAGAAATAAATACTAAGTAAAAGAAAAAAGATGTTTAAAACGGAATACTGTTTCTGTTTTCAATAGGCAAGGCTTTTTCGGGATTAATCACAATAGGCATCAACACTTCCCTCAGCAATACCACAAGCATTTCTTCAGATATTCAACCGGAAGTAGAAAGACAAGTTAATTATCAATTAATTCGTCACTCTCGAATAATATACAGGAAATTGGCATTTATTGATTTGTTTATTTGTGTTCATTGTCCGGTTCTGTTTTAACATAGTCACAAACAGTCCAACAGATAACTGAATATATATAAGACGCACATGACACAAACGTTGTTACGTTGTAGCAATTACCTTATATGTAAACTAAATAGCCTAGTTGATAATACGAAACAGTTCATTGTCAGAAGCATATCGGAAGGCTTGAATACAACTACATTTACTAGAGAGTAGAGATTAAAGTCACCGAGTTTACCGTCAACATACTTAGACATACTTTTCGCCCTCAGTTTGAACAAAGTATGTTTTCGTTAGCTTTATTTCTCGCGCATTATTGAGAATATCTAAATTCACATCTTGAAACAAAATACTAAAGGGTTCGTGTTTGGCTGCAATGATATAACATTAGGCACAAACAAACATGTCTGTTTTCCAACCGCGCACAAGTGATCTAACGTGTAATAGTACGTTATCTTGTATGCATATACGACAAACAATAGGTAACGTTTTAATAATATACAATTTTGTCTAAGGTATCGAAGTATCGCAAGGCAAACAATGAGCCATATTCTTTAAGCTTCGACGACTGTACTTTCACGTCAGTTCAATTTAATGTAAAATGCATTAATCTTATAAGCCTGTGTTCTAAAAAATATTTAATCCAACTCATTCAGAATAGGTCACGCATCCATGTTATTTCGTCTTGTTATAGGATGGCTGTAAAACCTGTCAAATATATGATTCTTGTACAGTCTATGTTTATATTAGTATTCTAGGTGAATTTGAAAACAAGGTGGTTTTACTAATCAAGACAATGCTTTCAAAATTAAAAAGAGAAATAAAAGCTTCTGACAATTGTCCCTAAACATATATTTTGCCGATGGTCCTTCAGTGGATTTAAATTTGCAGTGTCTATAAAATTTATCATTATAGATGCAGATTACCCACATTTAAATGAATTCTTGATACCGTCGACAGACTAAAATCAAGTAATTAAACTTAACTGAATATATTATCCTGAAATACATGCTTGTTTTCATATAGGTGCAGTTTACCCAGATATATTTCTATCAGACTGAACAGTTATGGATGCAGTTTACCCAGATATATCTCTATCAGACTGAAAGTTAATGGGTGCAGTTTACCCAGCTATATCTCTATCAGACTGAAAGTTTATGGGTGCAGTTTACCCAGATATATATCTATCAGACTGAAAGTTTATGGGTGCAGTTTACCCAGATATATCTCTATCAGACTGAAAGTTTATGGGTGCAGTTTACCCAGATATATCTCTATCAGACTGAAAGTTTATGGGTGCAGTTTACCCAGATATACCTCTATCAGACTGAAAGTTTATGGGTGTAGTTTACCCAGATATATTTCTACAAGTTTGAAAAGCTATGAGTCCAGTTTATCCAGATATGAAAAAAAATCAAATTGGCTCTCCGATTTGCCTTTGATTGGTTCCCTCCCTTCGTTTTTAGGAAGAAATTTTAATAATAAATTTTAAATAAAATGCGATAATATTCTTCCTGTCGAGAAATAAACAAAGACGGTTATAAAAAATATCTCTTTTGTCTGTTTTTTGTATAAGCAACAATATAAATATAATCATGTTCATATATAAAATGATTGAATAGTAAAAACAATCTTAAATTGCATGTCTACTTTATTGACGGTCATTTTGTTTTCTTATATCAATGATACTTTAATAGCTAAACCATCGAAATAAGTACATTCACATTTGTTATTTTTGTTCTCTTTGAATATGTGATATTATTTTTAATTGAAACGTAAATTTTCTTTAAACATGATATAAAGGAATGTGCTATTACAATTTTTCAAGACATCAAAAGTCCTTAGTTTTCATAAACTAGATACCTTTACATCTTTACATTAGCACGAGTCACTTGCATTTTGATCACTCATTAAGAAGTCAAACTTTGCTTTGGTAAGTTTATTTGTCTTTTCCACCCTGGCTTCTACAACCACTTCCGTCCCGCCAAAAATCATTTGAACAAACACACCGCGATCTTTCCCGCCAGAAAGATCCGGAACGTCCACTTCCAGTTGGCCCACATACGTACATCCGACATCCGTCACATAAAGTGGTTCTTCTTCAGTCGATGTATACACGTCAAAAACTAAAGATATCTGGTCAGCTTCGAGGGGTGTGTAACGTTGTTTGGATTGCGCCTCCCCCACAACAAGCTCCTGTCCCTTTTTAACATGGGTAGCAAACACATCCTTACATTTTATTTTTCCTCCAATCGTTACTTTCTTGTTCGCCGGATGGACGCCATTTTGGAAATCTCGATAGACACGGATACCATACGAGTACTTGGCAATGCGAGAGACAATTGTCACAGGATTATGTCCAAATATAACAGCCCCTTTCAAGACAGCTAAGCCAGCTTCTTCTGGTATGATAAGTCTCTTGTCTGGAAAATTCTTTCGGATAGCGTCTTGAAGTAACGGCGATTCTGAAAACCCTCCAACTAAAAGAATTGAGTTCGTGTTTTCGCTGGACTTCTGCTTAAAGATCTCTTTTACATGCTTTACTGTGTTGTTGCAAGATTCATCGAACCATGACCTAAATATTCCTGCTTCGACTCTCAATTTGTCGCCAGCCCACGAGACCTTGTCGGCATACTCTTTCTTTGTTGTGACAAACTCTTTCAGATTTTTGCCTGTTACTTCTTTGAAAATTTCAGCAAGTCTAACCGGGACTTTAATTGTCTCTTTGGACCTTTCACCACCAGCTCCTTTTCCTTTTACCCCTCTCTTTTTAGTCTCAAACTCTCTAAATAGGATAACCCAATCTTCTTTGGCATCCTGCATGAACTTGTCGAAAACGGATTTGCCCTTCCGTGTATCAGTATCTATAACAAAAAAAAAGGTTTTCTTCATCAATATCTTTAACATACAAAAATTATAACTGTTTGTGACTTATATGCATGATGCTTATATCATATAGTCTGGAACAAACATTTCATGATTAATCGATACTGCTTATGAATTGCGGTTCCTTCCATGAAGCTATTTTGAATGTATTAAAATGGAAAGTTATTCTTACACATAGCTGAAAAGATATCACGATCTTGTTAAGTTGAGACAATATGTTGTTAACGTTTACTCTTGCCATGGAATGACATTTGTTAGTTTTGGATAAAGATCTATCCATGCAACAAGTGAAAACACGAGGAAGCCATAGATGGACAATAGAAAACAAACAATTTGGAAGAAACGCCCAGATGATAACAACCTAGCGAAAAATAAAACGAAATGAGTTGACAGTAATAAACACATAAAAATAAATATATTTCAGCCGAAAAAAATGCATGAATGTTAAATTTGTAATATTGCACTTTTCATCTTCAAAAAAAGAAACAATTGTTTTTCATACCAACAATGCTCCGTAGAAATTTCTCAAACGCCGCATCCACACACGTTCCACCCCACGCGCCACCGCTTGCGTAATTAAGTTCTTTCAGTTTACCATCTTCTACAACTTCGTGGATGGTTATATCAACAGTCCCACCTGAAATGACAAATTGAGAAATGTGAGACGATGTTGATTACGTCCACTACCGTTTTCATCAAGACATTGCAGAATGAAAACTCGTTCATGAAATTGACTAAAACTTTGCATAATCTTAGAATACAGATTTGATAACAGAAACATTATTGATGAAAACATTTCGGGTTTACATTCGGGTTTAAGTTATCGGCCCACCTGAAACCGGCTTAAACGGAAAGTGATAATAGTGATTATATATATATATAGTGATTATAAGCCCTTGCCAACAGTCTAAAAGTCAATATTTTTTGTTTCAGAACTAGAATAGAGTCATACCAGTCTGCACATTCGTGCAATCTGCCCCAGACCGGTCTATACTGTCGGTAGCTCGATTTTGTTATCAATATCACTAAAATGAACTGTTCGAAATTTAAAACCAGACAAATCAATTACACATATTCATCAGGTAAAATGTGAACAACGTTCATTCATCGGGCCTTCAGATTATAAAATTTTGTTCATACGTCAGTGTAAATTCTGTTGCAGTTCCTGACCTATCAATTAACTGAGATATGAGTTTGAACTAAGAGGATTTCTTTATAACCTTGGAGCCTGGTTGTGAGCCGCTGCTTTTACGTAAGAAACGATAACAAACTGACTGTGCCAACAGTACAGTATAGGAGCCGGCTTATTGGTTGCATATTCAACAATTGTGCATCATTGAACCACGATAATCAACTAGTTCTTTGAAGTGCAATAGAAAGCCCCATTATGGCGGTTTGGGGCTTCATATTTTAATGACTCATTGATTTGAAAAAGGGTAACTGCTTGTATTTTGGATAGCAAGAAAAACTCGCGACTGCGGGCTATTGGACCGATGCTGTAAATGATTGAATTGCTTTTTCTTACCTCCAACATCTAGGACCATGTATCGAGTCCCTTTGGTAAACGGTGAGATCTTCTGTGTTTTTGTTTCGGATCCTCCGTGAATTTTGTCGACCGGCAGATTCATACAGAACAGGGACGCAGCCTCTGGTTCAAGGGCGATAATTAGACTTTCTTTGTCGATTCCCGCCTAAATGAATACATGAACAGTTTGTCGTTATTTTTAATTGACTTCTTGTTTTCGCATAAGAAAATTAAGTAAATAATTGTGATAAGTCCGTGGAGCGTCACGTGCCTACAGATGAGTAAACAAAAATTTTGATCAAGGTGTGAATACATATGCAAAACCCATAAGACAATATACATGTTACATGAAACATGGTTGAAATAACACTAACGGTCAAAGGGAAGCAACTTTTACAGGAGTAAAAATATTGATATACGTAAATATATTTCTTTCCCCAGTTCCTTATGGAGTTTACTGTAACCGTATATAGAACTTCTAACTTATTGAGGAAATGTGTGAATTCAGCCGGGTAGCTCAATCGGTAGAGCTGTTGAACGCTATTCCAAAGGGTTAGGATTGAAGACCCAACATGATTGCACATTTGTCTTATCCAGAGTCATTGCGAAGTGCTTTGTGTTCCCATCAAATATCGAAGTGCTGTCTGTGCCGTTCAGAACTTCGAGGGCGAATTCCAATATATTGGGGGAGTATGTCACTGTACAGAACTGTTCAGTTATAAGAGTATTCCGACAGCGCCGGGTTTATTCTGTACACTTTCCAACTCTGTTACACACATTTTAGGACATGTGGATTATAAATGCCTTATAAATACATACTTGAATTATTACATTTCTTAGATTAACATAAATCATGTACTAACGAGGATATATACTACCGAGGATGTGTAATATGATTATGTTATTGCGCCAGCTGAGACATAACAAAATTTTCAATAGTATATCTGACGATACACTAAAATGCAAAAGAGACTAACTTTTTCGGCAGCTTCCCTCATGAACTGTTTGGCTCCATCATTCCATATAGCAGGGACTGTCAGAACCCAGCGAATGTCACCTGGTAATATGCCGGTCATTCTGTATAAGTTAAACAAAATACATTTTTCTTCATTTTGTTAAAAAATGTCGTTTTCTTTCGCACCGACGATTCGAACTTACTATCCCAACGTAGCCGCAAGTGATATTAATTCATTCTGATAGTCTGGATGGTCTCAAAACACGCTGTATTTGATCAGATCCAGTATGATATATTTCTTGAAAATAGTTTAAAAATGAAATATTTTGCATATGTTCTGGCAGCATTTTAAGGATGTTGAGGTGCTTTATTTTATCTGATTAGTGCTTTTCTCATTTAACATCATAATAAAATTTATATTGAAACAGGTTCGTATAGATTTAAGGACGAGTAATTTGAGACTCTCATAAAACTGGGAATGGTGACTTAGTGGTTATGATGTCTGACTCTCAACCTAGGGATCATGGGTTCGACCCCTACTCGCGTCACGGCCATATTTTCTAATATGATACTGTCACTGTTTAGATCCAGTAAACGGAATCGAAATTGAGCTATCAGTCTAAGTTTAAGAACCTTGTTTCTCTCTTGAGATGCAATAAACATGTTTAAATGCTAAATTACAGTTTTGGTGGTTTTCATGGTGAGCTCTTTCCTTGTATGTTTTACCATAGGAACTCTGGAACAGGACCGCATATTGCGGCGCATAAATCCGAATCCGTACCGGCTTTACATATTGTTTGTCCGACCTTTGAATATCTTTTCATATTATGCGAGCGGGTGGTCTTTAATTATCTAATCTCAATTAAATGTAATCTGCTAATATAAAAATCAGTCAAATATACGGTATATTGAAAAAAGAAAAGGAGTGACATCCGCCATTTGCCGCAACGTTCGGCGTAAGTTACCCCCCCCCCCCCCTTGATATGCTTGATTTTTGTTTTAATTTTTCTAGTAATGAATACGAGATGAGTGCCTAAATATTTATCTATGGATCATGTTTAAATATTCCTTTTTTCAGTTAGACAAAATCAGTTGGACCATATTACTAAAGTGTCTGTTTTCTCCATTTTAACAAATCAATACACGAATACGCCCGTTATAATGCCGCCTATACATGTTAACACCTGTACAAACAATAAACCGTTGGACGATACCTGATAGTTGACAAAAATAACGGGAACAAAATTCTGAAAAAAATAGTAATCAATTGTAGCCAAAGGGGAAAAACTCATGCCGAAAACGTTGGGGCAAATGGCGGATGTCACTTCTTGTCTTTTTTTATAATACCGTAAAATTTGACCAATTTTAAAAGAGACAGATTGGGTTTAATTGATAATATATTTTTTGAGTCCATACACTCGGATAATACTAAAAGATATTTAGATGTAGCAGAAACGTATTTAAAAACCGTTACAAGATCGAAAATATACGCCGCAATCTGCGGTCCCGTTCTCGAGTTCCTATGTGTTTTACTACTTTTACTCATGTCTGCACACAAACCCGTTCATCGCCCCTTAAAGCCACATTCAGCCTGGGAAATGAATATGATTTTCCTCAGAGGAAAAGGAATATATGCCTTTTATGAAACAACTGATGAAGGTCATTTTACATTAGTATCTTGTAGTAATAGTAGCCTTGTGTGAATGTGACGTAAATATAACAAAAATAGCAAAACATAAACAAAATGGTAAATTGTCTTCCGTTCAAAATACTATATACTAATATATACTACAAAATAAATTCTTTCTATCTAATCTCTTTACTAATGACTAAGTCGGCGTCCTTGGCCGAGTGGTTAAGGTAGTTGATTTCAAACACTTGCCCCTCACTGAAATATGTTCGAATCCCGCCAGGATTTAGGACTCATGTGAGGAAACATTCCACCTAGCTACGGAACATTGTTGGTTCTACTCAGGTGCTCGCTCGTGCCTGAAATAATGCACGGAGGGGCACCTTAGTTCTTTACCAACCGGTCCAGTAAGGCTGGAATATCGCCAATGACCTCTCCTGTGTCAGTGTGATGTAAAACCCATCCAAAAAAGAACAAACAAAAAACTAATGTCTAAGATGAACAAAATATGGATCAGCAATATGTCAAATGAGTACTGTTTTGGAAACTGTAAATGTAAACCAAGCATAAAAAGCTTTTGGAAAATAAAAGTATGGTACATTTGATGTTTTCATGGGCCTTTGAAAAGGTCAATTATTTTACAGGAAATAATTATCCAATGTCACAATATTCTCATACCCTATGGTAGGTCAAAGGCCCTCTACACAGATAAATAAATGTACAGTTTAGATTATTGTCATCAACATCATCATCATCATTGTCATCAACTTTGTGAACGTAGTCAAAATTCATAGCGTCACCATGATTATAATAATCATCAACAACAATCATTACATAATCACTATCCGCCATTATTTAACATAAAGAATACCTTTTATTAAGTGTTTCCATGAGGTGTTTTCTTAGATATTTGATTGATATACTAAACACTTGAAGGGCAGGCAACATACGTCCTTTGTCATCTGGGATCATAACGTCTCTCGTTAAATGATCACCCTATTAAAGAGAAAAAGAGATATATCACGTCTGATTTATTGTATGATTTATTGCAACAATTACTAAAACCAAATCCTTAGTTATATCAACCTACAGTTTCTCTTCGTTTTCTCATTTCGTTCGGGCCAAGTTGTTAAGGAATCTCTAAACCAAGGGATCGAGGTTTGACAAGATCATGGGTTCGAGCCCAACTTGACTGTTGCGAATTATTTTCTTATATACATTTGCTTCTAGACTTTCAGAAATTGTCTAATTTAGAGCCGGCTTTTTATAACTTTATGCTGTTCTTGTAGATAATTTATAGTGCATGTACCTAAACCGCTTGCTACCAATTTCGATAAAATATAGAACAAACTTACACAAGGTACTTAAGCTTCTTGATAATCGACATGGTCCTTTTATGAAATATGTTTCAAACTGACGGGTGTGGCGTGAACAATAAATCACGTTAGTACAACAATAAATAAACAATGTGTATGCTTCTTAATATTATATTATACAACAGAAAAACTATGGAAAAAAATCATGAACCAACAAATATCTTTAAAAGTCTATATAAAATTTAAACATTATAAGAAAATAACGGCTATTTATTACCCAGGTCGAGGAAAGAAGGTAATTGGTGTTTAGGTAGAGCATCGGACGCCTATTCTGGAGACCGTATGTTCGAATCCCACCAGTGATGAATTTCTCTGCCAACTTTTAGAATCAGCATTGGTTCAATTACTGATAACAACACCGTGGAGGCAGCCATATAACATCTTAAATAGACGTGTACGTCTATTAATCTGGACAAAATCTAATGGTAATTTTAGGGAAAATTTAGAAATAGATACTGACTGAATGAAAACAGTGAAGACAATGATCTAACGGCATGATCGTGGTCTGCATTGGCAGCATTGGTAGATTGAGTTGCCGCCAATAATGAAGGGCTTGTCAGTCTCAAACATTTTAAAATACGGTGCAATTAAAGGTTACGTAGGTAAGACTATAGATTTCGTCTTCGACAACAAAACCACACCAGAATGAGTTCATTTCCCATCTGGGAGACTGAATTCATATTTTTCAAATGCGCGAGTTAGGTCAAGTGCCAAGAATAATCAGGGGCACGTGATTTCTTTCTCCTTCAGTACAGCTTGTGAATCATCAGAAAACTAAAATGTATGTGTTGATATCAAATCGGACTCAAACCACGAATGAATAAAGCCCCTACGTGAGCCTACTTACCGCCACCTTGTGTAGGAGCATTTTGAATCGCCGGTAGTAGTAATATTTCTCATGGTCTCCTTCACCTGCTATTTCTGAATATTGTTCTTCAGCTTCGTAACCAAAGGCAACGATCTCTTTCTTATTATCAAGAAGAAGAATGGTTGGTGTTTTTAACGACATGAGTCCGGCACAGCCGGACACCCAACTCGTATTTGCTGCCACTTTCGTTGGATCTGTTTCATAGTCATGATTAAAGGAAAATGCGTATCCAGAAAATGTTGTCCCGAAGTCGATAGCCGCCACAACTACTTTTCCACTTTTACTCTTCCTTTCCCCTTCTTTACCACCTTTCGTTGCCATGGTAATGTTGCTGTTAAGTATCTACCACTTCACTCATGAGCTAACCACGAATATAATAAAAAAATGACAAAAAGAAACATAATTCAAAATGCAATTTCCGTGAATAGTTATATTAGAAATTGGGAAATAAAAAGCACAATTATCAAGTTTCAACAAATTTATACCGCTAAATCACTGTTATGTATAAGGCGAAAACGAAAGTAGGCGATGAATAAATTTTGTATAAAGTAACACCAAAAACCTGCACTAACAATCTGTACAAGTCGAGAAAGCACAATTATTAAGTATTAACACATTTATACCGCTAAATCACTGTTATTTATAAGGCGAAAACGAAAGTAGGCGATGAATAAATTTTAATTTTGTATAAAGTAACACCAAAATCCTGCACTAACAATATGTATAAGTAAAGATTAGAAAATAGATAACATTAACTACACTCCGTTATCATTTAAACAAAATAAACTTACTATAAAGTTTCATGCAAATACGAAACAAACTTAAACGAGATAAAAGTGAATACATGTACCATTTATTAAAAGTTAAAATAGTACACACTTTCTGTTTTAAAAACCAGTTTAAAGCACCTCCATTCACATACGACTCTTCATACAACTTAACCCCTCACAAAAATATCTTACACAAACTTCTTTTCTTCAAATCGATCCTTTTAAAAGCAATATTGATCGCCTACTTTAAACTTCCGGGTACACTTTACAATTAAGGCTAATGTTCACGTGACAATACATGGTCAATATATAAGTCACTAAATATAGTAAATTATTTTATTCTTATTGTAGATTCTAATTAATTAAATGTACGAGTTGGTGCCTTATACTAGGACATATACCCGTTTACTATAATCAAAAGGAGGTTTTTAAGCATGACTTACCATGTTTAGTTATGTTTAATTTGTTAAAAACTCGGGATATAATCCTTTACACTAGATGTATTCAAAAATAAACTTACCCAAATTGGATCGAAATCGAAAGTAGCTTTCTATTCATTTAAATATACATGTATAATAATGACACTCCCTATAACCGACTTTTTTGTAGTTTGATGTCCAATCTTTTCAAGGAAGATAAACATCACGACAATAAATGCTACTACTTTTCATGGAAAAAGAATAACATTATACTTCCGGTTTAAGAAGTAATCAAGCCGAGATGAAATAAAACTAAATCAGAGATTAAACTTTATATCAAAGTGTTTAATTTAAAGTTAAGAACATTCATATATGTCACACGGACTTTTGAGGTAAGTTAAGAGGCTTCGCTTATGCCCCCTTAAAGCAGTACGCCTCTAGATGTAGTTGATCTTTTCGATATTAAAAAAAATGCTTTTGTTCAAGTGTTTTTAAGGGTTACGAGCCATAAATGAATCTGTTAATTTCGACTAATGTCGGGTATTACGGAAAAATCGCCGGAGCCGCCCATTCGGAACTGCCTCTATAATAACGGACGGAAAGGGCCGAGTAGTTGCGATTGCTACAGTGTTTGTACATCTGTGTCACGTGACAGGGAGTTTTTCCGCAGTGACGTCATTGTACCAATATGGCAGCGGCTTACATTCCTTGTTAGGCATGTAATCCTAAATCTTGTCTAAGGCACTTGATATTCATAGAAATAACCTTAAACGTATCAAAATATTCTAAAGTAGTCTTTACTTCGTGACAAATTATGTAAAAATGAATCCCGTCATATTCTGCATAAAACATTGGTATAACAAGTCTAATATATACCTACAGCAGGTGCAGGTAGCCAATGGAACTTTGTCTCACTGCTCGCACAATTTGGAAGCTTTTTTTCTGTACTTCGATATTGAAATCCTTAAAACCTTTAATGGACTGTATACATGTAACTAACAAAGATAACAAAAAATCGAACTTCCGTTTGAAAGCCATTGACCATAAATTCTTGCGTAAAACACAACCAAACAATAGGTAAATGATTTCTGCGTTCTTATCCATTTGACCATAGACGGTAGATACATATCTAAAACGAAAGGAACAGAATACAACGACGAGTACATGTATTTTTGTAAGAAATAATAATAAAACGTTGCGCTACCCGACAAATTTAATTTACTTCCAGGTACAAACATTTTATACATATTTTAAATGTGAAAGATGGCAATAGTTTGGGTTATCAGGTACATGTATTTAAATTCACGCACATTAAAAGGTGTGATATCTTTCGTACAAGGTTTACTCGTATCATCAAGAAGATATCTATAAGTACTTGATATCAACATCACAATACTTATACCATGATATACAGCATATGTCAGATTGTATCCTTAATAAAAGATCAATTGAAAACCTAACCCTTACCCCCTGGGCAAAACGGTGGCTACCATGCTAATCTTTAAACCTGAAATAAAGAACCCGTCCTACGGTGACAATCAGGTGATAAAATTTCCACTCAAAGCCCCGGTAATGTAAATTGAACAGTTCCCTATTTTGGTGTCAAAACAATCATCTAATTAACCGGACAGTTCGAGGGCAGAAAGCAATTAGAATCTTGGGGCCTTTTTACCCGCATTGTATTTAGTGTGATGGACTGTGTTACAATTTACTGGGGAGTTCAAAACTTTTACTGCAGTATGCATTTCATGACAAACGCACGCATGTTCAGGATACTCCGGTTCTGTAACAAAATATTTGAATGCCTGTTGAAAAGATTAAAAAGAAATAACAAACAACCAAAACATTAAAATGGCTAAATTTTGAAATATTCATACAAAGCATTTAATATGCTATGAGAGGTCCATACAGAGAAAAATTAACGAATCATGTAATTCGTGAAAACTGTTATATACAGTACAACTTCTTCCGAGTTGTCCTCCGTAGACCAATCGCCTCTTTACTTCACACTAAATTTAACCTCTGTACGGCAAAACCTCTCAGCTGCAACCAATATATTTGTCTCTCAATACCTCTCAGCTGCAACCAATATATTTGTCTCCCAACACCTCTCAGCTGCAACCAATATATTTGTCTCCCAACACCTCTCAGCTGCAACCAATACATTTGTCTCCCAACACCTCTCAGCTGCAACCAATATATTTGTCTCCCAACACCTCTCAGCTGCAATATACATTTATAGCTCTTTGAAAAAATGCAAAGTAAAATGTAACATAATGTCTTGTAATTTCATATGCAGGCACGGACTTTTTACGAATCCTGTTCGCATTTGTAAGCATTTTCTATCAAGTCGGTTTGATATCCTTCGTAGTGTAAGGCATAGAGTGTTTAAATAAATACAAATTGGGTGATATCTGTCACGTTACATAAAGGACTTGCAAAATTCCGTAAACAGTCATGATAAAAAAAGACCGAAAGATTTGTTTGTGATTTAGAGATGACCTCTAACTAAGCAATGATATTAAACAAATATGTGATGCAAAATCACGCCATATTTTTTATGTTTTATCATGAACAGATAAAAAATGGAGGGTGTCACAGGACAGCAACAAGCTCATAAAAATATGCATGCAGGCATTGACTTTGAACATTTGCAAGGTCAAAGTCAAGGTCAATCTTATGCACGGATAAACCCACCAAAAGACGTTGCTAGAGAAGCAGAAGAAATCATGGATTTCCTTAAAACCATTAGAGTTCAACACAGAGGATTGCGCGATAGTGCCGAGTCATTTAGTCAACATGAAGCTGCTCAGATTTTGTCGTCATGCAACGATAAGTTGTTGGCTTTCTGTTTGGCAAACAAGGTAATCGTTAATTGTTATATTTGAAAATGACTTTTTCAAACTTTTGACAACTTTTCGCGTTAATCTATGTCTTTTCCAATTTCAATCGATGCAACATTTACCGGGAAAATATTCCAGAAATGTCATTGAGCTTTATATCAATATCAAATGTATTAATAATGTTTGTTGTTGATGATGATTATTTTGCTGCTGCTGTTTGGGATGAAGGTGAAATCGAAAGGTGGTTTGGAGTTCGATTGAGGACTCATTTTCATAATTATTACCATTATTATTATCAATATAAATTGATAAAATATCTATAAGTCCACTTATAGTTTTGTTTTCCCTCATTTTTAGCTCACCTGTCACAAAGTGACAAGGTGACCTTTTGTGATCACAATTCGTCCGGCGTCAAGTCCGTCCTTCGTCCGTCTTTAAACGACATCTCCTCATAAACCACTGAGTCAAATTCATCCAATCTTTACTAATGTTCATTTGGTGGTAAAAAATATATTAAAACACAAATAGCTAGAGCTTAGATATTTGGCATGAAACATCTTCTAGTGAGTTTCTTCCAAGTCAGTTCAAATAAAAGCCCTGGGGACAAAATTGGCCCTCCCCGGGATCATTGATTTCTCTTATATGTATGAAGTAAAAACTTCAATTAGTTGGTACTTAGATACTTGGATTGAAACATCTTCTAGTAAGTGTCTATCAAGTTTAGAAATAAAAACCTGGGGACCAATTAGCCCTGCCCCGGTGGGTCTTTGATTGTCCTTATATGTACATTGTATATAGTAAATACTTAAAAAATCCTCTTTTAAAAAACACAAATAGCTCTATAGCTAGAGCTTAGATATTTGACATGAAACATTTTCTAGTGAGTGTCAACCAAGTGTGTTCAAATAAAAGCCCTGGGGTCAAAATTGGCCCGGCCCTAGGGGCTAGAGCTTAGATATTAAGCATGAAACAAGCTAATACTTTTTTACAAGATGACTCACGATCTTACAGCAAATTATCTACTTCCACCATCCGTAGGCGATATTTCAAGATAGAAGTACAAATGTTGATGCACTGCAGCAATTGATAAGCTCCGCTTAAAATATGCGCTCATTACAGATACCTTACCAAATCATTCTTACGCACAGGTCATGTTCTATTCAGATTTAGTACTATTGTACATTATGTCAGATGCCAGACTATACCTTATGTTTAAACTTCAGGCGAAAGTTTCTGTTGCTAAAATGTCACAGTATTCGGTAAATCAACATTCCACTCAAACCACCATAAAACCGATTGCCTTCAAACAAAATAGAAACAACTTCTTACAGCATAAATTCGGGAAATTAGGGTCGATTTAAATATTTACGTTAAAAATGTCATTCGTAGAAAATGAAGGAGCAATTAATTTACCGGAAAGAACCTACGAAAATACAATTTCAAAATGATAATACTATATGATATAACAATTTGTAAAATGGCCTTCTAATGTTGTTTCAATAAATTTGTAAAGAGTGCAATTTATTGTTGAATATATTTGCATTTCATTTACTGCAAAATTCTCCAGTTCGTTATTTATTGTAAAACGACGTGAATGACCATTTTGTTTAGTTTCAAAGATACTTCTATAAATAGATTTTCGGACTTTCACAATGTAAGTTAGGTCACCTATATGTATTAATAGCTTTCGCAAAAAATACATACATAACCCACTGTGTACTACAAAGTAATAAGTAATTGCCTGTAGAAGATAAAAAATGTAAGAAATAAATTACCGTATTTAAGTTTAGTTTTTGTTTTGTCTTTTATACTGCCTACGTGAAATTTGTTCCCGTTCTCATTCATTAATATGACAGGCTGCGAATCACCAAAGAGAAACCAATTTATAACTTTACGTAATAGAAATCTGAAGGAATTCTTGAATCCGAATTTATTTTTAGCTGTAAGTCGAAGGGATTAATTGATAAAAATCGGGTCCATGGACAAAAAAGTGTGGGCGCGGAACACTAACTTACGTAATGCCGAGGACATCCAAACCGTACGCACAAAAACAACAATTTATTGAAATACCTTCTTGCCTTGCTGTCCGTAATACAGAACTGGAATTAATTTTCCTCCGAAATTCGAAATTCTTCATCACTATCATCTTCCAAATACAAATTGAAACATAATCTAAAATGTCCAAATATTTGTACATTTGGAATAGAAAACTGCAAGTTCTACACACACGGCTTCGCACCGGATGTAGTTCACTTAATCACCATCTTTTCAGCAAAAAACATTTCTAAGTCAGAACTATGTAGCTGTAGTCTTACTGAAACTACACACCTACCCACTTTATAATGGAACAAGAGAACGTTTCATGAACATCTTATCAAACTACTGTACTGTAATGCTGCAAACACTACTATAGGGCGACTATAACATGAGTGATAATACTAACTGTTATATTTTTCCTGCTGTTCAAGATTTTATCAGTAAAAGCAAGAGATTTCCGTAAGAACGATATCCTTCTTTTATCAATGCCATACTGTTAGTGCCGTCTGGAAATATTTTCTTTTCTCTGCTATCTCACTTCTTCGTTTCCTCTCTTTTTCAGATAGCTGATTATATTACAAAATATATTTTTCAAACCTTCTTCTAACCAACTACAAACTCATAACATAAAATTTCTTCTTATTAGATAATTACTCATTGTACTTTCAAACATATCCATATATGGATAAGACCTTTATAAGCATCAGCTTTCGGTTCTGACCAATTTTCATTTATTTAATGTGTTGTAAAGTTCTATTTGTAAATTGTAAATGTGTATGTTTGTTTGAAATAAACAATGTTTGAACTGAAGCATGAAACACATTCTAGTGGGTGTTTATCAAGTTTGTTCAAATAAAAGCCCTGGAGTCAAAATTGGCCCTGCCTGGGGGTCATTGATGTATATGGTAAAAGTCTTCTTTAAAAAGAACAATTAGTTAGAGCCTAGATATCAAGCATGAAACATCTTATAGTGTGTGTTAAAAAAAGCCCTTGGGTCAATATTTGCCCCGCACCAGGGGGTCCTTGATTTTCCTTTTATGTATAAAGAAGAAACAAAAAATCTGCTTTTAGAAAACCCAAATAGCGAGATAGATAGAAAGCATGAAAAATCTTCTAGTGGGTGTCTACCAAGTTTGTTCAAATAAAACCCTGGGGTCAAAATTGGCCTCAAGGGGGTCGTTGATTTTTTTAATTGTACACATATTTTGGAACTGTTTTTCCCTAACCAATAGCAACCAGTAATGTTTTTACACATGCACTATTTCAGATACAAATATGAACTTTGTGATATCAGTTTAAGATTTAGACTTTATATCTGCTTTTGTTTATATAGTTTACAATATAACTTGATCCTTCTCATGAGAGTTTCTATATTCAGGTGAGCGATTTCAGGGCCATCATGTTGATTTATTTAAGTGTAAACTGGTCTTTAGGTTGCATCGTATGTCAGCAAAGTATCCGTTTAATTCAATATGGACCACATTAACATGTTTGACTGTATTTATCATTTTTTCTTTTTTTCTATGAGTACAGAGGAAATTTATGCCTGAAGCAGGACAGAGGACGTTGAAATTAGAGAAAGAGAGAGAAGAAGATCAGAAACTTATACAGCATTTAGAAGCCAAAGTAGCAAAACTAGACAGGGAATTAAAAGAGGCGCTGAAAACAAAGGAAAGTGCTTTGAATAGGTAACTTGAATAATGAATTCAGTTTATATTTACCTCTGATACTAATAAACAATCACTAATACCGATTCATAATGAAGACTAAGCATTTTAAAACAAACATGTTTGACATTTCTGAAGAATTTGAAAATATAGATTTCTGAGGCATAATGTGCTTTTAAAGGGGTTTTAATAATAAAAATAATAACAGTAAAGGGTTTGGTCAGACTGCACATATTTGTAGGCTAGCCTGGTTCTATTGTTATGACAAAAAAGAGCCGCGTCATGACAAAACCAACGACCAGCATGGATCCAGACCAGCCTGCGCATCCGCGCAGTCTGATCAGGATCCATGCTGTTCGCTATTAGTTTCTCTACTTGTTGTAGGGTTTGTAAGCGAACAGTATGGATCCTGATAAGACTGCGCGGATGCGCAGGCTGGTCTGGATCCATGCTGGTCGCAAACCCATTATGTTGGTTTTGTCGTGACGCGGCTCAAATGGTTTCAGTATTTTAAAAACAATAAGTCAATTTTCGCGAGTTTAAATCAACAGGCTCAGTGAAGTCCAGTCTCGTCTGCTGAAACAAGGAAATCCGGAAATAGCTGACCTGAGTGATGAGAACCGACCAACAAATCTAGGTCAGAGGTTCAAGCAGTTATACGAGGACGAGTGGACCGATGCATTTGAATTTTTGACAGAAAAAATGGCAACAGACTTTCGTGTTGATGATCGCAAAGCCATTAGTATTCTATATGAAATGTTAAAGGTACATTAAGCATTATATAAACATTATACATAAGCATTAACGTGAAAACCCTTATTGAAATGTGCAGGCTTGTCTGGATCCATGCTGGTCGCAAACCCACTATGTTGGTTTTGTCGTGACACGGCTCATTTGACTTTTTACATAGATCAATTTGGGCACTTTAAACAGAAAAAGATGATAAAGAAATATACATGTATACAGAACTAAATTTAAAAAAAATCGTTGTGTTATTTGAAGCCCATTTTGAGTGAAAACGTTAACACGCTTCTCAATTTTGGGTATTTTTTATAAGTTACGAATAATTATTCTGTAAAAACAGAGTGAGCGAATGATCTGAAATTTTTCACAAAAATTATTGGTCAAGACCTACATAAAATGGAACATAAATGGTGAAATAAATATTTCCAGTCCCGCAATGTCAAATAACTTCAATGGAATCCCTTTATTTCAAATATTCTTAGGACATTCAAAGCATGTGTCCCTCATGGAAAAAAAAAAGAATTGTTTCCAAATCTCATGTTACACATCTTGAATCTTTGCATGTCCACTTTTTATATCTTAAAAAAGACAAATAGGCTATAAGTCCACAATAGTTCACATAAATTTTGCCTTTTAGGGTGAGACTAGGATTTTATATGGACTTAAGAATTAGATAAATTTATACTATATTTGTATTTTCAGCGTTGCAAGGAACTTTGTGCAAAAGAACAAGCAGCGCAACATTTAGAACTGGCAAAACTTGTGACAGACCAATGCTTCTTTAAGGTAAAATAGAAACGATTAAACACGAGTGGTTTATGTATCTGCTTCACAACCAAGTTCGAGCCCTGCTCGAGCCACGACCATGATGTCTGATTTGACACCAGTGCTGGTTATTTCTATGAAGTGGACTCGGGGCTGATTAATATAAATTGAAAGAACTTTTTTCACTACCGAGCTCAGATCTATTAGCATGGTGGATCATTTGATCTATGGTGCTTGACATTCAAAATTTATAGTATTTGCAGGAGTTATAAGCCGTACTTTATACTCTGAGTTCAGAATTCCATTTTACTTAGTTTCGTCCATTGTTTTCTCGTTTAGAGCACACGCATTTTTTTATATGGGGACTATATGCCGCTTTTCATGGAATGGCACTAACATGTCACATTTAAGGTTCCATGATAACCGCCATATGAACACATCTGTGGATGTTTCAAAATTCAAATTTTTGTCAGTTCATTGATTGGGTCGGTGCTGAGGCCGGAGAGGGCTTCAATTTTCATTACCGTCCACGAACCGTCTCAATCGAAACCGAGTCTGCAACTTTTTCAATTTTGCTGATAGGGATTATGCTTTTCTATATTTGATATCGATATATTTGTAAAGGAATGACAGCAGCATTACATTGGTTTCATAATCTTGCCGTTCTTCCTCGTAGATTTCATTAGCTACCAGTACACGCATAATTAGGATGTTATCCCGATCACAATCGCAAATTCTCGGCCCTTTCCGTTAAATATCGTAAGATCGCTAGGGCGTTCCAATGCCATGATCGGGAACAGATTTACCATCACGGCTCAATAAAGTACTTCATTACGCATTGACGTTCATAGAATTTTTAAAAAGAAATCATATGGAAATTGAAGAAGAGAAAGTTTTATTTTTGAGACATGTTATCATATGTTAAGATTTTCTAAGAGCTGACACAGGTCGGAGAAACCTTGGGGGCATGGTCAGGCTATCTGCATATAAATTATAAAATTTTAGTAACTATTGTAATAATATTTGTAAAATAAAATACATGTAATTGTAGAAACAATTCATTAATTATGCATACATGTATATGTTTAGAAGGGAGTCGTTGCTGGTGAACTTAACCCTAAACCTCAGTCTGCACCACCAAGACAGGGCGGGAACGACGAAAAGTTGAAAATAATGGTACAGTCTGTACATAGGCAGGGCGCTGAGCCGCTAAAAGTAAGCCACATTTAAGATATAACTGCATGCTAGTGTATTTCGGTATATGTCGTCACTGTCCGTGACTGAGCATCTGCATGACCAGAAGCAATAAAATGTCATCTTTTTGACCGGAAATTTAAGGAAAAGGTCGAAATTACACGATACTTTGATTGAGTATTAATGTCATTTACTCTTCTAGCAACAAAACTCAATAGTTTGTATATTTCATGCGGGTAAGACGTAGATGCAAATTAACAAGGACCCAAGAAAAATGTTAAGTTAACAATGTACGTCGCAATAAAGCAATCAGATCAAAATGACTTGACTTTTGTCTTTGGAATGTTGAAATAATTATACATGGTACAAATGCAAATAACATCTTTGCTTGACTTTCTTTGCGCATACAATTTTCTTCGAAATCGAAATCTTTCTGAATGTTTATTATCTTATGGCGTTTCTCTTTAGCCTCAATTTTCGAAAACATTGCCGAGTAGGCCTGGGAGCAATGACGGTCAGCTCAAAGGTGCCAGCCAAGGCGGTAAAGCTGTAAATAAAAACGCTCAACCAGGAACTAAAAGGTCAAGCCCAAGCCAGATGTCAGATGTATATGATGCTGGTCAAATGCCTGAGATGTCACGGACATCTACAGTAAGTTAACAGCATTAAAGGCACATTATGCCTAAGATACACAATTCTAAGAAGTCTTCAGAAATGTCAAACACGTGTTTGATAATGTTTTAATAATAGATTTAGAGCATTTTACATGTTTAACAACCGATTAAAGTAGCACTGGACGTGCAGTGATGTGTTGTGAGGGTAGCAAAATGTAAACAAAGTACTATTTTGACTAATATACACATACTTATTCCATATAAATATAACAATTGCCAGAGCAAAAGATAGTTTCTCTGTATGGCAAATCAGTTAATTTTATGAAACTGTAACAGAATACCAAATATAAAAGATTTTGTAATCATTCTAAGGCGTAATGGGCCTTTAAATATCAAAGCTAATGATTTGCTAGACAAAGTGGCTATAACTTCAGACTTTCACCTGGTATGACCAGGAAAAAGAATAATACTGGTGTCTTCTCATCCTTTTGTCAATGTATATTTGATACGAAATGAATGAAATATTTAATTCATACGGAAAGAAACGGTGTTGACCGAACATATCCGAAAAAGACAATGATCAATGTTTGTTTGTTTTGTTTTGTTTTTAACAGAATAACCCACTACTGTTATATAAACATTTATAATATGATTTCTAGGTTGCTGATGTTCATAAAATACCAGAACAATACAATACACTGTTCAAGGACTTTTTCAAAGGTATTGCAGACGAAACACTCAAGTATTTACCCATGACGGTAAGTAAGTCTCTAGATTTCTCTAGATAATATTTTAGTTTGAAACAAATGATACATAGAACAAAAAAGAAACTTTTACGATTATCTCTGTTCGAGTAATATAAAACTACATTGTGTATGACAATTTGAAATTCTTGGCCAAACGCTTTCATGTGGCTTCATCGTAATAAATATCAGTTAAAACAATCAGTTACAGTCAATATCAGTTAATAATCACCAATAACAATAGGTATAATCTGAATTATTTTTTCATTTCTTTTTGTCAGGAGCTGGTAGTTGAAATAAACACGGACGGCCTCTTTCAACATGATATTCTACAAAATCCTGAGATAAGAACATATCTACAGAAGTGTTTCAACATATGTTGGCTCATGTTGGCGCAACACCCACCAATGCTGATGGACTTTGAAACCAGGTCTGGGCATACTTTGGATATAAACGTGTTTGAGCCCTACAGCTCAAGGGGACCGATAATTTCTCAGGTTGTCTGGCCCCCGGTGTACTTACACAAAGGTGGGCCGCTTGTTTGCAAAGGATATGCTGAAGGTTCGAAGAAGCAATGACATGTTTCAAAGAGATTCAAAAAATAAAAATAACGTTGTACATAGAAAAAGGTTGTTATATTTGTGTAAGTTACATTAAACATGGTTTGAACTTTATTGCCATATACTGTGAAGATTAACTACTGGGTATGTCTCATCGACAGTAATATGAACATCCTATTAACGCTTTGACACGTTCAACAAATTTTCGCAAAGTTGAAAGTGATAATTAAAATCAGCATACGTTTTATCTAAATCGGCTGAAGGGCGAAGTATATATACCCTTATCGTATATAGTGTACAAGTAAACACAATGTGATCTGAGTTTTAGTCAGATTGATAACTAACATTATTTGTAATGAATTAAATTAAATGTAACCTTGTAATGAATTATATGTAAATTTGTAATGAATTAAATATAAACAGTAATTCTAATCATGATCTTTTATAGAAAGTCACTGCTCTGCTTTGTTTTTTGTCCTTTGTTGTTTTTGATGGTTTCATTTTGTTTTGGTCGTCAGAGCAAACAAATAATGGTGGTGAAATTTCAGACCCTGATATGCTTATTTGCAAAATCCGCAATTGGTCCGTAAAGATTTAAGAAATAACATCGGCCTGAGAGGTTTTTATCGGCTATTTAACACCGGTTTAGAGTTTTGATGCGCAGGAATTGACCACGAAGGCCGTAGGCCTGAGTTGTTAATTTTGTCGCATCAAAACGACAAAACCGGTGTTAAATAGCCGATATACACCTCTCCTGTCGATGTTATTTCGATTCTAACACGGTAAAGTAAGGAAAATCACTAATGTTATTTTTCAAGCGGAAATACCTGCCGGTGCCGATTTTCATATAATGCTGTTCGATTTTCTCACCCTACTGTTGCGAAGATATAGAAATTATTAAACAAAAGAAATAATAAGAAAAAAAAACGTTATTGTATCAAGTTTTCAACAATAAAAACTTACGTCGTATTGTGTTTACATCAGTGCCCTATTTATCATTCTTGTATGTATGAAATAACGTCTGCTTGTTTATGAATGAGTTGTTTACGTACGATGATGACGTCATTACGCTGCTTACGGATTGGCGCCGTTTTGTCAAAATATTTATTAACTGATATGGATCTAATATGTGGCTATTGTATGTGAGATATTATTTCGGTATTGTATGAAAAGAAAACACTATACGAACTGAAAATATAAAAAAAAATGCTTTTTATTGTTGCTTTAAAATGCTTTGTAAACTATACAATATAGGGTGAAAACATAACAACGCATATACAAGTAGTCCCTAACCGGTGTTTATTGGCAGTTTAACACCAGTTTTTTTCCTTCTTTGTCTATAGTGGCAAAATCACGTGAGTGTTAGAATGTCAAATAACAGGCGCTTTAATTTCCAACCGTCTCATGAAAGAAAAAATAGTTCCCGATTGGTCGAAGATTTCTAATATTTTGTAATTTTTTAACATTTCCGCAAATTACCGGTAATATATTCAAATAATTTTGTTACGCGGATGAATATCATTTTACTCGGCTATTTCCTTAAATGTTCGGATTATTGTGATCGCCTAAATGAACATTTGTTATTTAGACTTTCTGAAAAATAAAGTATGGATGTTGACTCTAGGACAGAGAAAAATTTAGGCAGTCGACGATCGATAATCGATTTCTACCATAAGTACAACGGTCTTAAAAGTAAAGCGCCCGATAAATTAGTCAAAGCAAACAAAGCGCTATTTTAGCCTCACTTCAGCGTATTATACACAAAGTGTAGTGAAACATTATATAACGTTACATGTGGGTAGATTTTTGCTTAATTATTTCACAGATATACATGCTTATATTATGTTCCATGATTATTTACGTCAGTGTCAAACAACAGGTTTACCGTGAACAAAATATCTCGAAATTAATAACAAACACTAATTTAGAATAATGTGGTTTGCCTCATGCTGTTATCTTATAACTTCCCCGTGGTCCATGGGTTACACGCTCGTTTAGAAAGCGAGGTCTGGGGTTCAAATCCCAGTTAAGGCAACTCGTGTATTCTTTTAATTGTTTCAGCCAAATAAACATTGAATTTCAAGAATATCAGTGTTGTAATTAGCCTTTCAGCCAATTTACTACAGTGATAACACTGGAAACAGCATTGTTGTCACTATACAAAAACAAATTGGTTTATAATCTCATAACCTTCACCTTTCTGACATTCTAAGACCCAAACAAATTCAGCGCCTTATGTGCTTTGATTTTTAGTGTTTGTTTTTTTTCTTATCTTGATCTCTGTACTAAAGTTTATTTGTTTTAAGTTTCATATAAACTTAATATCGTTATATTATTTTTTGTTTTGTTTTGTTTTTAAGTTTTTGTTCTGGTGGGGTTTTGTTTGTTTTCAATTTTATATAAGTAATATATTACTATCTTGCCCACATTTGTTTGCTGTTTTATATTGTTATATTGTATCACTTATGTTTCTTATTATAGAATTATGTAATAACAAGAAATGAGCGGAAATAAATGTCTCTTCATTTCATTCTCCAAAAACCAAAAAAATGAGTACAGCTTGGTCATTTGTTTTAAAACGATGTTTTATCATTATTACTCGAAATTTGATAATACACTGCACGTGATAAAACTAAAATTAGTCGCCAAAATGTAGCATAAATATAACGCACGATGTATTTTTTTTACATAAAAAATAATGTTGGCATATCATTAATTTTCATTAAAGCTTACAAAAGGAAATAAATATTTTAGTGTATTTTTTAACAAAAAAGAAAATATGTAATTTTATTATTATTATTTGATTTTTATTCATTTTTATATTTATCTATTTTTTGTTTTGCCACAACAGAAATATTTCAAACAGTCACAATTGATTTCTTTACATCAGTTAGACATAACCCTCATATAAACATATACCCGGATACTGTTTTCGGATACAATTTTAATATGTAAGTTTTATCTATTTATCTATTTATTTATCTAACCTATTTAACAATTCAGCGTACATTTTCATGGAAAAACACTACGTTTATAAATTCCTTGTCAAAATATGAATTGACGGCCAGGGTAAGATTATCTGTTTATTCATTTACTTACCTATCCGTGACATTTTTTTTTTTCATTTAAAGTTTAAAATTTGACATTTGTCAATTGTACGTATGATATGTTTATTTATATGATAACTTATTAAATTTGTCCTAATAACGAAAAGGAAAGTAGGTATAACAGTAATAATATTGAATTTCGTCTGCTACTGAAATGGTGCAAAAAATGATTAAACATAAAATAGAACTATACCAGTTTGTACGAAAGTATGAAGTCCCGGTTTGAGTTATGTTTAATGTATGTAAATAACACCAGGACCGACTTGCAATTACGACAAAACTATATCAAATATCTAATGACCAATAATGGTAATCTAATTAAATATACATGTATATACAATATGTTTGAGCAAATATCAGTATACCAATATGCTTGTATTGCTAAATATATCAAAGATATTTTGAGCCGATTCTAAATAATTAAATATCTAAAATATTCAATTATTTAAACATATCCCTGTGGATCGATGTAGTTTCAGTTTCATTTATGATTTATTGCAAGCCAAAGTGTATGATTACGATTTAGAAGCTTTTGCAAGCAGAAAGTTTAAAAAGGAAATCAAGTACACCGATTATACTGACACTCAAAGTTTTACAAGAAAGAAATTAAAACTGAAACTCATAACGTTAACATTTGGTACATTTTTTACATTAATTTTCAGTTGTCTGCAATACTAATTATCGGTTAGCTTCCAAGTAGAGATCACGTTTTTTATTGTACCAAAATTTTAGTTACCTAAACTAAGTAGAGCCATCTCAATAGACATGCAAGTATTTCTAAAAACTGTCCAATGTGTAAAATGAGGCTGCAAACGTCAAGGCAACCTAACATTTTACATATTGGACATGTTGAGGCTTATATCTGACTTATTCAAATCACATCTTTTAGAGACAAGTTTTACATTACTTAAACCAAGTATTTGAAAACTATGATGGGTTAGGTACACATTGCGCGTTGCGTTGTCGATAGCGACAGCACAACTATATCGTTATCGCCTTTTCGTCTTCTCGCTAGCGAAACGAGCCAAACAGAGCGTTGACGTACTTTTGTGTTGTTGTCCTGTCTCAAGCAAATCATGCCAAACAGCGCATGGTCCGTGCGGTGCGTGTCGCGATGTCACCATTTTGCTTGGCTTATAAGCCAATCCTTCTATTTGAGCCGAGCAACAATGTGACATCTCGACAACACGCTGTACGATAACGCGCTGTTTGGCGTGCATCGTTAGAGACAGGACGACAAGGCGAAAGTCCGATTAAATTATATGGTTTAATTTGAAATTTGCATATGACTAGAATATTACAATGTTAGGAGTAGTAAAACAAGTTATACGTAGTATTCAAAAGACAGACTCGCAGATATAAACAGTAATATACTGAGTTTACTGAGGCCCACATGGAAGATTGGGTAACCAAATGTGTAGCCTCAGTAAATAAAGACTTTACTCACTCTATCACTCACTCACTCACTCACTCACTCACTCACTCACTCACTCACTCACTCACTCACTTACTTACTTAGTAAATCATGTAACTATGCGGCTAATTTTAAATGTAGGGAAAATATTCCTACAGCTGCACCTCATTCTCTGACATTTTCGACGTCATCGACAATAAATGTCTTTTAGTAAAAAGGAGTCATTAATGATTATGTTTGTTCAAACACTTAATTTACAATAAAAGATATTTCATCCTACTTTTTGTCGTGATAATGTTTATCACAAGCAACATACAGTTTACAGATGGCCGCTCTGTAGCGGTTGTACTGTATCTATATTTTTTAGACGTCGAAATCCTCTCAACAACAACTTCAGAAGCGGGCTGACATGGAACAAGTAAGCAAAGGTTTGATATGGATGGAGAGGGAACTTGACGTGAAGACGGAAGCCAACATCATGAAGGAAAAACTGCATGCTGTCAGAGAGAAATACCAGAAGGCGAATTATGCCGAAATAAAGGGAAATAACAAGTCATTTATCGAATGGAATGAGGATCTATTGTCTTTCTGTAAAGCTAACAGGGTAAGTGTCCTTGCAGCGAATTCTTCTTTTTTATTCCTTACAATCAAATTCCCCATAAGCAAAAAGTAGATTGCAAAGTCGTCTAGGTTGGACTGGCTCAATACTCATTAAATAAGCCAAATGGCTGCTTGGACTCGAGGATTAAGCCGGTATCAAAAAAATTGGCATGAAATTGCGTATTTGTGCAAGTCGCACTAGTAACTATTACTTTAAGTGACATCTTTCTGTTGCGTGACAAGGACAAACCAACCTTGATAGTATGTTAATCGTCGAAACTTGTTTCCTTAATTGTCTTTATTATTATTATTATCATTATTATTATTTCTCTTTTAAGAGGAAGTATCAGATGGAAAACAGGACAGAAAAGATTGATAGACAAATATTTGAACTACAAATGATAATTTCTCAAAAGGAAGAGGAAATTGAAAAACTACGTGACGAGTTAAAAGAAGAAAGAGACAACAAGGACCATGCGCTGAATAGGTGAAATATCTGTCTAAATTTTATATCAGGGAACTAAGCATGCTGTGTTGTGCCGCATATAGCTTTATATATAGCTGTCCGGTAATCTTTTTCCGTTTCGTCGTGAAGTACGAATGAATAAAGCTCCGGAAGCTTAAAATATAGCATAGGTTAATAAAACATTTATGAATTTCCACTGAACCAGTAACAATAGTATTATACTTGGTCATCGCGGACCTGCAAAATCGGACTTGAAAATGTCGCTGAACGGACTCTAAAGACTCTAAATACAGAGTTTACACAAAATCTTACCACCAAACGATGCTTAACATTTAAACAAACCCTTATTGAAACAATTATTATGATTTGGTTCAAAATAAAGGAAATGCCAGTCAAAATTTAGCTCCATATGTGCTGAAGAGATCCATACGTGCATGATATAAAAATCATCAACATATAATAACGGAGCATTAACATAAAGTTTACTTGCAATTCTTTGCATGACAATCAATTAAAAAGTACATGTACTTGTGTCTGTAAGTGAAAATCTATTAAATCCACTCGCGGAATCTTGAAGGGAACCTCATCTATGTTAATTTCAATAATTTATGTAAACATTATATGGCACAATAGCTTTACAAAGATATGGCCCCTTTTTTTTTGTCACCCGTTTTATCCTGTCCAAGTTACGTTTTCAAAGAGGAAAATTATTTATCATACCAGTATTTTTCCATGTGTCATAATATTACTATACATGTACTCGTACGTTTGCTTGTATTTTTTATTTATTTATTTATCTATTTTTATTGTTATTATTTCTATTGATGGCACCAGATTGTTAGCCTTTTGATGAAGTGATATTTAATAACCAAAACCACGGATTAATGTACTTCAAGCTAAAGCTATTGAAGTTTAATTTTTCTCATAAATTGGCTATTAAATGACCACATTTGGAGATCGCCTTTGGATCTCTTCAGCACATATGAAGCATGACTGGATTTTTGGGCCCAATCTCGATGACTGTTTCAATGATGGTTTATTTGAATCTTTAGGAACGTTCGATGGTAAGATTTTGTGAAAGTTTTGTATATTTTGAGTCCGTTTAGCGACATTTTCTTCATACGCATTGCATGTTTTGTGCACGCCAGAACCCATGACGAAAGGAATATCTCCACGAAAATTTCATAAAAATCCGGAACAAAAATGGGTCATATAGAGAAGAGTAAAGAATCACATTTCGATTTTCTTCAAAAAAAAACTTTGAATTTTATTTAAATGTTGAAAAAGTTGAAACTAACCCGGTGATTGGCCTAGTTTCTCCTTCGCATATCCAGTTATAGTGCACATCTGGATAAGCGGAAATTTACATATATATTTTTACCGATGCAGTACTTTGAGATCTAAATAGGGTTCCGTCCCCGTGGAAACAGGATATATATTTTGCGTGTTTTTTTTGTTTGTTTGTTGTTTTGTTTTTTTTTTTGTTGTTTTTTTTTTTAACGATCCTACTCGGACTTCCAAACAATTATTCCGTTATTAGACTATGTCCATGTTTACTGTGACGAAATTGTTTAAAAGTAAACTAGAGCATCAGCAAGAATATGATCTTCAACTTACATTGTTTAGTAGAAGTGCAAAGCACTACTTTTATAAACTTACTACGGGTCAATGACGAACTACTGACATCTTTTAACTGATATGGAAACAAGTATCTAACAAATATTAAAATTGATCATTTCGGATACATTGAACACTCACCTTTATGTCACTGTCATGTATATGAACAATAATGAATTGTCAAGTTTATGTTTAAATTATAATCTGAATCGTTCGCCTACTGCATTTGTGTAATGGAGTCGCCCTGGTTTAAATCTAAAACAGTCCATTCGGATTATAAAGTAATTTGATAAAAATACACAAAATGAGCTACCAACAGTATATATAGAGTCTCGTCAGATTGCATGGATGTACTGGCTGGCGTGGCTCTATCGTGATGACTTTCAGTTCCAGCATGTTTAAAGATTCACAGTTTAAAAAGTTAATTTCCGCACCTTTTAATCAATAGGCTCGATGATCTGCTGAAACATGGAAATCCGGAAATATCTGACCTGAGTGATGAGAACCGACCAACAAATCTAGGTCAGAGGTTCAAACAGTTATACGAGGAGGAGTGGACCGATGCATTTGAATTTTTGACAGAAAAGAGGGAAACAGACCTACGTGTTGATGATCGCAGAGCCATTGGAATTCTATATGAAATGTTAAAGGTACATTAAGCATTACTTAAACAGTGATGGCACGGATCAAGTTCGGATAAAAATAAATAATAAAACATAGTAAACATTACATGACTTTATTACATCTGTGAGTATATCTTTAAGTTTCCCAATTAATGTCTGTGAACTATTGATACTACTTACTTCTTTATTTGTTTGTTTGTCCGTATGTTCGTCCGTCCGTCCGTTCGTTCCTTCTTTTGTTAATTTCTTTTCTTGTGTATTTTGTTTGTATGTTTGTGTTTTAGCCAAATACAAACTTCAAGTTTTCCAAACTTTCTTTGAGATTTAAAAAACTGATAAATATTCTAATGAATTCTAAAACATGTAAATATGAAATTGCATTTCCTTTTTATGAAAAATATGTTTCCATATGTTACAATTTTTGACTGTTTAACTGAAATTAATTTGATTATTTCAAAAAAGAACGTTCAAGCTGTAAATCTACAACAGCTCACATACATTATTTCTTTAAAGAAATAAGAATTAAAAGACATTTTAAAGGCTTTATATTTGTATTTACAGCGTTGCGAGAAACTTTGTGAAAAGGAACAGGCTGCGCAACATTTAGAACTTGCAACACTTGTGAGAGGTCCATGCTTCTTCAAGGTAAAGAAACGATTAATCACGAGTGGTTTTTAAAAGTGTCTGGTTCTCAACTAAAAAATCCCGAGTTCGATCCCTGCTCGGGCCACGACCATGTTGCCTTGTATAGTAATATAAACACGTATATATTCAATGTTTAGAAGGGAGCCGTTGTTGATGAACCTAACCCTTAACCTCGGCCTACATAAAAGTAGGGCGAGAATGACGGTAGGTTGAATATTCCGAATATTGACCAAAATTACACGAGTGTTTTAACTGATTGAATATAAGGAGATAATGTGATAATGTGAAAGTTATTAAGTCAACTCATTAACATTTATAACAACACAATTTAGCAATTTGCATTTTTTATTTGGGTAACTCGTCAAACAGATACAGGAGTAGCGCAAAGTACGTCATCAGTCTTAAGCATAAGGAAAAGACGTGTTTATTATTATCATTATTATTATTATTATTATCATTATTATTATTATTATTATTATTATTATTATTATTATTATTATTATTATTATTATTATTATTATTATTATTATTATTATTATCATCACCATTATTATTATTATTATTACTGAAGAAGAAAATAATCGGGTATTGTATTGTTGATTTTTTGTCCAATGCAGATCATAAAATGTCACGTGGTAAAGGGACCGTTCCTTTGTTAATGAAGTTAGCCCAAAAATAAACGAAAACAACAAGTTATTAAAAATCAATATCATCTATATAATTCCTTTTTCTCAACAAAATTACCTTCCATTGCTATATAACATGTACAATATAATTTCTAGGCCGATGTACCAAAAATACAAGAAAAATACAGTGCGTTGTTTATGGAGTTTTTCAAAGGTATTGCAGACGAAACTCTCAAGTATTTACCCATGACGGTAAGTAAATCTTGGTTTCTCTAGATACTATTTCAGCTTCAAACATATACTAAACCTTTTCAAATTTTGGAAAAAAAACAAAACGAACAAAAAAAATTTTTTCCGATTGTCTCTGTAAATTAGTTACTCTTTTCCATAATATTGAGTCATATTTCAACGATAAATTCTTAGTGAAACACTTCACTGATTTTTTAATTAAATATCTTTAAAATCAGTTACAATCCATATCAGTTAATATTCATCAAAAGCAATAGGTATCATCTGAATTTATTTTTCATTTCTTTTTGCCAGGACCTAGTAGTTGAAATAAACAAGGATGGCTACTTTCAACATGATATTTTACAAAATCCTGAGATAAGAACATATCTACAGAAGTGTTTCAACATATGTTGGCTCATGTTGGCGCAACACCCACCCATGCTGATGGACTTTGAAACCAAGTCTGGGCATACTTTGGATATAAACGTGTTTGAGCCCTACAGCTCAAGGGGACCGATAATTTCTGAGGTTGTCTGGCCCCCAGTTTACTTACACAAAGGTGGACCGCTTGTTTGCAAAGGATATTCTGAAGGTTCGAAGAAGCAATGACATGTTTCAAAGAGATATTAAAAATAACGTTGTATTAAAAGGTTGTTATATTTTTGTGTGTGTAGCATTTAAGATGGTTTTGAACTTTATTTTCATATACTGTGAAGATTAACTACTGTGTATGTTCTCATCGACAGATAATATGAACATCCTATTAACGCTTTGAAACATTCAAAGCTAATTGTTCGCAAAATTGAAAGTGATAATTAAAATCAGCATACGTTTTCATCTGAATCGCTGCAGGGCGAAGTATATATACCCTTATCGTATATAGTGTACAAGTAAACACAATGTGATCTGAGTTTTAGTCAGATTGATAAACTAACAATATTTGTAATGAATTAAATGTAAAAATTGTAATGAATTATGTGTAACCTTGTAATGAATTATATGTAAATTTGTAATGAATTAAATATAAACAGTAATTCTAATCATGATCTTTTATAGAAAAACACTGCTCTGCTTTGTTTTTTGTCCTTTGTTGTTTTTGTTGGTTTTTATTTGTTTGGGTCGTCAGATGCTTATATTAAGCTCCATGATTATTTACATCAGTGTCAAACAACATGTTTACCGTGAACAAAATATCTCGAAATTAATTACAAACCCTAATTTAGAATAATGTGGTTTGCCTCAGGCTGTTATCTAATCACTTCCCCGTGTTCCAGGGGTTACACGTTCGTTTATAAAGCGAGAGGTCTGGAGTTCAAATCCGATTTAAGGCAACTCATGTATTTTTTTTAATTGTTTAAGCCAAATAAACATTGAATTAAATATCAGTGTTGCAATTAGCCTTACAGCCAATTTACTACAGTTATAACACTGAAAACAGCATTGCTGGCACTTGGCTTATAATCTCACAACCTTCACCTTTCTGACATTCTGAAACCCAAACAAATTCAGCGCCTTCTGTGCTTTGATTTTTATTGGGTTTTCTTTAAAATAAGTCTCAGCACTAAAGTTTATTTGTTTTAAGTTTTATACAAACTTAATATCGCTGTATTGTGTTTTTTGTTTTGTTTTGTTTTTAAGGTTTTGTTCTGGTGGGTTTTTTTTTCTTTTTTCTTTTTTTTTCAATTTTATATAAGTAATATATTACTATCTTGCCCACATTTGTTTGCTGTTTTATATTGTTATATTGTATCACTTATGTTTCTTATTATAGAATTATGTAATAACCAGAAATGAGCAGAAATAAATGTCTCTTCATTTCATTCTCCAAAAACCAAAAAAATGAGTACAGCTTGGTCATTTGTTTTAAAACGATGTTTTATCATTATTACTCGAAATTTGATAATACACTGCACGTGATAAAACTAAAATTAGACGCCAAAATGTAGCATAAATATAACGCACGCTGTATTCTTTTACATAAAAAATAATGTTGGCATATCATTAATTTTCATTAAAGCTTACAAAAGGAAATAAATATTTTAGTGTGTTTAAAAAAAAGAAAAGATTTAATTTTATTATTATTATTTATTTATTATTCATTTTTTATATATCAATTTTTTATTTTGCTACAACTGAAATATTTCAAATCCGTCACACTTGATTTCTTTTTTAATATGGTATACATAACCCTTATGATATAAACATATATCCGGATACTTTTTTTCGGATAGAAAATTGATATGTATATTTTATCTTACAACTGCCCTATTTAACAATTCAATGTACATTTTCATGGAAAAATACACTCTACATTTATAACTTCCTTGTCAAGATATGAATTGACGGCCAGGGTAAGATTATCTGTTTATTCATTTACTTAGCTATGTATCCGTGACATATTTTTCATTAAAAGTTTAAAATTTGAAATTTATCAATTAAAAACAATATGGAAAATTAAAAAATAATCCTTGTACGTTATGATTTTTTTTTTTTAATTGCGAACTTCTAATATATTACCAAAGAAAACAAAATATTTTATAAAAAATTTTTACAATTTTGTCTGTATAAAAAATGGTGCAAATAGGGTTAAAACATTAATAGAACCCAATATTTTGAATATACCCAAGGCTGCCCAGATTGTCCAAAATTAAAACAAAGTATGAAGTAAATGTTAAATCATGAAAATAAAAATAAAAATCCCCAAAGGACGATTTACCATAAGAAAAATTTATATCACATGATGATAATATGGAAATTTTATTACTTGTATATGGGAGAAAAAAATTTGAAAAATTATGGGTTAAAACCAATAGGATGTATTGAATATAATTAAATACATGTATTTTTTCTAATTTTAAAGCGGGATATTCAGCTATTTTAAAATTTCCCTGAATTGCGTAGTTTAAATTTCTTTTTATGATTTTTTAAAAGTAGGGACACATATACAAGACTAGCGATATATTACAATTCAAAAACCGCTTCAAGAATCAATTCGACACAAAGCGGGATTTTTAAAAAAATACCCAAAAACACTTAATGACACTTATTTTTGAAAAAGAAATTAAACCCCAAAATCAAACGCGGACATTTGATGCGTTTTTTAGATTAATTTTATTTCTCAAAAAGAATTATCGTTTTAAAAATATTAATTATATATCACCCCCCAAATTTTTCCCCGCCCAATTCTAATAGCCCTTACAACCAAAACGTTTTTCTCTGCAGATATCACCGCCTTTTTTTTCGGCCCTTATATTAAAAAAAGTCATCGGGCTTTTTTATTTTCAGAGAATCAAAACCTGCTTTTTCTTTTAGATAAACGAAAATTTCTTACACTTAGATAGTAGCATAAAACCGAGTTGACCCTTCAGAAATTGCACCAGCCATTTTACTCAGTAGATAGTCACTAGACTTTTTAATTTGTATGAAGTCGCAAGTCTTTTACCCCGGAGAAAGTTATCAGCCTTTCTACTCTGAGATAGTCACCAGCCTTTCTACTCTGAGATAGTCACCAGCCTTTCTACTCTGATATATTCACCAGCCTTTCTACTCTGAGATAGTCACCAGCCTTTCTACTCTGAGATAGTCATCAGCCTTTCTACTCTGAGATAGTCATCAGCCTTTCTACTCTGAGATAGTCACCATCCTTTCTACTCTGAGATAGTCATCAGCCTTTCTACTCTGAGATAGTCATCAGCCTTTCTACTCTGAGATAGTCACCCGCCTTTCTACTCTGAGATAGTCACTCCTTTTCTACTCTGAGATAGTCACCAAGCCTTTTTACTTTCTACTCAGATAGTCCACCAGCCTTTCTACTCTCAGATAGTCACCTGCCTTTTCTACTCTGAGATAGTCACCTGTCTTTCTACTCTGAGATAGTCACCTGCCTTTCTACTCTGAGATAGTCACCTGCCTTTCTACTCTGAGATAGTCACCAGCCTTTTCTACTCTAAGATAGTCATTTTCCTTTCTACTCTCAGATAGTCACCTGCCTTTCTACTCTCAGATAGTCACCTGCCTTTCTACTCTCAGATAGTCACCTGCCTTTCTACTCTGAGATAGTCACCTGTCTTTCTACTCTCAGATAGTCACCAGCCTTTCTACTCTCATATAGTCACCAGCCTTTCTACTCTAAAGATTGTCACCTGCCTTTCTACTCTGAGATAGTCACCAACCTTTTTACTCTAAGATAGTCACCTGCCTTTCTTCTCTGAGATAGTCACCTGCCTTTCTACTCTCAGATAGTCACCAGCCTTTCTATTCTCAGATGCTCATCTGCCTTTCTACTCTCAGATAGTCACCAGCATTTCTACTCTCAGTTAGTCACCAGCCTGTCTACCCTCAAATAGTAACCAGCCTTTCTACTCTCAGATAGTCAGCCTTTCTACTCTCATATAGTCACCAGCCTTTCTACTCTCATATAGTCACCAGCCTTTCTACTCTCAGATAGTCACCAGCCTTTCTACTCTGTGATAGTCACCAGCCATTCTTCTTTCATAAAGTCACCTGCCTTTCTACTTTGATAAAGTCACCAGCCTTTCTACTCTAAGATAGTCACCAGCCTTTCTACTCTCAGATAGTCACCAGCCTTTCTACTCTCAGATAGTCACCTGCCTTTCTACTCTGAGATAGTCACCTGCCTTTCTACTCTGAGATAGTCACCAGCCTTTCTACTCTGAGATAGTCACCAGCCTTTCTACTCTGAGATAGTCACCAGCCTTTCTACTCTCAGATAGTCACCAGCCTTTCTACTCTCAGATAGTCACCAGCCTTTCTACTCTGAGATAGTCACCAGCCTTTCTACTCTCAGATAGTCACCAGCCTTTCTACTCTGAGATAGTCACCAGCCTTTCTACTCTGAGATAGTCACCAGCCTTTCTACTCTCAGATAGTAACAAACCTTTCTACTCTGAGATAGTCACAAGCCTTTCTACTCTGAGATAGTCACCTGCCTTTGTACTCTCAGATAGTCAACTGCCTTTCTACCATGAGATAGTCACCAGCCTGTCTACTCTGAGATAGTCACCTGTCTTTCTACTCTCAGATAGTCACCAGCCTTTCTACTCTCATATAGTCACCAGCCTTTCTACTCTAAGATTGTCACCTGCCTTTCTACTCTGAGATAGTCACCAGCCTTTTTACTCTAAGATAGTCACCCGCCTTTCTTCTCTGAGATAGTCACCTGCCTTTCTACTCTCAGATAGTCACCAGCCTTTCTATTCTCAGATGCTCATCTGCCTTTCTACTCTCAGATAGTCACCAGCATTTCTACTCTCAGTTAGTCACCAGCCTGTCTACCCTCAAATAGTCACCAGCCTTTCTACTCTCAGATAGTCACCAGCCTTTCTACTCTGTGATAGTCACCAGCCATTCTTCTCTCATAAAGTCACCTGCCTTTCTACTCTGATAAAGTCACCAGCCTTTCTACTCTCAGATAGTCACCAGCCTTTCTACTCTGTGATAGTCACCAGCCATTCTTCTCTCATAAAGTCACCTGCCTTTCTACTCTGATAAAGTCACCAGCCTGTCTACCCTCAAATAGTCACCAGCCTTTCTACTCTTAGATAGTCATCTGCCTTTCTACTCTCATATAGTCACCAGCCTTTCTACTCTCATATAGTCACCAGCCTTTCTACTCTCAGATAGTCACCAGCCTTTCTACTCTGTGATAGTCACCAGCCATTCTTCTTTCATAAAGTCACCTGCCTTTCTACTTTGATAAAGTCACCAGCCTTTCTACTCTAAGATAGTCACCAGCCTTTCTACTCTCAGATAGTCACCAGCCTTTCTACTCTCAGATAGTCACCTGCCTTTCTACTCTGAGATAGTCACCTGTCTTTCTACTCTGAGATAGTCACCTGCCTGTCTACTCTGAGATAGTCACCAGCCTTTCTACTCTGAGATAGTCACCAGCCTTTCTACTCTCAGATAGTCACCAGCCTTTCTACTCTCAGATAGTCACCAGCCTTTCTACTCTCAGATAGTCACCAGCCTTTCTACTCTGAGATAGTCACCTGCCTTTCTACTCTGAGATAGTCACCAGCCTTTCTACTCTGAGATAGTCACCTGCCTTTCTACTCTGAGATAGTCACCAGCCTTTTTACTCTAAGATAGTCACCTGCCTTTCTACTCTCAGATAGTCACATGCCTTTCTACTCTCAGATAGTCATCAGTCTTTCTACTCTCTGATAGTCACCTGCCTTTCTACTCTGAGATAGTCACCTGTCTTTCTACTCTCAGATAGTCACCAGCCTTTCTACTCTCATATAGTCACCAGCCTTTCTACTCTAAGATTGTCACCTGCCTTTCTACTCTGAGATAGTCACCAGCCTTTTTACTCTAAGATAGTCACCGGCCTTTCTTCTCTGAGATAGTCACCTGCCTTTCTACTCTCAGATAGTCACCAGCCTTTCTATTCTCAGATAGTCATCTGCCTTTCTACTCTCAGATAGTCACCAGCATTTCTACTCTCAGTTAGTCACCAGCCTGTCTACTCTCAAATAGTCACCAGCCTTTCTACTCTCAGATAGTCATCTGCCTTTCTACTCTCATATAGTCACCAGCCTTTCTACTCTCATATAGTCACCAGCCTTTCTACTCTGAGATAGTCACCAGCCTTTCTACTCTGTGATAGTCACCAGCCTTTCTACTCTCATAAAGTCACCTGCCTTTCTACTCTGAGAAAGTCACCAGCCTTTCTACTCTGAGATAGTCATCAGCCTTTCTACTCTGAGATAGTCACCATCCTTTCTACTCTGAGATAGTCATCAGCCTTTCTACTCTGAGATAGTCATCAGCCTTTCTTCTCTGAGATAGTCACCCGTATTTCTACTCTCAGATAGTCACAAGCCTTTTTACTCTGAGATAGCTACCAGCTTTTTTACCCCGGAAATAATCAACAACATTCTTTTTCTGCAGACTTTTTCATTGACTTAAGCACCATCCTTCTTACCTCTCCAGATAGTCACTAGCCATTCTTCTTTGGGGTAGGGGGTGTGGGTCCCTGCCTATTCAGTCAATCAGATATGCATGTTTTTTTTAAATTTCGTAACTTGTCTATATAGCCGTCTCAATTGACATAGAGGGTATCTTTAGATATATTTAAGAAGTAGGTAAAAAATGTTCTAACAACTCACGCTGTAATCTTTAAGAGGTAATAACCGTTTCAAGTTTAGTTTCCAAGAAAATATCACGTTTGTACAAACATTTAGTAAGCTGAACTAACCAAAAGACATACTAGTATGCTTAAAACTGTCCAATATGTAAAAAGAGGCGCTAACGTCCAAGACCATCTAATATTTTACATATTGGACATGTTGAGGCTAATATCTGATTTATTCAAATTACGACATTTAACATCAATTTTTACATTTATTTATTAAATCGCATTACATTGTTATTGAAATAAAGAGAATTATTGCTAGCAAATGCGAATTTTACATCGTTATGTTAAAAGCATTAGTAAATAACATAATGCTTTTGCAGCCGTTTTCATGTTTGTAATACAGTGTATTCGTTTTCGTTAGGCTGCTAGCTGCCAACTTCATGCCGTTAAGCTGTTGACATTAATGATCAACCTCATTCTCTGACATTTCGGATGATATCGGCAAAATATGTATACAAGGAAAATCATGTGACAATGATGATTATTGTTGATTTTTTATCCGATATTTTTAGATTATTGATAGGTCTAAATTTGTTCAAATGTTTACTTAGTTCTCAATTTACATGATATATGCACACAATAATATTTCGTCCTTATTTTTGACGTGATAATCACAAGCATTATATTTCTACTACACAACAATACATCTGTCCAATATCATTTAGTTTCATTAGTTAGTTAATATTTACTATTATTGGACCATTACAATGATATGATCGAACAGCTTTGTATCAAAGTACAGAACAGGCAGTATTAGAGAATGGTATGATACAGTTTGTTGCTGAAAGGTATTGCTCTTTTTTTGGTAAGACTAAATACTGTTGTTGTTAAAACATTTTTGCTCCATAGAGGGCCGCTCTACAGAGGTTGTACTGTATCTATATTCTTTTAGATGTCGAAATTATCTCAACCACAACCCCAGAAGCGGGCTGACATGGAGCAAGTAAGCAAAGGTTTGATATGGATGAAGACGGAATATGACGTGAAGAAAGAAGCCAATTCCATGAAGGAAAAACTCCATGCTGTCAGAGAGAACTACCGGAGGGCGAATTATGCCGCGATAAAGGAAAATAACAAGTCATTTATCGAATGGAACGAGGATCTTTTGTCTTTCTGTAAAGCGAACAGGGTAAGTGTCCTTGCAGCGAATTCTTCTTTTTTATTCCTGATAAATGAGATGTCACAAGCGTCCAAGATAACACAGACATGCAGGCTTGACTGGTACTGTATTGAGTATATGAGTGTTTTGGTTATCAACTAGAAACTGCAATTTCTGCTACAAAAAATACTTTTCATGACGTTTTGTTATTAAGCAAATAGATTGTACTTGAAAGATGCAATGTCGGGTTCTTAAGCAATGGAACATTACCTCTGGAAACCTTCCATCACGTGACAAGGACTAATTAATCTGGGTGTTATGTTGATCTGCGAAATCTTGTTTTCTATTAGTCCCTTTTCGACGATATTATTTATAGGCTAGCTAACTTATCACTAAGAAGCAAGGATTTATTAACTTCTTAAAAAACGTCATTTGAAATAATGTCATAGAATAATTCATGTGGCTCCAGGAAGCCGTAAATATATATAAAAAATGTGCAAAATTGTAGGTTTTAGACCTTAGAACAGAAATATTGAACAAATGTTTTTTATTTCTATCATCGCTATTTAACTTCATTCAAAGTTTCGGCTTGCAAGTACTTTTCTTTGAATAATACGCAAAACATACACCATTAAAATCAAACACCTTGACTTCCGTGTGGTCATGTGTAAGCCTGGTGTTCCGAAAAAATAAGGCTCCCTTAGGGCTCAATAGATATCATTTCTCTTTTTAGAGAAAGTACCAGATGGAAAGCAGGACAGAAAAGATTGATAGAGAAATATTTGAACTACAGATGATAATTTCCCAAAAAGAAGAGGAAATTGAAAAACTACATGAAGAGCTGAAAGAAGAAAAAGAGGGAAAAGATCATGCGTTAAATAGGTGAAATATTGTTTTATGTTTTATTACAGGACAGTCTGTAAGCTGATAAAAACTTGGTATAACTTACTATAACAGGCACTACCCACACTTCATATGTGCAACCGAAACGCAAAACTAAATTAAGTGAAAGTAAAAGAAAAAATAAAGTAAACGTGCGTTACAGAGGATGCCACAATATTGACAGACATGCCGTATAACAGCAAAACTTCCCCGTATGCCGATCGGAACGTTCAGTATAACAGCATAATTACATTGCATGCCGACAGAATTGTGCGTTATAACAGCATAATTAACATGTAAGCCGAACTAAAATGTGCGATATAACTGCATCATTTCCTTATATCCCGATCGAAACGTGTAGAATAAAAGCATAATTACCTTGTATGCCGATCGAAACGAATTGTTCCCCAAATGCGGATTGAAACGTTCGGTATAACAGCATAATGACCCCGTACGCCGATCAAAACGAATTGTTCCCTGTATGCCGATCGAAACGTGTAGTTCTCTGCATGCCGATCAAAACGTGCAGTAGAACAACACGATTATCCCGTATGTCGATCGAAACGTGCGGTATAACAGCAAGATTTTCCCGTATGCCGATCGAAACATGCGGTACGACAGCAGGATTATCTCGTATGCTGATCAAAACGTGCGGTATAACAAGCAGGATTAGCCCGTATACCGATCAAAACGTGTGGTATAACAGCAGGATTATCCCGTATGCCGATCGAAACGTTCTGTACAACAACGGGATTATACAGTATACCGATCGAAACGTTCTGTACAACAACGGGATTATACAGTATACCGACCAAAAACGTGCTGTTTAACAGCAGGATTATCCCGTATGCCGATCGAAATTGCGCTGTATAACAACAGGATTATCCCGTATGCCGATCGAAATTGTGCTGTTTAACAGCAGGATTATCCTGTATGCCGATCGAAATTGTGCTGTATAACAACAGGATTATCCCGTATGCCGATCGAAATTGTCATGTATAACAACAAGATTATCCTGTATGTCGATCGAAATTGTGCTGTATAACAGCAGGATTATTTCGTATGCCGATCGAAATTGTGCTGTATAACAGCAGGATTATCCTGTATGCCGATCGAAATTGTGCTGTATAACAGCAGGATTATCCTGTATGCCGATCGAAACATTTGTGCGGTATAACAGCAGGATTATCCCGTATGCCGATCGAAATTGTGCTGTATAACAGCAGGATGTAATATAATGTCGATCGAAACGTATGGTATACTAGTAACTGGATAGCATGGGTACTCACTCCAGTAAATGTTTTGTAAACGGGTCATTCAAATGCAAGTTCAAGTTGCTGTGAATTGAAACTATACTTGAAAGGTGTTTTATACAGAAAAGAGACATGTTCAATGCCCCTTTTCAAGCGAACACTTATTATTCTATATTGAAAGTACATCTGCTATTAAGTTATTAAGGTACTGGCAGTACAAAAAACATACAAATACTGTGTATTATTTCTTTTTAAACAGATTAAGCGAGCTTCAATCTCACCTGCTGAAATTTGGAAATCCAGAAATAACAGACCTTGGCGACAAGAACCGGCCGACCAATCTTGGTGAAAGATATAAAGAGATATATGACAATGAATGGACTGACACGTTTGAGTTCTTAACAGAGAAGAATGATAAAAAAGATCCGGAGGCAATTGAAATTCTATATGCCATGTTAAAGGTACAATGTTTTTTGATATATATGTCACATAAAGATATTACTTTTACATGCCATTGGAAAGGTATAATATTATGCTACTTTAAGATATCGTTTTCGATACACATCGATAGACTTTATATCACGTGAAAATATATGTTCTGATGTGCAATGTTAAAATGTCAGTTCTTACATATACACTGTATTATACATTAAAACGTTATTTCTGACACACTCAAAATCACGTTAAATATCATTCTACTGTATGCTAATTTCAGAGTATTAGATCGATATATTTCATATGAATTATAATATATGCCACGTCAGTGTATCATTTTCAATTAAAAGTATCAGTTCCGGTAAACTTTATCTCTCGTTTACATATCATTTCTCATCAACTTTAATATTCCATCGACTTCAATATTCCGCGTTTACATATAATTTCTTATCAACTTTATTCCGCGTTTACATATCATTTCTTATAAACTTTATTACGCGTTTACATATCATTTCTTATCGACTTCATTATTCCGCGTTTACATATTTTTTCTTTTCAATTTTATTCCGCGTTAAAATATCATTTCATCATGCCGATGCTTTAACTATTACAAATATCAGTATTTGTTATCATTGCAGTGTTGCAGCGAGCTTTGTTCTGAATCAGTACAAAAACAGCATATGATTCTTGCAGGACTTATAACTGATCCATTATCGGTCAAGGTAAGTATCTAAGGTAGGTCAAAGTATTCCAAGGTTGATCAAAGATTTGATATGAGCACCTATTGACAGAATATACAAATGATATCTCCTTAAAATAATCTTTAATTTGAATAACAAAAATTTTAAGACAATCCGACATTCATGTTCGTTCAATTTAAGAAATTTTGTAATGAACTTCTTATTAATAATCCGCAACTTGAAAAGATTATATAGTTTACGAATATAACTGTAAACGTCTAGAAAAAAAAGATTGCCTAAGAAAAAACGAGTACCCTGTAAACTAGGTATCTTCTTAAATTTTACTATGCACACCATGAATTTGACTTGACACAAATAGTGATTTTTCTTTCTATTTTATTTTCTATACCTGTAAATAAAATATGCATAGTAGAACACATTTAATGTCAGCACGACAAAATTTTTTTTCTCTTAACCGCCATTTTAACCAAATTTTAATGATGGTTTAAAGAAAAAATTTTTGCACCGTTAATGCTGTTCCATGTCCGCGCTTCCAGAAACACTTATTTCCGTTTGACCAGCTTGAAGGAGAATACTCACTGGTTGAAAAATCCTGATTAGCCGTCAAGTGTTATTAAGAAATTGTGTAAGACAATATGGTCATTTCGATTAAAATGAAAATCGAAACGAATCCGTTTAAACGTGTAATCGTGGGGGCCTTACATACATGTAATGTATAATAAATCATAAATTATTTGAGAAGTTGGACTCCTATCATTTTAGTATTATTTTTAATTGGTTAAACATTTTGTATACTGTTTGTATACATTGCAAGAGGAAAAAAATTTTTTTCGATGTCTTTCATAATCACATTAAATAAGATGTGTATGTATGTGAGAAGTAAATTAACTAAAAACGTGATATGTAATGCCAGACACTTGTTTACAAACATTAATATACTGTATGTGTAAGTCGCTAACAAAGCCGCATACTAGCGTCAGTGGTACACAATGTTGCACCATCAGCTTGTTATACATCACTTAAATTTCTTAAATGTACATGTCCATCTTTCTGTCGTCATTTTTGGGGAAATTAAAAGAAAATTTCTGACTGAATTAAGCAAAAAAAAGGCAGACCACGTGCAGACGGTATTTGTCGCATGGATAGAATAAGTTGCCGCCAGCAGGTTGTGGGCAAAAACTTTGTAAAGAAATCCAAGGCATTTTATCTTGGAATTCAAATTTAATTTACGGTAAATTTTAAAGGCAACTTTATATTAAATATAAGGTGCGAAAAGCGACTTGTTTGTCAAGAGAATTTGTACGAAGGAAGTACAGAATCTAAACCATCATGATTTAGTATAATAAAAACTGAAAACTCTAGGAAACAAAAAAGGATAGGCCGTAAAATGGTTTTGTAAAACGAGGCTTATGCATGTAAAACTTAAATATTCAAATAAAAAAATCTTAATTCTAGGCTAAAACTGCTTTGGACCAGTCAGAATCTTCAACTCCTGAGACGAAAAATACCACACAAGTTAGTAGAAATCTTTATAACTTCTGATATTTTATTTCCTCTATGCCTGTGTAATTTTTGAAATATCCATAGTAGAACAATAAATTGGTCAGTAAACGACACTGACAACAACTTTTTATTCACTCTTCATAATCTGCGCTGTCATTCAAGTGAACTGTCAGTTTTAATGATGGTTCACGAAATAACTAGGTGCCTCTACCATTTATGTCCGCGCCTTCTCTGCAACATGTGCCCTCAGAGAAGAAAACAGCTTGTAATGTACATGTATTTTTTAATAATTGACTTCATGATACATGTATATGGAAAGTGTATTTTAGTAGGATCTGGTGGTATTTTTATCAATCCAATAATTGATTATCAATTATTGATTTAAAAATTTAGGACATGTAGATAAAATTTGTAATTTGTCAAACAGAAAGACTTGAGAAGATTTGACCGTCTTCACAGACCAGCCTGCATGGAAGAGAATACTATGCGGGTGGTAAAATCCTGTTTATGTCGGTTCAAGTGTTGTTAGTGTATTAAAGATCTGATTGATCAGTAATTTCATTTTCAGGCTGGTGACGCACCAGAAACTGGGAAAGCTGATGTTGCCATCAAAGAGTTCTGTAAAGGCACTGCTAATGAATTGCTTGAAAATATTACTATCACGGTAAGTTTATATATTTACAACGTGGAGTTAGCTATGTTATCAGGTTCATTTATCTATGCTGCTGGTGTACATGTCCTGATTTCAATGTACAATTATTCGTTATTTAATTAAGGGATTTCTTAACTTAACTTCATTTCTCTAGCTAATAATGGTAAAATCATTAAAAAAAGTCCCGACTGATCTTCAAGAACAAAATTACTATCACGTACCGGTGTATACATAATCTGCTTGAATCTGGCGTATTTCCCGACACATTCAACATTTTGCTCTCGTATTTTTTTCTTACTAAGACATGTTGTCATACATGTGCAAACATAGCACAATAGTTACATCTTTCAGTCACCGTTAAAATATTACATCTACCTTTATGTACGCAAATAAAAATCTAAAGCTTGATAAATTGCCCTAAAATCGCTTTAATATAAATCCGTACAAAAACGGAAGCTGGACAAGTTTATTTTAGAAATTCAGCAGGCTAAGTTTGATAATTTCTTATTGAAATCTGAATCATCCGGTTGGCTAGAAATGTATCATATAGTCAGATACATGTTATCTACATCTCTCTGATACAGTGTTGTTATTTTTCTGTGCCAGGATATTTTGCCGGTTATGAAGAAGAAAGAAAAGTTTACAGACGACATGTTACAGAACGAAGAGGTCAAGATATACCTTGAAAAATCATTTAAGTTGCTCTGGTTAATGCAGACACAACATCCGCCGATGTTTATAGACTTTACAAGATCTCCTGGGTCAGCTTTTGACACCAATGTTTTCGATACATACACAAATAGGGGTGCAGAGGTTGAGCAAATTGTGTGGCCACCAGTTTATTTACAAGAGGGTGGTCCTTTAGTAAGTAAAGGCGTGGCCCAGGGCAGAAATCAATCATAGTCTCTAAACAAAGCATTTGAATCTTTTTTGACAGTTTTAAATTTGGTCATGTCATGGATTTATATATTAATCCATGGTCATTTTAGTCCAAAGTAGGTACTCATTATATGAGAATAGTGTTGAGGTCAAATTAAAGCTGCATACCTCCAGATACTTGTAAATCAGATTATTTCAAGAAAATCAATCAATGATTTTTATAAAAACTAAAAAGATTTAAATAATTATTTACATGTCATGTTCGATTGTTGACTGCCTTTCGCAGTATTTGTCACAACATTTCTACTGCCTGACTAGTGACTAATGTTGTAAGGGCTATTTTTGCATATTTTTACACCATCTTGATAGTTTTCTTGGATTTTAAGTGCCATATGAACTGTGTTCATCTTTTTCTTAGTTTAATGCACAATATTTTTATATTTTCATTAGCATGAATCTGGGGGCATGCTGCTTTAATGAACTGCCATTCTCCTTTAATCATTTGTACTGTGACTATTGTGCTTTAACGATGTTATGATTATTAAAAAAAAAAAATGTTTTAGTTGATAATTTTAGATATTATATTTTTTATAAAAAAAAACCAACAAAAAAGTCAAGCATCATTATGTTGAAGCATTGTTATGATGATGCTGGGCTTTTTTCTTCTATAGCAGGGGCTCAGAATTCATGAGAATCATGCAATTTTCCCTGAAAATATGATTGACATGAAGTCTTTTCTTCCTCATTTGCAAAAATACTGTGTTATATTTCCCAAAATTAAGGCCGCTTCCACTACTTGTGAAAAAAGAAAACCTTTGAATGGCTGTAATTTAAACTTCAAATTAACTAATGTTCTGTTCTTTTTATGTAGCCTAATTAATTGCTGTGTATTATCCGCAATGTGTATATTTACTTTTTAACACATTTTATATAATATGCCATAGTCATATGTTAGATTACACAGTATGTATTCAAGAATTTATGTAAGTAGCAAATTAGACATAGTATATTTTAATATATTTTATAAGTCAGTATGTCATTTAAGTAATTTATGTAATTAGCAGATTAGACATTGTATATTTAAATTTTAAATACATTGCATTATATTAACTATGTCATTTTACATTATGAACCATTGGAAAGAAAAATAAAGTTATTGAATTCATCAAGTTTAGTTATATTTTTTTGGCCTGTTACAAGTTTGAAACAATTACTTCAAACATATTCATTAAAGCTTGATTGGAATTTACTTTTTGCAGCTTTTGTATAAGCTTTCTGGAGCTACCAATTACTGTTGTCATATGATGGAGCATGGTTGTGTGCATACTATGGCTCAAACCCACATTCCCAGGGTATGTCAATCACTAGGCCACTAGTATCGTCTACAGTGAAAACATCAAAAATAATGTAAATTTGGGGGATCTTTACACACTAAAAATTTCATTTGTCTTGTGAGTTTCATAAATAACGGCATTAAGTACATTACAAGAAAGACAATTTATTTTCTAGCAGCATAATACATGTATAAGAATTTGACAACTGGGCTGAACAGTCACCCAGAAGCTACAGTTTCTAATAAATCACAGATACTGTCTATAAATAGAATGGAATGCAAAATGTCCAATCATATCTGATATCCATAATCACATGTAAATGTACCTATAAATAGACCATGTAGACAGAATGAAAATGTCCAATCAGATCCAACATCCGTAGTCACATGTCAAAGTATCTATAAATACACTGAATGCAAATGTCCAATCAGATCCAACTTCCATAGTCACATGTCAATGTATCTATAAATAGGCTAAATGTAAATGTCCAATCAAATCCAACTTCCATAGTTTCATCATCAAGTTCCAGAATTGAGATTGTATAGAATTGACTTTAAATTGAGAGCCAGGAAAGCTTGGTCATTGGAGCATCCTCTTAACAGTTCCTGTATAATTCCAGTAATTGTGTAAACTTCAAAGAATCTTTTGTTTGTCCTGATAAAAAAGAACAAAATATGCATGTCAAAAAACGATCTTTCAGGAAATATTAATAAAAAGACAGTAAACAGTTTGGATGAAAGCTTGCTTAAAATTTAAGTGAGTGCATAAACTTATGTTATAGAACTTGCTGGAAAGGCGAGTCTCTTGGTTTATGACAAAATAAACTAACATCATTGTAGTATAGAAAATATGAAATACTTTATAATAATTTATTTGCATAGTCAACAAAAACATGTATGGTAAAATATAAAAGGTCTCATATTTTTTCACTAAGATAAACCCTAAAATGTGATGAATTTAGCTCCTGAATTACAATAATCAGTTTTTGCATGAAAAAGTATGATGACTCTTCATACTTTTGAAAGCTTCTAAAAGACTAAGCTCAATCTCTCTAGAAGCTTGAGATAAAGAAAAATGATGACTCACCTTACTTTTGAAAGCTTCTGAAGGACTATGCTCAATCTCTCTAGAAGAAAATGATTACTCACCTTACTTTTGAAAGCTTCTGAAAGACTATGCTCAATCTCTCTAGAAGCTTGAGATAAAGAAAAATGATGACTCACCTTGCTTTTGAAAGCTTCTGAAGGACTATGCTCAATCTCTCTAGAAGAAAATGATGACTCACCTTACTTTTGAAAGCTTCTGAAAGACTATGCTCAATCTCTCTAGAAGCTTGACATAAAGAAAAATGATGACTCACCTTACTTTTGAAAGCTTCTAAAGGACTATGCTCAATCTCTCTAGAAGAAAATGATGACTCATCTTACTTTTGAAAGCTTCTGAAAGACTATGCTCAATCTCTCTAGAAGCTTGAGATAAAGAAAAATGATGACTCACCTTACTTTTGAAAGCTTCTGAAGGACTATGCTCAAACTCTCTAGAAGATAATGATTACTCACCTTACTTTTGAAAGCTTCTGAAAGACTATGCTCAATCTCTCTAGAAGCTTGAGATAAAGAAAAATGATGACTCACCTTACTTTTGAAAGCTTCTAAAGGACTATGCTCAATCTCTCTAGAAGAAAATGATGACTCATCTTACTTTTGAAAGCTTCTGAAAGACTATGCTCAATGTCTCTAGAAGCTTGAGATTAAGAATCATGATGACTCACCTGACTTTTGAAAGCTTCTGAAGGACTATGCTCAATCTCTCTAGAAGCTTCATATCCTGTCTTGGAGCCCTGAGAACCATGGCAACAGTACGGAACCAAGTTTCATTACTACAGCTCTCCAGAAATGGAGGGAGAAAGGGAGAATCTGTTGACATTTGCAGGAATATATCCATAGCTGGTGACATAAATGGCTGAAATAATGAAATTAAAGTTTCCTTTCCTTCTTTTACAATTTATATTTATAGTATGAAAGTAGGCAAAAGCCTATGAACGAGAAAGTCAGATTAAAAAAAAATTTCATTTTTTATTTTACATTTTTCGATTTGAAGTTGTCATTCAGAATTTCATGCACTGCTTTCATTTTCAATTGGAACACCTCGACAATTATTCTTAAGCTGCAAAAGTTAAGAATGTACTGTTATCAGAATACCCTTCCAATTTTCATTGAGTTAGTGCCGAGCTAGAAATGACACTGAAAATTTCAATAAAAGAAATCTATGTATTTTTTAACTGTTTTTTATTTGATTTCATTTTAAATATACACATGTAGTCTTTTATGGGGCAAGCCAAAGCTCAGAGGTCTTTGACTTCCCTATATACATGTAACACTTTACATCTTCAAGTAATAACTGGTTATCCAGAAAGAAAATGTCAAATTCATCAAGAAAAGTACTAGTACTCACTTTATTTACAGGTTTTAGGAACTGTAAGGCAACAGTGGTGCCCTGGTAGTACAGAAATAATTCTTTTGCCACATCTGACTTTAAATCAGCTTTCAATACATCAAACACATGGGCTAACAAATCAACTGAAAAAAAAATGCTTACACTAAATATTTCATGAAAATTTGCTGCTTATACAGTAAAATGATTTTTATCTAGGACAAAATGGTTTCAAATACACTGTATGTACTTTTTTTAACAATAAATTATAACTTTGATGAAAAATATGGATGACAATCTGTCATACATGCATGTTTCTTACAAATATGATTAACAACAGGAATGCCTCCCAACTGACATTGCTTAAATTTTTAGAACACCCCATTTGCAAGTTAGAAGATTTTAGTATTAAACTAACAAGAGCTGTTGGTAGGACAATTCTCAGTGCTTGATAGTAAAACAAGAACCTGGAAAAGAATTTTTGGATGATCATCAAGTTCAAGAAGGGCCATAATTCTGTAAAAAAATCCATGTTTAAGTTATGGACCTTGAACAGGGACCTCCTGTTATGCTTTCAAATAAGCGTGTGAAGTTTCATTTCGTTCCATAGTTTTGGCACAAAAGCTCTTCCTTTTCTTTGAAAAGTTGAGCTAAAAAAAGTGTATTCATAGGACACTTTGCCCCTGCATAATTTGCCTATCATGATGGCATATTATATACTTCATCCAATCACAGTATGCTCCTAATTTTTTGTAAATGTTGGCATATATATTTGAGCATAGATGCACAGACACACCCCAAGTCTGTGTTTGGTGACATGAATAAGTAAGTATTGCTGCTAGCCTTCAACATGGTAAAGGAAATGATGAATATATGGTAGTATAGGGATACCTTGAGAACAGTAGGCCAATAAGTATCATTGCTAAAATTAAATGGGTTTAAAGGAGAGGGTAAATTTAGTAAATACCTTGAGACAGTGTACGTAAGATTATCAGTGATGACAACAATCGAACATGCATATTTGAACTTCTGAAGTATATTCCTTCTCGGTTTTTCTCAGTTTTCACTGGAGATGTTGTGACGTCGGTGATTGTGTAGGGATCCGTATCGTAGAAACGTACTGTCTTGGACCGGTACAATTCCTCTCCAAGCCTCCGAAATGTCGAAGAAAGATTTGACTTCTGCTGAAATTTCAACAGTCCTTTTTTATCCCAAGATGCAATGCAAAATGATAAGGAAATATTGAAAAATACATTTTTAATCAGGTCATGTCAAAAACCTCATCTTAGCTATGACCAGGTGTACGAGAAACGGCACCCTGATGAGTACATTTAAATTTGTAATCTAGGCTTAATGAGTTTCCATCCACCCTTTTAGGCACTGAGAGTTAACCGTTATTGTAAAATAATTAATATGTGGACTTTAAACAACACTAATGTTGGTTTGTAGATGATTTAAATAGAAAGGAATTGACAAATAAGATAACATTAAACCTTTACTCCTAAATATGAATTATTATACCCATTCCCCTACTATAAACAGCAAATATAGTTAAATATCAAAATGCTACATTAAGATAAATATTTTTTTCATTTATTACCTCCCTGAAGCTTTTTATATACAAAGTAGTACAAACTCATTGCTCTAAACACAGCTTTAGCCGTGCAGTCTGACCAGGCTCTATACTATTGGCTGGCCAAGTTCTAATTCTCACTTTCATATCCCTTAAAAACTGATAATGGACTGTTCCAAAATGGAAATTGGAAAAGTCCATTTAAGAAATTCAGCAGGTTAAGGGTTAATTTTCAAATGAACTAGTCCAAATTCAAAGCAGAACAAATCTATTACACAAATTCAGCAGATTCAGGGTATAAGCTACACTAAAAATATGAGAATACAATTTTCAAACCTGTTGACCTTGACTTTGTTCTACATGTACGAGAGCCCAGTATGTGAACTGTAAACATGGCAGACATAACTTCAGGTTGTGTCCTGGGAACTCCTTCAACATCTCTACAAGGGCTGGTAAAATCTGTTAACAATAAATCAATTTCTTTCATCACATCAATAATGGCATGCTTGCATTGACAATGACTGGTCTATGATTCCAGTATTATACATAGTATAGTGTAAAGTATAATCTGTCTGCATGTTAGGTGAGCATATTTGAAAGGCTTAATTCTATTTTACAGATTTTAAATTTTAGTCCTTACCTTGTTGGCGGCAAAAGATCACAACCATGTGACCAGTGGAGATCAAGATCAGCTATTCCAATTGATCATGATCTGTGATCTGCACTGTTCAATAATAAGTCAGTAATTATCCCTAAAACTGGTGAATGATTTTGTCCAGATAAGGATTTATCATGGAATGGCTTTGTCAACTGTTGCCATGCAATGTTTTTGTAATTAAGTTCATACAAAATTTATTTAATTTCAGTTGCTAAGGATATTTTAATCTATTGCTAGGGAATGTCATTACGACCTATTGCCATGAAATGGCATTGTGACCTGTTCTGATAGACTTGCATTTTTGTACTTTTGCTATGCAATTACTTTTAAATTGTTCCTATGAAAATTAAGAAATAATCATTTATTAATAATTGCTCTATACATTTACATACCTTAATGACTTTTTCCTGCAAGAATTCTTGTGTTGCCACTCGGTCAACAGGTTTCAGTATATTGTCTATAGTTGTATATCGTAACTGAGAATCAGAAACCCAATCTAGTAGAGTAGACATCACTTCATATGTGGTAACTGGTAACTAGTTATAAAACAACAGAATTTAAAGGTCTATAATCTGTATGTTACAATAAAAAATTGTATTATATACATTTATAAATTATATTATTAGTTATAAAATTTCTTGACAGGTTATATAGGCCCTATATAAATAGCTGTTTGTATATGTGACCCAAGCCACTAGGCAAGGGTCATATAATTGAAATCAAATGTTAATTAAGGATAATACATTGAACCTTTGAAGAATCTTTATAACCAATTTATAATACACCAAACTTTCTTTTATTGGAGAATAAAATGACATTTCTTCAAAGATTAACACGAGTCATTTTTATAACATCACAATTATCCAATGAAAAGAACCCTTAAAAACATGCAATATTATATACAATTTAATTGCTATATAAACATCATACAGCAGTCATATTGTCTTGGGTTAATGTATTTAGTAGGTCTCAATGGCAGCTGTATAGTGACCTACCTTTCATTAAATATAACACACACACACGCACACAAACACACACATGCATACATATCTATATTTATCTATATTTATATATATACATAACTATCTATGCAAGAATAGTAAAATGCCACCTTAAAACCGAGAATTTACACAAGCATGATATTAGTATGACCCAGTTTGACTTAACTTACTTATGGTGGTCAATATACCATTGACCGTTAAGTTAACATTTGAGGCATTAATTTGGCCAATGTAGAAGTACATTTTTTCATATCATTTTATTATAATGCTTGGCTAAAATTCAAAAGATTTTTTTCAAAAAGTCAAGGACTATTATTTTAAACAAGAGGGCCATGATGGCCCTGAGGTCGCTCACCTGTATATAGGCCCCCCCCCCCCCCCCGGGCCAATTTTTTACCCAAGGGCTTTTATTTGTTTATTTGAACAGACTTGGTAGACACCCATAAGAAGATGTTTCATGCTAAACATTTAAGTTCTAGCTCATTGGCTTTTTTAAAAGAAGATTTTTAAAGTTTTTACTATACACATATAGTTAAAAACAATGACACCCCTGGGGCAGGGCCAGTTTTGACCCCAGGGCTTTTATTTGAACATACTTGGTAGACACCCATTAGAACATGTTTCATGCTAAATATCTTAGCTCTAGCTCTTTGAGTTCTTTAAAAGAAGATCTTTTAAGTTTTTACTATATGCATATAGGGAAAATCAATGACCACCTGGGGCGGGGCCAATTTTGACCCCAGGGCTTTTATTTGAACAAACTTGGTAGACAATCATTAGAAGATGTTTCATGCTAAATATCTTTGCTCTAGCTCTTTGGGTTCTTTAAAAGAAGAATTTTTAAGTTTTTACTATATGCATATAGGGAAAATCTATGACCCCCTGGGGCGGGGTCAATTTTGACCCCAGGGTTTTTATTTGAACAAACTTGGTAGACACTCACTAGAAGATGTTTCATGCCAAATATCTAAGCTCTAGCTCTTATGGTTCTTAAAAAGAAGATTTTTTAAGTTTTTACTATACGCATATAGGGAAAATCAATGACCCCGGGGCGGGGCCAATTTTGACCCCAGGGCTTTAATTTGAACAAACTTGGTAGACACTCACTAGAAGATGTTTCATGCTTAATATCTTAGCTCTAGCTCTTTGGGTTCTTTAAAAGAAGATTTTAAAGTTTTTACTATATGCATATAGGGAAAATCAATGACCCCCTGGGGCGAGGCCAATTTTGACCCCAGGGCTTTTTATTTGAACAAACTTGGTAGACATTCACTAGAAGATGTTTCATGCCAAATATCTAAGCTCTAGCTCTTACGGTTCTTTAAAAAGAAGATTTTTTAAGTTTTTTACTATATGCATATAGGGAAAATCAATGACCCCCTGCGGCGGGGCCCAATTTTAACCCAGGGCTTTTATTTGAACAAACTTGGTAGACACTCACTAGAAGATATTTCATGCCAAATATCTAAGCTCTAGCTCTTATGGTTTTTTAAAAGAAGATATTTAAAGTTTTTTCTTTTGGTTGCCATGGCAACCAGAGTTCTGCATGGAATTAAATTCTTTGAACAATTTTTAAAAGGTGACCACCAAAGGAACATTCCTGTGAAGTTTGGATGAAATTGGCTCAGGTGGTTTATGAGGAGATGTCATTTACAGCAAAAGTTTACGGATGGACGGACGACGGACGAAAAGCGATCACAAAAGCTCACCCTTTCACTTTGTGACAGGTGAGCTAAAAAGGTCAAATTAAGAAGTTGTACTGTTACAATGTCTTATCAAAAAATAAAGTAAAAATCTGGACAATAATTAAATTAATACAATATTGACTTAAATTAATATCACAACTAGGGTCAGAAAAAAAAGCCTTACTAAGACTCAATTCAGAGACCCTCAGAATACATGTACCATACCTCAGCACTACAAAAACAAGAGGGCCATGATGGCCCTGAGGTCGCTCACCTGTAATAGCCCCCCCCCCCCCCCGGCCCAATTTTTACCCAAGGGCTTTTATTTGTTTAATTTGAACAGACTTGTAGACACCCATAAGAAGATGTTTCATGCAAAACATCTAAGTTCTAGCTCATTAGGTTTTTTAAAAGAAGATTTTTTAAGTAATTTATTATACACATATAGTTAAAAACAATGAACACCCTCGGGCAGGGCCAGTTTTGACCCCCGGGCTTTTATTTGAACAAACTTTGTAGATATTTACTTAAAGATGTTTCATGCTTAATATCTAAACTCTAGCTATTTTGGGTTTTTTCAAAGAAGATTTTTAAGTTTTTGCTATACACATATAAGGAAATCAAATGACCCCCGGGGCGGGGCCAGTTTTGACCCCAGGGCTTTTATTTGAACAAACTTGGTAGACACCTATTAGAGCATGTCTCATGCTAAATATCTTAGCTCTAGCTAATTTGGGTTCTTTAAAAAGAAATTTTTTATGTTTTTACTATACGCATATAGGGAAAATCAAATGACCCCGGGGCGGGGCCAATTTTGACCCCAGGGCTTTAATTTGAACAAACTTGGTAGACACTCACTAGAAGATGTTTCATGCTTAATATCTTAGCTCTAGCTCTTTGGGTTCTTTAAAAGAAGATTTTTAAGTTTTTACTTTATGCATATAGGGAAAATCAATGACCCCCTGGGGCGAGGCCAATTTTGACCCCAGGGCTTTTATTTGAACAAACTTGGTAGACATTCACTAGAAGATGTTTCATGCCAAATATCTAAGCTCTAGCTCTTACGGTTCTTTAAAAGAAGATTTTTTAAGTTTTTACTATATGCATATAGGGAAAATCAATGACCCCCTGCGGCGGGGCCAATTTTAACCCCAGGGCTTTTATTTGAACAAACTTGGTAGACACTCACTAGAAGATATTTCATGCCAAATATCTAAGCTCTAGCTCTTATGGTTTTTTAAAAGAAGATATTTAAAGTTTTTTCTTTTGGTTGCCATGGCAACCAGAGTTCTGCATGGAATTAAATTCTTTGAACAATTTTTAAAGGTGACCACCAAAGGAACATTCCTGTGAAGTTTGGATGAAATTGGCTCAGTGGTTTATGAGGAGATGTCATTTACAGCAAAAGTTTACGGATGGACGGACGACGGACGAAAAGCGATCACAAAAGCTCACCCTTTCACTTTGTGACAGGTGAGCTAAAAAGGTCAAATTAAGAAGTTGTACTGTTACAATGTCTTATCAAAAATAAAGTAAAAATCTGGACAATAATTAAATTAATACAATATTGACTTAAATTAATATCACAACTAGGGTCAGAAAAAAAATGCAGCCTTACTAAGACTCAATTCAGAGACCCTCAGAATACATGTACCATACCTCAGCACTACAAAAACAAGAGGGCCATGATGGCCCTGAGGTCGCTCACCTGTATATAGCCCCCCCCCCCCCGGCCCAATTTTTACCCAAGGGCTTTTATTTGTTTATTTGAACAGACTTGGTAGACACCCATAAGAAGATGTTTCATGCAAAACATCTAAGTTCTAGCTCATTAGGTTTTTTAAAAGAAGATTTTTTAAGTATTTATTATACACATATAGTTGCTCTTTGGGTTCTTTAAAAGAAGATTTTTAAGTTTTTACTATATGCATATAGGGAAAATCAATGACCCCCTGGGGCGGGGCCAATTTTGACCCCAGGGCTTTTATTTGAACAAACTTGGTAGACATTCACTAGAAGATGTTTCATGCCAAATATCTAAGCTCTAGCTCTTACGGTTCTTTAAAAGAAGATTTTTTAAGTTTTTACTATATGCATATAGGGCAAATCAATGACCCCCCGGGCCGGGCCCAATTTTAGACCCCAGGGCTTTTATTTGAACAAAACTTGGTAGACATTCACTAGAAGATGTTTCATGCCAAATATCTTAGCTCTAGCGCTTTCGGTTCTTTTGAAAAGAAGATTTTTTAAGTTTTTACTATATGCATATAGGGAAAATAAATGACCCACCTGGGGCAGGGCCAATTTGGACCCCAGGGCTTTTTATTTGAACAAACTTGGTAGACAATTCACTAGAAGATGTTTCATGCCAAATATCTAAGCTCTAGCTCTTACAGTTCTTTAAAAGAAGATTTTTTTAACTTTTTACTAATATGCATATAGGAAAAAACAATGACCCCCTGGGGCGGGGCCAATTTTGACCCAGGCTTTTATTTGAACAAACTTGGTAGACATTCACTAGAAAGATGTTTTTATGCCAAATATCTAAGCTCTAGCTGTGACGGTTCTTTAAAAAAGATTTTTTTAAGTTTTTTACTATATGCATATAGGAAAATCAATGACCCCCAAGGGCGGGGCCCAATTTTGACCCCAGGGCTTTTATTTGAACAAACTTGGTAGAACATTCACTAGAAGATGTTTCATGCCAAATATCTAAGCTTCTAGCTCTTAAAGTTCATTAAAAGAAGATTTTTTAAGTTTTTACTATATGCATATAGGGAAAATCAATGACCCCCCAGGGCGGGGCCAATTTTGACCCCAGGCTTTATATTTGAACAAACTTGGGTAGACATTCACTAGAAGATGTTTCATGCCAAATATCTTAGCTCTAGCTCTTTGGGTTCTTTAAAAGAAATTTTTTAAGTTTTTACTATATGCATATAGGGAAAATCAATGACCCCCTGGGGCTGGGCCAATTTTGACCCCTGGGCTTTTATTTGAACAAACTTGGTAGACCATTCACTAGAAGATGTTTCATGCCAAATATCTAAGCTCTAGCTCTTAAAGTTCATTAAAAGAAGATTTTTTAAGTTTTTACTATATGCATATAGGGAAAATCAATGACCCCCTGGGGCGGGGCCAATTTTGACCCCAGGGCTTTTATTTGAACAAACTTGGTAGACACTCACTAGAAGATGTTCCATGCCAAATATCTTAGCTCTAGTCTTACGGTTCTTTAAAAGAAGATTCTTTAAGTTTTTACTATATGCATATAGGGAAAATCAATGACCCCCCGGGGCGGGGCCAATTTTAACCCCAGGGCTTTTATTTGAACAAACTTGGTAGACACTCATTAGAAGATGTTTTCATGCCAAATATCTAAGCTCTAGCTCTTAGGGTTGTTTAAAAGAAGATATTTAAAGATTTTTTCTTTCGGGTTGCCATGGCAACCAGAGTTCTGCATGGAATTAAATTCTTTGAACAATTTTTAAAAGGTGACCACCAAAGGAACATTCCTGTGAAGTTTTGGATGAAATTGGCTCAGTGGTTTATGAGGAGATGTCATTTAAAGCAAAAGTTTACGGACGGACGACGGACGCCCGGACGGACGAACGGACGGACGGACGGACGGACGCCGGACGAAAAGCGATCACAAAAGCTCACCCTGTCACTTTGTGACAGGTGAGCTAAAAATCAATCAAACAAAACAACATAATTAAGTTACTGTTTAATCATGTTGTGTGTGTGTTTGGGGGGGGAGATATCATTTTTAAAAAGAATTGAAAAATAGTAAACAAATTTAACATGTGTACCTTTTGTGTTTTAGTTGACTTTGGCCTATCCTTATCCTCAGTCGGATAGTCTGGCTGGGGTTTGGACTTAGGTACAGCCATAGGGAGTGACAGGTCAGCTTCACGTTGCCGTTGAACAAAATCTTGCTTTCTCTGTAAGTTTGTAAGTCGGGCCTGGACACTTAATGACTGCTTCTCTAATTTTTCATGCTGACCTTTCAAAGCTTCTAGCTGTAACAAAAACGAAAACAGTTATTATAAGTTACTCCTCCTTTACAACCTTTTCTCTTTAATGCTTGATTGAATAGCTTGTTCACAAATTTTGTCATAACTCTTTTCTTTTCTTTTTTTTTTTGCGTCTCTTTAACCTAGTCACCAGCTCACAGAATGTTTAATGGGTAATAATAATTTGTATGGTATAAAAAAGTGGTCATAACCATCATTACAAGTTTATCTACCTGTATTATATGTGAATAAGTAGGAACATGTGAAGACCGGTCAATCTGTCTCAAATGCAGAGCACTTTAAATGAGATAGTATACAACTTTTCAGATAGGCAACTAATCTGTATTTGATTTTGAGACCACCTGCTGTGTCTTAATTGTGAAGATGTCACCAGCAAGCAAACACATTGGTACAGACATACTTTTGATGTTAAACTTGTTATCAATGGTCAGTCCAAATTTCCAAACACTATGACCAAAATTTTTAATGGTTGAACTAAACTAGTCTATCATATTAAAGACATATCTAACCTATCAAATTAGTATACTCTTCCATCATCTCATAAAACAATTTTTTTAATTACTGAAAATTAAATATGTTGTACAATTATATCAACATTTCCATTATCATAAGTTAGTAAATCATCATTTACATGACACAACATTTTCATTATCATTAATAAGTAAATCAACATTTACATGGCACAACATTTTCATTATCATTAATAAGTTAATCAACATTTACATGACACAACATTTTCATTATCATTAGTTAGTAAATCATCATTTACATGACACAACATTTTCATTATCATTAATAAGTAAATCATAATTTACATGACACAAAATTTTCATTATCATTAATAAGTAAATCATCATTTACATGACACAACATTTTCATTATTAATAAGTAAATCAACATTTACATGACACAACATTTTCATTATCATTAATAAGTAAATCAACATTTACATGACATAACATTTTCATTATCATTAATAAGTAAATCAACATTTACATGACATAACATTTTCATTATCATTAATAAGTAAATCAATCGATTAAATGCTGTGGAAGCATATATCTCACATACGCAAGATTTTTCAGTGACAATATATTTGTTGGCAATCAAAGTACTGAAAGCACAAGTGTGACTAAAATGCATCAAATTGATTGATCCGCTAAAAAGTTAAATCTATAAGGTATGGAACAGAGACATAATCATGCATGTATAAGTCATCTAAACATTGTCACTACTTGGCTGTTTTGTTTGTGGTTATATCTAAGCTGACAAAATTTCAAAGAAACAAAATATAAAATTAACAAAAATTTACAAAATTATATCTAGGAGAGAGTCTGATACTGTATAGAGAAATTTGTAAAGGATATAGTAAATACACAAACTTAGAATTTAACCAGATTAAAAAACAAAACAAATTAAGTTCAAGGTCCCTCCTGATTCAATAAATCACTTGCCCCTCATGGCTATGGCTTTGAACCCTATCAGGGTACTTTGTTTGTTGTTTTTTCATGTGAGTGAGTTGTCACTTGTTTAGAAATATCTTTATGTCTATAAATCCCCAGGTCTCAATGTTTTCTAACTTTCAAATACATTAGTCTGATGACATAATCTTACAGTATTAACTACATCTCATCTTGTATTGCATGTGTGGTGGTGACATTAGGTTGTAATGACCAACAGCTTTCATGTCAAACTGTCAAAATATCCTGTCATATGTATTAATCAAATTAATACCAAGATTTCAATAAGTTTAAGTGGAAATGTTTTCCCTTTGTCAGCTATTCTGTTTTATATTTACAGGAGAGTAAGTATATCCCTATTAGCATGTACTTCATAAAATAGTGATTCATTTATTACCTCCTTTTAAAATGAAATTATAGTTTGTTTTCATTTCCCCTTTTAAGTTGGGTTTAAAATGAAATTATGGCCGTTTAAGTATAAATGATGAGTGCAAAGATAAAGTCAAAATAACTTTATATTTTGCAATGATTGCTTTAAATTTTATTTTCTTCTTCACATGAATAATTTATTATTCACTTGAACCACAGAAATGGCAAGTTTTACAGGTGGGGTAAATACATTAGTAAATCTCTGTACATTATTCAGGGCAGGTGATCACATAAATTTTGTTAAAGATAACACTTTTTCAGTAGCCATGATTAATTAAAAGGGTACAGTACAAGGACTTTAGAGTGCCACCTTTTGGGAAACCCTACTGAAAGGAGTGACTTTAGGGCGAGTTTTATTCTCTGTGAAGTCTTACTGAGGGATATAAGATGATTATGTTGTTGTACAGAGTTGATTTCTCTGCAGGGAGAGGGGATACTGTACTAAGGTTGTACTAAATTTGCAATTTTTTCTATATATCTGTTAATGTTTTCAAGATTCATTTATATAGATCATGTATCAGAAAAGTAATTTCCGATGCTAACCATACATAATTTTCCAAATGTTACTCCTTTTTTCTAGTAACACATGAACTAGTACAAAGTTAATTTAAACTAAGCGACCACGGGGGCTGGACCAATTCTAACCAAAGGGGCATGATTTATAACTTTTGTTGAGGTCCATAAAGTGATGCTATATGCTTAATATCAAAGCACTGGGCATTGTTGTTTCTGAGGAAAAGATGTCAAAATTGTATTCTTAACATCTATTTTTTAGCTTTTTTTGACCTACTTACGCCTCAGACTTGAACCATTTATATAAACAAAAAATTAAAAAAGAAACCTATAGATCATTCAATGTGAAGTTTGGTAAAAATCAGCCTTGTGATTTAAGTGATGGTGTTTAAAGAAATTGTTGAACAATTAAAAACAACAGATACATAACTATCAAAAAAGCTCAATTAACAGCATTTTTGTGCTCTGAAAGAACTACTTATCTTTGAAGGATTTAATTTTTCTACATGTCAAAACATAGTGCAAGGACACATGCACTTACATTTATATCATATTTATGTAATAACCAAGCTGTTTCAGTGTTATTCACCAGTGAAAGTACAATGCTATATCATCACCTTAGCGCAATAATTGGTTAACTGCTATTAAATTTAACCCGTTACTGCACTTAGGTGATGATATATTGACCTGACAAGCAATGCAATTTCCATTTAAACCTGTATGTTAATATAAACCTGTATGTTAATATAAACCTGTAAGTTACCTCTTTTCTCTGAGCATCATTGGCTAGCTTCAAGGTCTCAAAATTATCTTTCAATCTCTTGTTCTCTTTTGTCTTCTCTTTCAATGCCAGCTCTATCTTCATTAACTCTGCCTTGTATTTCTGAATAATGAAACATAAATTAGCCGCGTCATGACAAAACCAACATAGTGTGTTTGAGAACAGCATGGATTCAGACCAGCCTGCGCATCCCCGCAGTCTGATCAGGATCCATGCTGTTCGCTATCAGTTTCTCTTCTTGTAATAGAGTTGGTAAGCGAACACAATGGATCCTGATAAGACTGTGCGGAGGCGCAGGCTTGTGTGGATCCATTCTGGTGGCAAACCCATTATGTTGGTTTTGTCATGACGCGGCTCAAATGTGTTTGAACATCACAATAACAAAGTAGCTGCAAAATTTTATAAGATACATGTGTATCTATGTATCACCTTAAGGGGTTACTATACAATTTGATAATAGATATGCAATCTGATGTATTAATTAGAATTGATACCTTGTTGTAAAGATCTGTGACCGGTACTTTTAATGTTTTTTTTTTAAACAATAATTTAATACAGGAAACTTTTACATACAAATGTAAAGTTCATGACATAATCTGTATTCATGACGGATCTCTATAATAAAGTATGTATTGGTAGTGTTATTTTATTTGATATAAAGCATATGGAATACAAAATGTATCTCCCTCATATAAAAAATGCAAGATATGTCTATGCTTGTTAATAATAATTATATGCCTGTATAGCTTGATATGTAAATATGTTATAGCTCATATTGTAATGTTTTTCATGTATTAAGTATTAAATAAAAACTTGTAAAACAATGTATATAAACTTCTTATAAAACAGATTTCAAGCACTAAATATTTCACTAGTGACTAAATTAAATTTGTAAATGCTTACTAGTTAAAGGACCCTAGCCTATTCTTAAAATTGCTGAAACAAAAGTGGACTGGTATCTTCTATAAAACAAATTACATTCATTTTTATAATGCACGTATGAAGTATCAAAAATGGAGACACCTTGTCATAACCCATGCTGACCGCATTTATTTTATAAGTTACTGACAAAAACTGGCCTTTATGGTTCAAATAAATACAAGTACGTATGTACTTAGTTAAAACAACATAGACCCATAAATTATAACATTCATATCAGGTCATGTCTTGGTTAATGACCATATAGATTTCATAAAAAATGAGCATTCAATTTTTATTGAAGAAGGAAGTAATAACAGTCAAAATATTGACCTACACTTATCAAGAAAGTCACAATGGCCCTTATATTGTTCAACTAAACTTTAACAATAAATACCACAATGACTCTTATATTGCTCACATTCAATATAAAAAAAATATGCCACAATGGCTCTGATATTGCTGCCCTGTACTTAATCCAAGGAATCTATAATGGCCCTAATATTGCTCACCAGTACTTTAACCAAAGAAGCCACAATGGACCGTTCGGTAAACAACTTTGCAACCTCTAAATTCAATCCTGAATAATAAAACCTTTCCCCCACTAAATGTGTGACAGTAACTCAATATAGACAAGAACTGTTGGAGGACAGCGACGCTCGACTATTAGGAAAAGTTGTCAAGCCGGTGTTTCATTGAGTATAATAATGCTTACCTATATGAATACATAAAATTGTCCCAAAAGGTACAAAGGCTTGTTATTAAGATGCTTTATTGAGTAAATCACTGCTTTATTATTATGAATGCATAAAACTGTCCCAAAAAAGCACAAACCCTTCGTTGTTATGGAAATACCAGCTTACAATCAAAAATTTTACCAAGAATTTCTAAGTCATAAAAGGGGCATAATTATGCAAAAAAGCAAATCAGAGTTTTGGGACTTGTGTCAATCATGTAAGATAATCACAGAGAACAAGTGTATTAAGTTTCAATCAATTCCATTTAGTAGTTATGGAGATACTAGCTTACATGCAAAAACTTTACCAAGAATTTCTAAGTCAAAAAAGGGGCATAATTATGCAAAAAAGCATATCAGAGTTATGGAACTTAAGCCAATCATGTTAGAAAATCACAGAGAACAAGTGTGTGAAGTTTCAATCCATTCCCTTCAGCAGTTATGGAGATAATTGCTTACACGCAAAAAACTTAACCACAGGCACGCCGACAAATGGGTGACTGCATTAGTTTGATTATTCTACGAATAGTCTAGCTAAAAATGATTTCTCAAATCCTGAATTCAGAATTTTACTATCCATCAATGAAAGTGAATTCAGTGTTAGAACTGTGAAAATTAAGACAGGATACAAATAGTACAACTGGCCAAACAGAATGCGTGCATAGGATGTCCACAGTCTATACCAGTAACCTAGTCATTACATTTGTTACTTTACATTTGTAACTTTCACTAACAGGTTTATTTGAGCCGTGTCATGACAAAACCAACATAATGGGTTTGCGACCAGCATGGATCCAGACCAGCCTGCACGTCCGCGCAGTTTGATCAGGATCCATGCTGTTCGCTGTCAGTTTCTCCATTTGTAATAGAGTTGGTAAGCGAACAGCATGGATCCTGATCAGACTGCGCAGATGCGCAGGCTGGTCTGGATCCATGCTGGTCGCAAACCCACTATGTTGGTTTTGTCGTGACACGGCTCATTTCTACTTAAAATGAAACAAGTTAAACAGATTTGGTGGGGCATGTATGTCTTACAACCCCATAAATAACAGTTTCAAAAATAACAGTGTTTTTTGAGTGCTTACTGACATTATATATTACAATGTTTAACCATGTGACATGTACATTGTTCAAGTGGTTCTTTTTTTATAATTATTTTCTTTCTAATGCAAGGCAGTTTATCAAATGAAAACTAAAACGGTTAACCTGAGAGAAATAGAGGTCAACATGGAAATAGTGGTAGCCTGACTGGTCATCAGTGGTGGTTAAGTGTCGGCCTCTAAATCCAAGAGGCAGGGGTTTGAGCCTTACTGGGGTCATAGGATTTTACAACTATCAAAAACATTATACCTTTTTTTAAGAAACTTATTAGAACAACTTTTTGGTTTGGGCTCAAAATATTCTGCTGCAAGAGCTATAATTGTATATTTACATCATTTTTGAAGACTTTTTGAAAAACAGTTTTACTGCAATCTTATATGCACTTGTCAGTATAAATAAATGTAGTAACAAAATTGACCATGGTTTTAACAAGTTATGAGAAGTCATGTGACCTATTATGAGTTTGCAATCCATGGCATACAGTTGATAGCTCAATTTCAATATTGTGATATTGAAATCCCTAGAAAAATTAAATAAACTGTTCTAAATTCAAAGCTGGACTAATTCATTACAAGATTAAGGGTTAATAAAAATACACACCTCTTCTATTATTGAGACTCTCTGTTTGACCTCAAGGTCAGCAACAGTTTTCAGATTTTCCTGAGAGATTGACAACATTCTTTCTCTCTCCTTCAGGCTGTTCTCTCTGTCATGTAGAATACTGTTCTCCTCCTGTAAAACATTGATATTTGTAAACCAATATTTCATTGGAAATTTATATATTTCATTGGAAATTTATATTTCATTGGAAATTTATATTTCATTGGAAATTCATATTTCATTGAAACTAATATTTCATTTGAAACTTATATTTCATTGAAAACTAATATTTCATTTGAAACTTATATTTCATTGAAAACTAATATTTCATTGAAAATTTATACTTCATTGAAGTAATATTTCATGTTCAAAATTAATATTTCATTTAAAATCTACATATACAGTTGACTCTTGTTATCTTGAAGTCATTGGGACCATCCAAAATATATTGAGATAACGAAATGTAGGGAAAAACGCATTAGTGTTTGAACCAGAAAGAAACAACATGTGCATACCTAAAGTCAAATAAGCTAAGTATGATATTTCAATGTCTTGTTTTCTTGATCCTATTATCGCAATATTTTTAAAAAATAGTTAAATTAGCGGATGTATACTGGCAAAAATTTATACGGTAGTCAGTAATAAATACATATAGTGAGGTTTACTCAGTAATACACCACTATAGCTGTAACACTATTTTCTGTGTGGTCAATCGAGATATGGTTAGTTATCGGGCTCTTCTCGAGATTGTTCGACCGTTGTTTGTTTTTTTTATGTTGTGAAACAATACTGTATTGCAATTATAATGTTTCCATATTTTCACTATTTCAAATATTTTCAAGTAATGATGAATTAAATAGTGTTGAAATCTTTTATTAATAAGAAATTTACTCATTTTGGACATAAATCAGTCAACATGCTTATTTGATTAACTTTGATAAAAACAGCTTATCATCATTATGAGATGCCCTTTCTTAGGTTTGTGTTTTTCATATCTCTGCAGGGGACAAACAAATAAATATTGGTCGCGATAAACAAAGGATAATAGTGTGAAAATAACTGTTGGGACTGAAATTGTACTTTGAGATACTGAAAATGTCGAAATAAAAGTATAGAGATAAACAGATATATCCAATATAGCCAAAGACGGAAGAAAATCCGGACTTTCAAAATTTCATTGAGATAACGAAATATCGAGAAAACTGATGTTGAGATAACGATAGTTGACTGTATCACTGAAAATAAACTGGAAATTCTGAATATTTAATGGAAATTTTCTTTCCCTTTCCTTCAAACTTATAATTCGAATATTATCCTTGCTTCTTTTAAAAGCTGATATTTGAAACCAATATTTCATTAACACCTAATACTTCAATGGAAATTCATATTTCATTGAACTAATAATTCAACATTGTTATTTTATTGGAAACTAATATATCTCACTGAAGATTAAGTGGAAATTAATAATCCATGGAAACAGTCTTTCTTTCAAACTGTTCTCTCTATCATTTGGATTACTGTTCCCTTCCTTAAAAAGTTGATGTTGTAAACAAATATTTCATTGAAAACTAATATTTCAGAAACCTTCTACTCACTGTTGTGGGTTTAAATTTGTTATGACTTCTTTCAAACAAATGAGCAACCAAGCTTATAGAGCATTGGTTCTAAACTGGTGCTCTCTAAAATGTCTGAATAATTGTGTGTTATTTAAGATTCATGAGGGTCCAATTGCGCTTTCAGGCACTGAGCGTACTGACTTATGACTTAATGAAATAAGACTTTGAGGTTTATAAACATTTTTCCTGAGTGTTGACTCAAATCTCATGATTTCATTGGTCAATACATGCTGTGCTGGTTTTCTGACCAATCAAATACCTGAGATCTGAGTTTTAGTTTAAAAAATTCTTTATAACCTCTCACCCTGCTGTAATTCCTTCAATTTTGAAACTAAAGATTTAACTAAATGACATGTAACACAAAACAAGAAAAAAACCAAACCTTGAGTTTTTCACTGATAACTTCCAATTCCTTGTAGATTTCTTTGAGATTTCCTCTGCTTAAATCTGGGGGATCTATGAATAAAGAATGGTATCAATATTTAGCAGGACTGCATTGTATCTATATACATGTAAATAAGGACTAATAAATTGGCTCATATTTCTTTGCCTGATAAAATAAATTTCACTAAGAAATACAGCATTCGAAGCAGGGTGGCTAACTCAGATGACTTTTGAAACAAAGGAAAGTAAACACCATTAAAATTTTATAACGATATTGCTAGTAACGATATATCACTAATAATGATGCGGTCCAGACTGTTATTTTCAAATTGGTTACAGTCTCTCAGATATAATGGTATCCAGATATAACAATATAAATTTGGCAGTCCTCTGAACATGGTTATAAGGGGAGTTTACTATATGTGATGTAAAATTCTACCATTAGATAGGTTTCGGGAAAGTTATTAATATCTTTTTATCAAAGGTAATGAATTTTTTCTTCAAAAATTACATAAATCCTTACATAGAATTGCTACTCTTTGAGAAGAATTTCTGCTATTTCATTAACCTTTTCCATCTACAAAATCAGTTGGGCAAAGAAAACGGAAAATCACACAATTAAATGTCTATATTTGCCATGAAAAATTCATGAAAACATGCAATTCAGTTACATGTATGAGATCAGAGTGACACCCTTTCCTCCACTAAAGTTTAGAAAACCCTATCTCAAAATTTTCACTATGATTTATTATTTCACAAGGTGAGTAAAGATAAATTTCTTGCTTTATTTCTTGATTTCTTTTTCTAAAAAATATATAAGTGTCAATTCCATCTGTCATAAGACTGATACTGTCTGCAGGTTGCACACAGTCTGTGTAAATAATGTGTCAAATAATGACACTTCATACAGCATTTTACTTTATTATGTGACAACCTATTAAGAGAACAAGTGTTCATGACAAATTACCATATCTACAGAAGATATGACTTTATGGGTATAAAAATTGGCAGATCCACTGTATGTGCGTCTCATTCCCATAGTGCAGGCAGTTGACTGAAGATCTAAGGTAGAGCCGTACACCAAAAAAAAAGATGGATGTCAAAAATTATTTAACTTCTGTGGCAGTTTTCGTTTCCCTGATTTTCACAGGTAAAACATTCATTTTTATTTGTTTTTCTTTCTTTTTCTTATTCATTTTCTTTAAAAGTTTGATACACATATATATTTTTCATTCTCTTGCTGTTTGAGAAAATATCATACACATTTTGGGGCTTTGTTTCCCATAAAAACAAACATTTTGGGGGGGGGGGGGGGGGGGGGTAGTTATCTTAAAAGGAATTCAGCTTTGTAAATGTTTGTACAATTTGCAAAATAAGACTAAAATAAAACTCATAATTTTACTGAAATATAACTCATAATTAAACTGAAATATAACTCATAATTTTACTCAAATATAACTCATAATTTTACTAAAATATAACTCTATAATAAAATAAAATTTTACTTTTACCATAATTTCTCCACATATTTCTCACAAATATAATATTACATTTGGTATAAACACGCCTCATGATTTTGACTAGATTTAGATGCATATATATCTAATTAGATTTTGACTTATATCATGTTGCTTTTTTTTCATTTATCTTAGATCTAAACTGATTTTTTTTATTTTTAAAGTTGTTAATTTTTTATTTTCAAAGGATTTATCATAAATATCTCATAATTAAAAAAAAATCTTAATTTAATTTAATGTTCTTTCATTAGATTTTAAAACTGTTTCATTTTTTTAAAGGGTTTATATATATTGCATAACTTTTTCATTTGAAATTAACATATATATATATATGTCATATTTTTATTAGATTAAAGACATATCTCATATTTCTTTAATAAGTTAAAATATATCTAATGAATTTACTTAGAATTATTTATACCTCATAATTTCTTGTTAGATTTAAAAAATCTCATAATGTTTCACTTGCTTTTAATATGTCATATTTTACTCTTATTAGATTGAGATATATCCAAAAATATTCATATTTTCATGATTTTTCATTTTGTCCATACAATTTATAAATTACAAAATAGGATTTTTCATTACATAAAAAAATATCTCATAATTTTTCTCATGGATTAAAGTTATTTCAAAATTTTACAGCATTTGCAATATATTCTTAAACAATAATTTTTCCTTAAGTCTAAGAATTAAAAATATGTGATAAATACATAACCTTCATTAGATTTCAGATATTTTTATGAAGCACATGTAAACAGTAGGCTAAAACATGTAAAACCAAGATTTTGTTGTTATGAATATGTATCCATGTATAGGATAAAACAATCAAATACTTTGTTGAACTCACTTTATTCAACTGTCTAAACCTGTGAAGTGGTATGGAGGAAGTAATAGTATTCTAAAATAACTGGATGCTTCAACAAAACCTTTTAGATGATTTGTAAAATTAATTGTTCATATCAGACAGTAATATACAATTCTTTCTTTTTCAGCCCAATGTCAAATGTTTGAGCTCTCGCCTTTAGATATGATGCAACTACAGTCAGCTGTCCGGCAAATAGTGCATCCAAATGCTCAACCTACACCAGAAATAATGGCCATTGCAACCAGACAAGGTGCACCTCCCACGACTATAGCTCAGATGCTCGAGTACACACCTTTCCTCGTCAACCTAGCAATGCAGATGGGAGTTCGACCCCCAGGGAGCAACGGTACTGTTACCCATGAAGCACTCAGAAACTATATCATTGCTAGGGGAAATCAATGGATGCAACAGCAAGGAGCTTTAGCTGGTATGACAGGTGGGAGGATGGGACTTGGGACAGAGAACACAGGTTTTGGAGGTATGGGTTCAGCGCTGGTACCAACTCGCACAGCAACACCAGTGCAACCTCTTGGAGCTTTGTCTGGTCAACGAATGAGTGCTGCACCTATGGGAGGTTTTGGGTTCAATCCAATGTCATTAATGTTTCTGGATGGAGGACTCGATATACATCCTATGACTATGATGGGATCAATGGGTGCCGGAAATCCATTCTCCATGATGTATCTTATGCAAAATATGTAATGAACTTTCTAATTTACTTTGTATCATTAAAGTTATCTATAAACAGTTTCTCACTTTATGTCCAAGCCTATCACTTTAAGATTTTTTACTCTGTCAAAAATATATCAGCTGAAGAATCTAAAGTACCTAGCAGATTTGAACCAACAGTGGAGAGAGGCAGGAGACTCAAAAACAGTCACCTTAACCACTCAGCTATGAAAGGCACAAAAATATTCATGGTCTTGGAAAAAATATTGAACTGCAAATGTTAAAATTTTGCTATAGATACAGAAAATAACTTTTATACTCATACTTGAAAAAAGTACTTGACCGATGTACCAAAATGTTAAAAGTGATAATAATTCTCTGTGAAAGCTACAAGAGTCCTATGAATTGCTGCTAAAGAAAAATTACAAACCCACATGTATTCTTACTCAGCCTGTAGACGAGACAAATATAAAATTCTACCCTGACTTAAAACTTTAGTAGAGGCCCACTAGGAAATGCCAAGTTGCACAATTTAAGTATAACTTTTGTAGAGGATCACCTAAGGATCATAAGTGAAGTTTGGTTAAATCTCTCCAGGAGTTTAAGAGATGTTGCCTAAAATTGCAGACATGGACAAATGAGCCGCGTCACAACAAAACCAACATAATGGGTTTGCGACCAGCATGGATCCAGACTAGCCTGCGCATCCGCACAGTCTGATCAGGATCCATGCTGTTCGCTATCAGTTTCTCTACTTGTAATAGGGTTGGAAAGCGAACAGCATGGATCCTGATCAGACTGCACGGATGCGCAGGCTGGTCTGGATCCATGCTGGTCACAAAGGCATTATGTTGGTTTTGTCGTGACGCGACTTAAATGACAGACACACTGAAATCACAATAGCTCAACTCTGAACACTTTGTGCTCAGGTGAGCTGCTGAAAAAAAAAAGGCTTAAAGTACATCTTGTATTGTTGTAGCAAATGTTCATGATTAGTTGATTACCTTGAAGGTTGCTTTTCTTTTGTGACCTTTGCTCTTTTGTTTCAATAGAAGACTTCTCTCTACTGAGGTCTGACTTTTTCTTAAGCCTTCGACCTTTGCTCCTCCTTTCTTCAATGTGACCTTGAAAATCTGATAGCGAATCAGAATCAAGGATTTGCCCATGACCTGCATCTTCATGAGGTTGAATTGGGGTCACTGTAGAGTCTAGAGGTCACACAGAGCAAAAATTAATAGAAAAACCAGGTTAAATATTCATATCAATATCAACATATTGCTATGCATAGCTAAAAGTGTGGTTTAATGCAAAGGTGAAAGTATTAGAGAAAAAAGATAACAAAGTCACTGTTTACCATGATTCCATGCTTTCACGTTTTAGTGTGGCAAGACATGTTTTCATATTTTCCCAAACTGAAATGTCCCCTATAAAAACCAGTTCACAGTATCAGCACTTTAAATTAATGATATCAAATTCATCATAAATTTTGTGCATATGGTATTCATTTGATTATTCTTTTCTGATATTCATTTATAAATGTTGTCCACTCAAACTTTTGGTTCATCTCAGCTCTCAAGGTGGAAGAAGACCTATTGCTGGGGCAAGGATTTACAAGTTACCTCAATAGCTTCTCAATATAAATAATATTGTCCCTACTGGTTGGGGACCACCAAAACCGGACAACCACCAAACCTGGACGGCCCCGAAAATGCTTAATTTAGTATTTATTTTGTTCAGTGGTTGTCAGTCATTTTTTTATCAACAGTAAATGCATGTTTCTTCTATAATTAAGTGAATACATTTATTTCAACCTCCGTAAATGGTAATATTTTAATGTCTCTTTCAAGAATGTTGAGGTTGAAATTTGGGGGTCAAGTAAGCAATGCCTGACCTCATATACCAGCTATAATCATTTGCAGAGTAAACAATAGAATATATCCAAAACTTCAGCATTTGTTGCTGAAATACTGTATATCATGTTAAAAATCAAAAATCAAAACACCCAAGCTTTTATTTGAATTAAATCACAACATGCACATATCTGTCCGGACACATGGTACTGTAGTGTAGACAATTTATGTAGTTATGATACCCTTCTTGACGAGCGTCAAATGTAAGTGTCAATACAATCAGAAATAAACAAACTAGTTTGTTAGTTAGGAGAATAACCAAGCTGTACTGTGTCAAATTTTTAGGTCTCTGGGTTGAAAATTATGAAATCTGTATGGAAAAATGTTCAAAAAGTGTCCGGTTGATGGTCCCCGACCAGTAGCATGATTTACCTTGCAATTCACAGCAAATAGAAAAGTTAAAATCAAGTCAGGTATAATAGAAAAGTTAAAATCAAGTCAGGTATCTTAAACAATCAGTTATGAAGAACCTATCAATAATAATTGACTGTGAGAGTAGTAACTGTCAACAACAAATTATAAATTTTTTCCCCACTTTTTTTTATTCTTACCTATATCACTGTCATCCGAGAAGTCCATCCCCAACACTTTATTGCTGAAAAGAAAAGAAGAAAACAATAAAGCAAAGTTCTCTTGGTTGACTTTGAGGAGAACTTACTGCTTTAAATACATTATAAACCATACTATGAAAAAAGGCAACAGGGTAGTCAAATAAACAAACTGAAAATCATTACGCTGGCTTTATAATTTGTGGTATTTCTCATATGCAGCGTGTCCCACAATAAAGAAACCCTAATACATCTGGATAACACATCATAGACAGTTGCAATGAAAAATCACTAGTGTCAGATTTCTACATTTTCGTGATTTCTAATTTAAGTGATTAATCTGATCTGTTAAACATTGTTAAAATCATAGGGAGCCGGCACAGTGTTTGGATAGCATACAAAATGCTTATTTGAACCTGTGAACACACTAAAAAAAAAAAAAATCACCATCAAATATTATATATATCTATATATAATATTTGATATATATCTATATATAATATTTGATGGGTTTTTTTTGTTTTTTTAGTGTGTTCACAGGTTCAAATAAGCATTTTGTATGCTATCCAAACACTGTGCCGGCTCCCTATGGTTAAAATAATAAGCAAACAAGTCGAGACTTGTCAATTGCATTTTTCACCTTTTAAATCGACTCGACATTACGAACTTTAGATAACACGTGGTAAATAAATACTTTTCGTCTCTCACTTCGAAACAAATAAAGTTTTTATGACATCTGCATAAGCAGTATAATGAAGTTACTTCAAAATTTTCATATTTGACTGTTCATTCTCCATTTTGTATTTGGAGCCAAGTCACATGATCAAACAATTCATTCAATGCAAGCAGACGTTTTCATTTAATCTGTATTTGAAATGGAAGACATTTTGCAAGCGCCTACATAACATTCCAAGTTAAATAGACCGCTTAAACATTAACAAAAGTAATATCTCTGAAATTGTAAAATAGAAATTTAATAGGATCAAACTGATGGAGAAAGAACGATCGAATGAAAAAAAAAAATAAACAAATTAAATATATGACATGACTACGTAAAAAAAAGAGCTGTAAACATACGAGTTAATCGCATTGCTTATATCATTGCAAATTGTAAACAGCCAGTAAAAAAAAATTATTTATTTTTCAAAAAAGATTCGTCTGCTAGAGACTGTCATCAAGTAAAATGTTTTCCCTTGCAAGTATTATAGGGTCATTGGCCAACAGAGGAAGATTGGTACCCACAGGTATATTCATACTTGATATTTTTACATTTTAATGTAACAACCCTTTAATTCTATGTTATTATCAGCAGATCAGTTCATTTGCAATTTTTAAAAGTTATTAAGCATATTATACTCTGATACATGCATATTTAATTTCTAAACTTCATTTTAAAAGAATTAAAGTGAACAAAACACCATCCTTTGTGTGTCATAGAAGTGTACAGCATACTGGAAACCCATACTGGCATATCAAAATAAAGTTAGCAAGAAGTAAATTGGATGAGACTTTAAACACACAATTTCAATGTTTCTCTAGAATAGTTGGCCAGTTTCTATTTAAGAATATGTGAGAGGAGATTTTTGGTATTTCTGACTGCAATAAATGTATGATGTTATTTTATATACCCTTTTCATTGTCTACTTTCACTTTCAATGTATTGTTTCAATTAGCTGGTTAGAATTAGGCATTTTTCATTGATTGAGATTTCAATTGAAATCCTCCACATTGTACATACTATCTTAGAGCAAGTGTCCCCCTTGGGCTTTCTGCTTATAATGTTGTTTTGGCAAAAATATCTGGTTTACAAAATAGAACAAGTTCAAAGGTCAGCTGCCAGATATGTATACAATGACTACAATTACACTAGTAGTGTATCTAAAGTGATAAGTGAACTTTATTGGCAAACCCTAGAACAGAGGCGCAACATCAGCTCTGTTACCCTCCTCTACAAAATCCAACACAATCTTGTGAGGGTCGACCATCACCACCTGACACCCACTAAAACCTGAACTACGTAATACCCTGTTCAAGGACACAATATCACTCCTATTCATTTTTCCCCAGAAGTATTCGTCTGTGGAATGGCCCACCCGTGTCCTTACAAGCTATTCCCGGTTTAGACCTCTTTACTGGGCAGCTGCATCCTTTTTACCAGTTCTAAGCCACCTTTGATTTTAACTTTTATCTCAGTCTTGTAGTTCTTTTTAACTTGCTTTTACCTTGTGTCTATAAATTTGCACTTAACATATTTGTTTTTAACAACTATTCCCAGACAATGCGCCAGCTTAGTGTAATCGATTAAGATTTTGAAGCAGTATAATGTAGATGTAAATGTAGAGGTGTGGTGAAAATTTCCAAAGTGAAAGTAGCCATCAACTTTATATGATTTATGTGTTATTGCTGGAATAAATTTATAAAGAAATATAACAGTTGTAAAATTATGTAACAGGTCAGCTAGGTCAAACAGGACGTCTGCAGACATCTTACAGGAATTCTGGTGTTTTATTGGACATGGTAAAATCATTTGTTCCTGCATTGACCTTTGGTGCCCACAAAGGTGATTGTGGTAGAATAGGAGTTGTTGGAGGATGTCAAGAGTAAGTATAACCATGAATAAAGTTTTAAATATTATAATTATAATTTATTATATTTATTTTTATTTTTATATTTATTATTTAGGGATTTTTTAAAGGATTTTGGGAACATGACCCATACCCATGGAATTGGAAATTTTAGCGATGTTTTGTTGAAAATTGGGACGAAAATGCATGACAGAAATTTTGCAGTGTTTAAATGAATGCAAACATTCACTGTCTAGGATGGCATCTTCAAACATTTAAGTACTATTAAGAAGCCCTTCTTTTCAAAGATTTTAGAAGAAAATATTCAATTTTTTTTTTTAACTTTCAATTGGGAATTTTTTCCTGTGGATTGGGAAAAATATAAACTATTTTCAATTGGGAATATGACCCAATAACGGCTATTAAATAAGCCGAAAAAAATCCCTGAATTTATTATAATTTTTACAGAGCTTCCATGAGTATTTGACCTTACAGAAATTGCCCCTCACTGCTTAATCTCCTTTTAAAAACTTTCTTTTGAGGATGCTTTGATGCTACAAAACTAAAGATCATTGGCTCTACTAAGTTTGTCAATATATGTATATGCTTTGAAAATAATGCTTGAAGAGTCTTCCCACACTAGTTGATTAAGTTTGAAATAAGCTTTAATTATTGTGTTGTTATTAGTCAAATTTCTGTTTATTTATTTTTTTATATTTTACAGATACACTGGTGCCCCATATTTTGCAGCCATATCTGCATTAAAATTGGTAAGTAGTGAATTAATTTCTTCCTATTCCACTTTTCACTGACCACTGGAAACATACATGCTACTAGGGAACATTCATTCTGGTATTTCTGGCATAATTGAACCTCAGGACTGTGAAATTATTCCAATTTTAAAGGCATGGGTTGTAAAAAAAGTAAAAACAATCGCTGCCACTCAGACTGCTGGCTTTTAATATACTAGATTCTTTAAGTGAATGTAAAGTAAAATCCACAAAATGATAAGCCAGTAGATGGGCCCTCTGCAAGTATTCGAAGAGTATCCGTTGTACAAGGTTCACACAAGGCTTTTAGTATTAAAACAACTAACACTGTAAAGGTGTTGTAGAAACTTTCTAGCTGTACATATGGAAGGAGATCTTGGTTACTTCTTATCTCTGACACCATAGTGGAACCAACAACCTTCTGTAAGGGACTGGGCCAGAGAGTTAGTTGTTTTTACACTAAATGATTCAAAGTCCATGATGGGATTTGAACAGATGGTGGTGAAGGGCTGATTTTTTTTAACAATATAAGGTAACTTTAAGAAAACATGAAAGGAAATTTGTATTGTGTAAAATTATGCGATTCTACCAAACAATTCCTCTCAAAATCGAGGTAATTTATGCTGAACAAAGAGTATAAATTTAATGCATAAAACATTTGTTAAATGATTATTACCAGTGTACAAACCTACTGAGTATTTTCTAAGGAAAACAAATGCATGCATATATACCGTATTAATTTATACGGTATATGTAATTATACAGTATTTGTATTATACAGAACTGAATATTTTTTGGCTAACTAAGGGAAACAATGCAGTATGTGTTTAAAACAAGTAAAATGTGTGAGTTACCTTTCTTACATTGTATTTTAAAATTGAACAGGAAACTGGTCAAAGAATTTTGAAAAATCATGAACGAGAAGGTGTTTCTACACCTATCTTACAAGAGCTTTCATCTTTCTTCAAGATATAACACATTGTATTGTATATTTGCTTGTAAGTTTTTGAAGTTTTTTTTCTTATATTTTTAGGGAGCAGATTTGACCCATGTTTTCTGCACAACAGAAGCTGCTCCTGTGATAAAATCATACAGTCCAGAACTTATTGTACATCCTATGCTGTAAGTAGTGTAGTATCCAATGATTATTTTACACCCTATTATGTAATTTAAAATAAAATAAGGTCTAATACTTATTGAATACCACATGCTTAGTTAATTTCACCTCATTAGGTCAAATAATTATTGTGCACCCCAAATTGTAAATATTATAAAGTTTAGTACTTGTTCTTATACGCCTCTGTTTACTAGAAAGAATACCAGCATTTTCTGATACCTTTCTTAAAAGAGGATAATCTTCTATGTTGGTGCAATATTTAAGTAATTTAATCTAATAAGATATTTGAAAATTATAGCTGTGGCATAAATGTTTAAGTACTGATGTATATATTTTTAAAGAGAAAAAAGTGACTGCCCTGCAGAAGTGTCACAGTGGCTACTTAGGCTGCACTCGCTTGTTATTGGCCCCGGTCTTGGTCGTATGGACTTTGTTCTGGATAACACTCGTAATATTATAGAACAAGCGAAAGAAAGGAACCTACCACTCGTAATTGATGCAGTAAGTTATACCAGTACTTTTTTTGCCCCATCTAGGTACCCCATTTGAGCCGTGTCACAACAAAACCAACATAATGGCTTTGCAACCAGCATGGATCCAGACCAGCCTGCACATCGGCGCAGTCTGATCAGGATTCATGCTGTTCGCTATTAGTTTCTCTATTTGTTTTAGGGTTTGTAAGCGAACAGCATGGATCCTGATCAGACTGCAAGGATGCGCAGGCTGGTCTGGATCCATGCTGGTCGCAAACGCACTATGTTGGTTTTGTCGTGACACAGCTCATTTATTCTTTTTATAATATTTTTGGCTTGTAGTTGAATTTGCGAAACAGTTGTAACATAGGATGTCTCTTTTATCTAACACATATCAATATTGTTCATGTACAAACAGAAGAAGTGGTTTTTTAACAAAATATTATGGGATCTAAAGCAGGCTTTGAACTGTTTAGCTATAATTTCATGCTTTTGCCATTCACTTTTACGGAAACATACTTCTTTTTATTCAGGTATTTCAGAAGTATTCTTTTTGAAAATTCAAACAATAATTTTGTTAACTACAAGCTGGAGATCTATAGCATCAAACATTTTACAGTTATGAATTATAATCTTCTAAATAATTATTTCTTGGAAAATCTTTTAAAGGGACTCCACTGTTGTTTTGTGACAAGACTGAAAATATTTTTTTGAGATTTATATGCCATTTGATGTATGCCTATTCTAGTAACTTTAGGGCAAAATTTCAGATTATTTGCCAACACCTTAATTTAGAATAATCATTTTTTATCAGCAAAATTACTTAAAAAAATAAATAGCATTTTATCACATTTATCTCAAATCAGACAAAAAAAATCATACTACATATCATTTTTAAATTAATATTGAATATGTTTCTTCTATGTAAGATTTTAAAAACTTTATGATTTTAGGCAGAGCTCTTTTAACATCACATAAAAACTGAGACTTTTACTTTTATGAAGAAAAACAGGATTCAAAGTAAAAAAAAATAATCTCACTTTATGTCTTTAACAATAATGACCATTTCTTAAAATTTTCAGTTGATGAAATTTTTAATTACAAGAATGGTTTTTATTTCAATGAAATGTTAATTATACTTTTGGAAATTTGTTTTCAGGATGGTCTGTATTTGATAACAGAAGATCCTCACATTATATCCGGATATAAGAGGGCCATTCTTACACCCAACATTGTAGAATTCAACAGACTTTATGAGAAAGTTGTAAGTGGAAATTCCGCTATTTTTTTTATTTTTTAACCTGTGGAATTCGTGTAATGGATGGGCTAAGCTTTAGATTTGAAACAGACGATTCTAAGTTTAAGGGGTTTTCATACCAAAATACAAAAATTGAGCTATCAATAGTAAAGAGTGTGGTCAGACTGGCCTGGTTCTACACTGGTGTTAAGAACCTTTAACCAGCCGCCAAAACAACCGGAATACATAGCTCATGGCTAACTGTCTATAGTGTCAGCTAGTGTTTGATTCTCCTTATTACATATTTATATAATTATTTATGTTATGGAAAGAAATTGCTAAAACTGAATTTTACAATGAACATTTTTTTTCTGATAGTAGCATAAGATTAAATTAATTCATAATGGCTTAATGATGTTATCCTTAGCATGCAATTCATTTAAAAATAGGCATGCAAAAACGATGAAAATTGAAGCACACAACTTGTGTTACACTGGAGGTGAAAGGCACACAGATGTACAGAACAAAAAATTCTTGTCTGATATTATACAAGAATAAAGTTAGATGACCTATTAGATAGTGTAATGCTACAATTGGACATCTGTGGTCAGTAGGATATTTTGCAGTCATTTTTCACCATATAAAACAAGAGACCTAAGGGGCCTCTTCCAAATAGGAATTTTCCTTAAAATCATGCAGTGTTTCCTAAAGTTACACCTGCCTTTTTACTTCCCAATACAGCAATTTTAGAGATAATTCTTCTTTAAAATCAAGAAGCTAAGGCCTTTTCCCAAAATCACTGATTTGTTTAAGCTGTGATAGAAATGATTATGAATTACCTAAATGAAAAATAGAAATGTAAATTTCAGTTTAATTAAAGTAAGTGTTTTTTCTGCAAAATCATTATTAAACATATGGAAATAACAGTTTAATATTGATAAGAAACCTTTTTTCTCCCCATATATACATGTACATGCATAAAGTTCATTGGTATTTAGTAACAGAAAATTTCACTCCAGATATGACCATAACAAGATAGCAACAACATGCTTATAAACCAAATTTTTTAAATTTCAAAGATATTGTTTCAAATTTTCATGCAAGTTGAACAATTATTTATACTAAAGAAACTATTCTAAATTATCACAAATATGCATTGAAGATTTTTTTTATCAAGGTAGAGCACTCTTATTAAACATAAGCTTTTTTATTTACTAGTTACCTCCCTTGGATCAAAGTGCAAGTATTCCTTTCATTGGATTTGATGTTTTTTCAGTTCTTTTTGTCTTTTTGTTTTCTTTTATATTAATTTAATGATGTTTTTCGTTATAAAGTTTTTATTTTTTTCATACAAAAAGAATAGTGGAGAATATACATTTTTACCTCTATGACATGTAGCAAGGCCTAAGTGGAACAAAATCTAAAAAAAATAGAAACTTAACAGTGTTTGATTCAGAAAGAGAGAAAAGAATAAAGAATAAGATAGTGTATAAAATTTCTGAATTTATTCTCTTTTATTAACAGATGTTGGTGGGGGAGGATATTTCATGTACATTTTGTATACAATATGTTTGACAGTTGAACAATTTTAACTTTGATTATAACATCTATAGTTTGTGAGCTGTTAGTCTGATGGAGGGAAGAGTTTCTTCCATTGCAGCCAGTGTAGACAAAAATCAGCTGGCACATACATGATGCCTGATCCTTTTTGATTTTCCACTGTCGTCAATTCAATCGCTATAAATATTTTGAAAAAAAAATCTTGAAATGATGTTTGGTTTTTCCCTGATTTAAAAAAATGTACAAGTCAGGAATAACATCCAACTAAAAATATAGAAAATGTTGATGATAAAATGATTAAAAAAAGATCCCCTAAAATATATGTACATAAATTTGCTCCACATTATATACAGGAAAAGGTCCATTGAAAAACATAAAATAAGTATGACATTACATGTACTGTTTGGGGACCACCAAAACCGGACAACTACCAAACCCGGACAGCCCAAAAAATGCTTAATTTAGTTGTTTTTCTTTGTTCATTGATTGAAGATCTATCAGTCACTTTTTTTAACAACAATAAATGCATGTTTCTTCTATAAATAAGTAATTAAATTTATTTCAATGGTAATATTTTAATGTCTATTTCAAGAATGCTGGCGGTGAAAATTTGGGCGTTAAGAGTGCAATACCTAACCTGATATACCAGCTATAATCATTTGCAGAGTAAACAATAGAATATCCAAAACTTTAGCATTTGCTGCAGAAATATTGTAAATCATGTTAAAAATGAAAATTTAAAATACCCAAGCATTTAACTGAATTAAATCATATTATGTACTTATCTGTCCGGACACATGGTACTGTAGTGTAGTCAATTTGGGCAATTTTTAAACCTTCCTTGACGAGCCTCATATATAAGTGTTAATATAATCAGAAATAAACAAACTAGTGCGTTAGTTAGGAGAAGAACCTAACTGTACTGTGTCAAATTTTCAGTTCTCTAGGTCTGAAATTATTAGATCTATATGAAAATAATGTTCAAAAAGTGTCCGGTTCATGGTCCCCAACCAGTATTGTGATGTTAAACAGTATTTTATCCTGCTACTGTCAATATCATCAGCTGGATAAAGCCTTGCCGGATAAACTTATCTATCTCCAGTCATTATGTCATATGATGATGTCACATGTATAGCAGCAAAGCAAAACTACATATAGATGCTTTTTTATCGGGGGGGGGGGGGAAAGAAGAATGAAACCATTTAATAATTCTAAAAACATGATAAAAAGCAGGGTAAATCAAATACAGTCAAACGTGTATTAAGCGACAGCGCAAGGGAAACACCCAAAATGGTCGCTTAATGAAACGGTCTTTTAAGACAGTCAGCATGAAATAAAAGTCAAAATTTATAAATGACATCTTTCTTATGAAGTGGGAATGTTTTTCAACTTCATTTCTATATAAATGTTGCATAATTAGTACGCTCCGATAATCTAAATGGATGCAAATGTAAAAAATAACTTTCTGATATTTATTGACAAATTACGTGCATGTTTGATATTTTTTCCAGAATTTTTTAACTTCTCCGCTGTTTTTCCTTGTCTCCAACATGAAAACCCTATTAGTGAAGATGTTTTCTGTTGTGCATTTTTTCATTTGAAATAAACAAACTACATCTAATTGTTACGATTAATTTAATTGCTGATCAAGTTCAAGGTCGATGTCGGGCTGGGAGGTTTATCCGTTTCGCTGCGAAAGTGAATCTTGGCTCGCTAAAGCTCGCCAAGATACACTTTCTCGCCTTCTCCATCCCGACATCGACCATGTATTTTCTATTTTTAAGATTTTTTTAAAAAAGATTTTACTCTTTTATCTGTTTTGTGCTATCTTATGATATTCTAAGCTAATATTGTGAAGACATTAGATATTAAGACCAACATCAGGATCTTTAAGCATTCTCCATTTTAATTAGCGTGTTTTTTTTTTAAAGTATGCCAAGATGAAAAAAACAAAACATGTAAGGGTTAAGAAACCAAAATCCCAAACATCTTTCCGAACCAGGTTTGAGAGAACCGGAATGTTTTCATTTTCGGGCCAGACGATTTCCTGTAAAGTAGTTTTAATTGAAATCTGGTATTAATTCTGCGCATCTGTTTCACTTTAATATTGAAATTAAAAGCTGGAGATTGATCATGTAAGACATTGTACGTTTTAATGGATTAAAGAAAGCCGCTCATTATGTTACTGCCAGATGCATGGTGTTTTTTTTTCAGTGTATGAAGTAAATTAGAAATTTGTTATGTGGTTAGATTAATACAGTACCTAATTATTATTATAGATAGAGTTGTTCAGGTGAATTTTTTGATACAGTCAAACCTGTTGATTGATACAGTCAAAACTGTTCAAACCAACCAGTTGACTCCTTTTTGAAATTTCATTGGCAAATTGTAGAAAAACCTGGTTATTTTCGATCGCCATTGGTTAAGAATGGGAAACAAACAAATGATATGAGTATTTTGTGATAATTGAATATTATTGAGGTGGTCGAATATTATGAGGTGGTCTCTTTGCACAGGTTTTGCTTAGAAACATTGAAGTAATGTTTGGAGCTTGAATTTGATGCCTTATTCTGATCTTTTGTTTTGCATGGTTTTGAGTTTTATTGACCCAAAATATGCCATGATGGAACATTCTAACCTTGCTTGTCATTAAGGCTAAAATGTTTTAACTTGTATAAAAAATGACTGTAGGTCACTGATAAAAACCCATAGCTCTTTTATGATTTGCACTGAAGTATTACCCATTGTACATTAACCAAGTCCCATAACATTTGAATGGATTTGGACTGAGTTATCACCCTTTTAAATTTAGACAATACCTGAATATTGAGCATTGAGAAAATGAGTTTAGTGCAGAACTGTTTTTGTGATGGGATGCATGTGTGTGATTATGGAGGGAAATGTGATGGGGGATTGAAGGGTTAGGGGTTAGGGGGCGAGAGGATGTGGGATGGAATTTTTAATACTTATTCAGAACCAATTAGACGGGATTCAAAGAAAGTTTATTACTAGTTGCCTGTTGTGTTTAGATATAGTGCAAGCTATCTTAGCTTTATTTTTGGGTTTGTCATTTTAAGCTCATTGTAAAAGTCCAATGGTCCAATTAGTCTTTAGTGCATTATTTCAGGCATATGAGGGCACCTGAGTAGTATTGTTAACCATCCGTAACATAGCTGGGGAGTTTTCTCACCATAACTAGGTCAGAGATTACTAAGAAATTTTCTCAAGTCAGACTCATATCTCAGGTGCTTGATTGGTCAGAAATCAGCACAGATGGTAAACTAACCAATGAAGATTTAGAGATTCAAGACTCAATCTAAAAATATGTTTTACAACCTCTTGAGAGGCAATAATCTACAGCAATGATGGTCATTCTGAGACTCAGGACAGATTTCGGAAAAATGTTTTAAAATGCCAACAGCAGTGAGGGTCATATAATTCTAAGTCAGGAAATTTAACTACTCAGCCATGGAGGGCCTCACTTGTGTAGTAGCATAGACTGTGATACAAGAATTGTTTATAAAACTTATGTTATATTTACAGCTTAAGGGAAGCATAAGCAGCTTTAGGGACTAATGACTTGCCAGGAAATGAGATTTGAAAATGGGGAAGGGGGCGTGGCTACAAAATGTTGGAAGCGCTCTTTATATTTAACGATTTTTTTTTATTTCAAAGTTTAATTGAATTTTATGTGTTGTATATAATACATCAAAATGTTCCCAGAGGAGGCACAGTTTCCTTTATGTTAGATTATAATGTTAAACAGAAGGAAAGTTTTCCAAAGATGAATTCAAAGAAAAAGGAAAAACATTAGGTCATGCCAAAGAAAAACAAACAACTATACATACAGAATATATCAATCAAAAGGAAAATAAAGTAAATAAACTTAAAGGCACAAGATGCCTCAGAAATTAATAAATTTTTCATTTCTTTAGAAAGGGCAAATTTATAGTTTATAACATTTAAATGTGAAGGTGGTGTTGGTAGTTTTCACTCTGGATCACGGTTAGCCAGAGCACAGTTCAGCCACTGCATCATTCCTGGGCAGGCTGTCAAGCAGTTTATCAGTACTTGTTGCCTGCACTTTCACAAGGAACTGATTACTTCTGTACATGCCCAAGCAGAGGTACAGTGTGAATGACTGTAGAAAGGATTTCATTATCAATCACAACGAAAGTGAAATGAGTCGTCCAGGAATCCAACCAGGTCGCCCAATTCACAGTCCAACACTCTGTCTATTGAGCTAACCAGATGGCTTACATTTTAATGTCTGTAAAGTTTGACCTTTAAATAACCTGTCTGACATGAACATCCTTGCAATCTAACCATATATAACACAGCTCAGTTTTAGCATTTGAATTGTTAATACCCTTATGATCTTAATGGACTGACCCAAATTTCAAGCTGGACAAGTCCATGACACTATTTCAGCGGGCTCAGGGTAAAATAGCTTTTATTGTTAGTACTTATTTTGGTTAAAAAATGAGATAAATATATATCAAAAGGGTTCCACAGTGTGGTCCAAATTATTGAGAAATCCCGTACAGCTAAAAAGATTGTATCAAATTTAATGTTTGGGTAAAAATCCATTTTTGGATAAGAGCAAGGTCGATAATTAATAGATTCAATTAAATGCTAATTAGGTCAGAGCGCCACATCCTCGTGTAATATTCCATTCTTTTCATAATAGAATTAGCAAGTCAAAAAATTACCCAATGTTTGGTTAATTGAATTATAATTGTAAGCCATTCAATTGTTGAATGGAGGGAATAAAATGAAATTGATTTTAGTTGAAAAAGTTATCTTAATTTATGTGACAGGTTAAACATACTTTTTGAGATTACACATGAATTGTACAATTGAAAGTAATTTTTTCTCCTCTTCAGAAATTATCATTAATTTTACAATTATGATTTTGCTATTAATGCCACAGGTATCATATTTCAAGAAATTTAATATTATCACTCCAATAGCAGATCCTTTTTTAAACAAATCATTCAAAAATGTGAATATTTCATATTAGGTATTAATATTGAGTTGAATTAATGCAAAAAAACTTGTTTGATGTATGTTTTGACACAGAATAGCAAAGTAATTTACCTAAACTGACAACATCAAGTCCTGCTAATTTTTGTTTCAGTGAATTTATCGTACTTTGAATTTGGAGCAGTCCATTCAAAGTTTAAGGGACTTCATTATCTAAATACTGAACACAAAATAAGCTATCAGCAATAACGAGCATACAAGATGCAGGCAGGTATAGATCTGTACTGGTGGCAAAAGTTAATAACTTTCAGTTCCAGTTTTGATTTAAAACTAAGTTCAAGTAAAGCAATGATGCAAATCAAGCTATGTTAGGGTTTATAGTCTTTATGCCATTTAGTCCTAAGAGCATACAAATAATATATGTTTTACAAATGGAAATCCATGATTTTTATACTCCAAAAGGGTTTTGGGATCACTGGGGTCAAGATTCTAATTAGAATTTCTACACTTTTGCTTATATAGCCTTCTTTTATTGATAAATGTCTTTAATATTTATTAGGTACATACCATGGGTAGTCATTTAACTTCTGATTGAGGGAGGGGTCAATTTGGTTAAGGTAAAGATCAGTGGTGCTAAAAATAATTTTTCATACTTTTTCATTGAAATAAGTCATTCACAGACATGCAGGTTTGGGGAATATCTATTACCTTAAGCAATATGTGTTGTTTTATTTTTGGCTCGACTTGATTAATTTTAAACTGCAATCTGTTGCTTACTGTTGAGATATATACCACAGGTGCCATATCATTATTGTAATTATTATATATTATTTTATTATCAGACATGCACCTGGAGCCAGTAATCAGGCAGTAATAATTATTTTAGATATTCAAAGATATTTACGTGTAGAACAAGTTAAGTGCAAAATAAGTTTTTTCTCTCTATTTATTAAAACAAGCAAAGGAACGGAGAAAGAAATTCCTCAAAGGTTGAGATATGTGTTGCACAAAAAAAATCTCTTGCATTATGGAATTTAATTTTAAAAAAGTACATAATCTGCTTAAAAAATTGTCATACAAAGTCACAAATTAATTTGTATGCACTTTGTGGCTGGGTTTAAAGTAGAAGAAATGACAATGTTAAGGTTATAGGGTTTTTTATGTAGACAAAGTGACCCCAGTATCCCCTTCATTGTATTCTTTCAAGTACTGGTAAGCACTAGAAAGCTGAACTTGTTTAATTAAACTATGAAAACCTGACTCTCTGTAAGTTAGCCAGATAACTTCCTCTCATTGAAACATACAACATCTCTGAGTTTAAAACCACCAGGGGCAAATGATATTGAGTGAGACAAATACCAAGTCATCTTTGGGCTTGAAAACATTACAAATTATTTTTACTATTAATAAAATACATGTAATATTGTTGTTTCTTTATACAGATAGGAGAAACCCCTATGCAGGCTGAGCCTGTAGTCAATGTGAAGACACTGTGTGAAAAGCTGGGCAATGTGACTATAGTGCAGAAAGGAGAAAATGACATCATCTCTGATGGCAAGAAAGGTAACTCTTAATAACTCTTCAATTGTTGAATATGGGTATAAAGTCACACCAGATGGTCACTTGTCGTATTGTAAATGATTGCCCATCGCTAACACCTGTGTAAAACCAGTAACCTTTTGTGAGCTTATTTATAAAATCCAGGTCACTATCTTAAGTTCTGTAACTCTAGCATTGATTTTTAGCTCGACTTTTCTATGAAAAGGGGAGCTATCCTACTCGCCCCGGCGTCGGCGTCGGCGTTAGCGTTGGCGTCACACCTTGGTTAAGTTTTTCGTACCACCCCACTTTATTTCAGAAGTATTACAAGTATGGCTTTGAAACTTACCATACTTGTTCACCATCATAACCTCCATCTACAGACAAGAGTACATAACTCTGTCAAGGTTTTTGACAGAATTATGGCCCTTTTTTGACTTAGAAAGTGTATTGAGCTTGGTTAAGTTTTTTGTACCACCTCACTTTATTTCAAAACCATTGGAGGTATTGCTTTGAAACTGACCATACTTGTTTACCATCACGACCTTCATCAACAGACAAGAGGACATAACTCTGTCAAGGTTTTTGACAGAATTATGCCCCTTTTTGACTTAGAAAATACATTGAATATGGGTAAAATCCACTTATTGCCTTAACCCTTTGAGATATTGCTTTGAAACTTTTAATGCTATTTCACATCATTACCCCCATCTGTACGCAAGAGAAGGTAACTCTGTCAAGGATTTGTTTTAAAAATTAAGGCCTTTTATCGACTTAGAATCTTGGTTAAGTTTTTAGTACCAGTCCACTTTTGGACTGAACTGTTTGAGATATTAATTTGAAAGTTGGAATACTTGTTTACCATCATGGTCCCAAAACATGGGCAGGAGAAGGTAATTCTGTTAAGGATTTTATTTGAATTATGGCCCTTTTTGACTTAGAAACTCAGTTAAGATTTTCATTCTTGTCCACTTGTTGACTTAACCATTTGAGATATTACTTTGGAAGTTGGAGTTCTTATGTGCCATCATGAGACCTATCTGTAAGCAAGAGAAGATAACTCTGTGAAAATGTTTCTTGATTTGTACTTAGAAATTCCTAGTTAAAGTCTTGTGTGCCCTTAACTGTCAAAGTTTTGTTTTATAGGCAAGCACTAAAAAAGTCGAGCGCGCTGTCCTTCTGACAGCTCTTGTTACTGAATTATTTTCCTTAGTGAACTTTTTTCACCATCAAGTACTGAAAATTATTTAGAGTGCTAAAACTCTATCTGACAACTTTTGTTAATTCTCAATTATCATTTTCTATTACAAATCAATTTGGGTAACTGGATAATTTTACACATATTTTCAATTATCATTCTTATTATCCATCAATTTAGTGAAACAAAAATCATAATGAATCAATGTTAGACATATATTAATTCAGGGTCTGTAAGACATCATCAATAGTATGGTGATATTTTTATCAGAGGTATATAACAAACTGTAGAGATAGATATAATAGACTATCCATGTTTAACTTATCAATAAAATAGCTGAGAAATGAAAAGCATGTAAAACCCACACACAGAGAACTCTCTGTCTTGAGATATATTCAACAGTTACAGAAATTTTGCCTTGTTATTTATCAGTAATTGGGTACTTAGATTCAATTAATGGCATTAAATTTGATTGAAAGTTTTGTTTTCAAATTTAAATTTGATTATAGCATGTCATGATCCTATATTATAAGATAATTTATAATATATAATGGAAATATTAGAAACTTTTTTGTTTATTCATGAAGGTAGAAAACATAATTAATGGTACTGACATTTTGATAACTAGTTAACATAAAGACGTAAGGGGGAATAAACCTATCTCAAATTTAAAAAAAAATGTAAAATTTAAAAACCAATGTATGTTGTTTCCATAATCGTTTAGTCAATTCTCCACAGAGCTGTAACTAATAATGTTTCTGTTATTTACTGTACATCAGAATAAAATGAGCCGCGTCACGACAAAACCTACATAGTCTGATCAGGATCCATGATGTTCACTAACAAACCCTATTACAAGTAGAGAAACTGATAGCAAACAGCATGGATCCTGATCAGACTGCGCAGATGCGCAGGCTGGTCTGGATCCATGCTGGTCACAAACCCACTATGTTGGTTTTGTTGTGACGTGGCTCAAATGCTCAAAAAAATGAACAAAAAGTATGCTACTATTAAAAGAAAGGTTTTAATGTTTAGCAATGATTCTGTGCTTGGGCCATTGACACATAAGAAAAGATACCAACATACTTTTTTCATATATATATTATTTTGGAATATTTCTTTTTCAAAATTCAAACATAAAAATTTATAAATAAATTTATAAAAAAAACTGCATGAAGAAAAAATATAGCTTACCAAGTAGTACATTAAAGCATTACAAAAACTATTTATATTCTACTTGTCAGACTTTACTATATTCATGTTAAGTTCTGTAGAAATGTTGTCTCTGATGCATTTTTCTTTTTCATTAAAAGCAGGAAGCATCAGTTATCTGGGAAATGTTTACATTAAGTGTCCAATCATAACATTAGCATAGAGGGTAGTTTGAGGACTTAATCTCCCTCGTCCTTCTTTAATCATGACAATCAAATATTAATCAAGCTTTATCATGTTTTAATTGTTACATAGACAGATTTACGAGGCACTGCAAAGAGGGGTCACACATAAAAGGTCAAAAGGAAATGGCCTGCAGATAATCTTGTAGAGGACTTGAAAGGGTGCCTCTTGCATTTTCTGCATTTCAGATGCATAAGAACACTTGTCTTGTTTTTGAACATTGTAGATTTGGATTGTAGAGGCAAAATAGTGTAATTTTAAATACTTTGTTATATAAATTTTGGCAAAATTTGACAAAGCTTAACAATATATTTTAATAATAAATAGGGATGGCAACGAATACGAAAATCAATACTCGAGTACTCGGTCATTTTTCCGATCGAGTACTCGGTTACTCGGATGATTTCCTATGATCACACAATATCAACACCATCTGCATGCTACTTTCGTTTTCTATTTTAATTCATAGAATTCGTAACTATATAAAGAGGACTGCAAGAAATACATATATGAAATATATAAATATAAACATAAGAAATGTCAATGACAGCATTTATTATATACCTACAAATTTTCTCCGTAAAATACAGGATGGACTTGAAGCGCATCAACTGATAGCAAATTTTGTATTATGTTATTGACAAATACGGTACCATATATGGAAGTGCCGGACTATTTTTGACGTTGGTTCCGATCTTAGCTGTATATAAACGTAGCATTTGGAAACAGAAACCAAAATTATAAAAGGCATGGCCGGTTTTACAAAAATTACCTATTCATCCGTCAGTCATAAATTTATTTCTTGACAGCTACATTTCATTTTCTGAAATTTCTTATAGAAGTGTAGTATAATGACACTCATTTATAATTCAAATGGAAAGGTATATTATAAAAGGAAAATTATGTTGTAGTAGCTTTCTGAGCCTATGTATTTTTCTACTCGGAATGTTGGAAAATTGATATTTCGCTCGACCTTCGGTCTCGCGAGATATCAATTTTTCCACCGCTGCTCGTAGCAAAATACAAAGCTACAACATAATATTCCGTATATGTTTACGTTTTTATAATCAACAAGTTTCGGCTACAAACTTTCTAATATTTAAAGGTGATTAAATATCATAAGAGGCCGAATGACGTAAACGACACAGGACTGTGTTCAATCCCATATGCGTGTCATATTGCTGATCGCCTCGTTAAATTTACAGTATCATTTTCACACCTCTGAAAGGATGTTTTGATTGCATTTAACAAGTATTTATACAGATACGTGTACATTTGCGAATTTCTGAACTAATCATTCTAAATAGCAAAAAAGTAGAAATTAAATATTTTTCTCCGAGTAATCGATTATCAATTTTGTTAACCGATATTCGGACGTTCGATCGAGTACTCGGTTAACCGGTTACTCGTTGCCATCCCTAATAATAAACAATAATTTAGTGATAATATTTTTGTGTAATTTTAGCCTAATTTGAATGAAAAGATTTTAAAAGCATTTCATTTTTCAGTCAATTTTGTCATACATGTAATTGATATAATTACATGTACTGTTGAACAGGTTTTTTTGCCTTAGCAGATTAATTTATGCAGATATATGTGAATAAATTTTCTTGCGAATTCAGTTCTCATGAATTTGTATGTATATCTGAAATTGTGTAAAATGCAAAATTTCATAATGTAGTAAATTCTTATCATATGATGATCAGCTCCATTATTTTATTTTTGTTGTTTAAGCAGGGTTTCAAACATATCTATTTAACAGCATCTCAAACATATCTATCATGTAGGGCCTCAAACATGCTGTTTTAGCAGGGCCTCAGAAATACTTATCAAACAGCATTCAAAAATACTTAATCATGTAGGGCCTCAAACATGTTATTGAAGCAGGGCCTCAAACATTTTTATCAAACAGCATTCCAAAATACTTAATCATGTAGGGCCTCAAACATGTTATTGAAGCAGGGCCTCAAATATATTTATCAAACAGTGTCCCAAACATGTTTATCATGTAGGGCCTCAAACATGTTGTTTAAGCAGGGCCTAAAATATATTTATCAAACAGCGTCCCAAACATATTTAGAAAGCAGGGCCTCAAATCAGACAACTGTATACAGATAACATACTTCTAGTACTTTGATTTTGTTGAAATACACAGCAAATTTATGGTAACTGTCTTGATACATGCTTGTTTAAATGGTTGTATAAATCATCAAAATTTGTATTGCCCTATTGTCATACGCCAATTTGTTTATAATATAACCCTAGGATAACCCCATTATGGATATATAAATTTTCCATAAAATAAACACTTCATGATATCTGCTCTGAATGAGAGTTATTTAAGGGGCAATAACTCATGCATAGTTTGTCATTATTCATCTTGACCTGACTGGTTATCTAAACAAGCTCTCTAAATATGAAATGATTGGAGGTAGATATTAAATTTGTTATGTTTACTTATATAACCCTATATCTCTGATAAACAGTTTCATCACTGTAGGAGAAATCGTTTAAAGTGATAAAAGTTGCTTTTTACATGAGAGCTATAAAGATTATGTCAGGAAATAGGGTTGTTCAGATATTTATTAGATTTGAAGTTTTGCTCTGATTGCTCTTCAGAAAATATTAGAATTCCATATATCACAAATAACTGGTGACTAAAAATGCTCTTGCGCATCCCCGCAATGTGATCAGGATCCATGCTGTTCGCTACTAGTTTCTCTACTTTTAAAAGGGTTGGTAAGCGAACGGACTATGTTGTGACATGCTCAAATGTAGTTGTAGGGATTTCAGTATCAAATATACTTTATGCAACCAACAGCATATGAAAAGTTAGTAAGTAAGAATTGTATTATTTTGCCTGACCTACTATATTGGCGAGTCAATCCTGTAATTGTAATCTCAAGTGCTCAAAATGTTTATATAAAAGTTATAAAATATTTTCTTTATGATATCACTGTTAAGAAACAATAGATCATATAGATTGGTATTGGTCCTTATGGATATTACATTTCTTTTGTCAATGACAACTTGACATAAAACAATATCTTTAAGGTGATAAATCTTGTAGGTTCTAATTCCTGTAGGAAATTGTATTACAAGTTTAGACAAAAAAAATTTATGGCTGTTGATGCTGGTTAGTAATGAAATGTAAATATTGTTAACATCATTGTCTAGGAGATACATAACAGTCAAACCTGCTTATAATGACCATATTTAGAAATTGGAAAATGTCATTGTTGTCAGGTGGTCACTCCTTAAGGGTTTAACACTGTACTACAATAATTATTTAAAAAAGGAGCTCAAAAAAAAATTATTGTCATTGCAACAAGTTTTTCTCTATCTTTTGCAGGTGGTCAATTTTTAACAATTTAAAAATGAAATTTACTCCTTTTTAAAATAACTGTTCCAGGAAAGAATTGTTACAAATCAAGTACAAATAAGTTAGCAGTGAAATGATAGAAGAATTGTTGCTTCAATATATTATGACAAAAATAAAAAAAACATCAAAACAATTTAAGTTAAAATAGAAATAAATTTTATTAAGCTCAGAGTTTCAGATTTCATTGAAAAACCTTTAACAATAATTATCTAATATTAAATCAGTGTGATATTATACATTTTGATTTATATAACCCATTTATTTCCATATGGCAACCTCTTGTTAAGAAAGCATGTAAACTAATTCACCCTTAAAAGATACTAAATGAAAGGTTATCAGAGGTGTCCCTGTATCACTTATGTTGCGTAGATAAGGGGAGCAAGTAAAACGTCTATTTCAAAGCTATAAACGAGCATATGTTGTAAGATAAATACCCCGATATGTCAGAGATAGTGTAAGAGATGGGGAGAAATATATGCACCCTGCTGTATACCTAGGTGTTATTAAGATGTGATTATAGCAAATAATGGCAGATTAAGTTTGACAGGAGAAAAAGAAACAACTGTCGAGAAAAGATTTTATGGAAGACGTTGCATATGTTATATTTTCAGTGAGACAATTATAGGTTTTTATGAATAAGATGTTATGTTTATTAATCCTTTTGTCATCATCATCATCATCATCATCATCATCATCATCAACAACAACAACAAAAATAACAAAATCATCATCATCACACCAACCATCATCAGTTTTTATCATCATCATCATCAACTTTATCATCAAGAACACCAACAAAGTCATCAATAAAATCATGATCATCAACACCATTATCAACATCATAATTATTTGTTACATCACCATCATTGTCATCATCTTCATCAGTATCATCATCAGTATGATGACATCATCAGCATCATGCTGATAAATTAAGAATTAATCATAGCCATCATCATTATTGTCTCATAATTGCTTTTAGCATATTTGTCATCATGATTATTTATTATCATAGTCTATAAAAGGGAAACAAAAAATAATTTTATATTTACAAGCAAAAGAATGATCAAATGAAAAATGACCATTATGATAAAAATTTCTGTATATTCATCTTTTTTTAACAACAGAAAAGAGGATAAAATGAATCATATTCATGTCTTTTCCAGTACTGGTATGTTGTAGTGAGGGCAGTCCTAGACGATGTGGTGGTCAAGGTGACCTGTTGTCCGGCACCATGGGAATATTTTCTTTTTGGACCCATCAGCTCTTCAGCAGCACCAAGGAAGTGAACAAGTAAGTGATAATAAAATAGATGACGATGTAGGTTTTAACAGGTGAATCCTTCGTTCAAAGGATTCAGGAAATTTATTTCACCTGGAATAACCTTAAAAGTCGTACTTGATTTGATACATTTATAAAAGTTGAGTCCTTATGTTCTGAAAAGGACTTCTTAAGGTGTTTTTTGTGTAAGACAAGAAATGTGTATAAAGACCACATGATGAGGAAAAGATGAAAAATACGTCTTTTTGAATTTTGATAGATTAATTGTATCTGAATTATGAAAGCCAATTGAACAACTTTAAATATTGTTTTAATTTTCTAATGATGGCCTTTGTCAAAGGTTTCACTGTATCCCTAAATGAAGGAGATCACTGGGTTTATATAAAGGTAGCTGATTTTGAAAATCAAAAAGTTACAAAAATGTTTAGTAGTATTGCTGTAATTATATGGCAATTGCCTATGTCAAAGGTTTAACTGTAGGTACAAAATGTTTGACAGATATTGTTTCTAAAAGGAATTGAAAGTATTAACTCCAAATCCTTTTATATGTGTTGCTAATTTGCTTGGGAATTATTCTAAAGCATATTTAATAGGTGTCAGAGTATGAAAAGAAATCCTATATAGTTCTAAGAGAATGTATTGTACTGAAATATTTCACTTTGCACTTCATATCATTTTCTTAATGGTCATTTTGGTATAAAGTGTAATTTTCAAATGGTCAGTAACAAAGCGATATGCTTTGATATTTCGTTTTTTAAGCATCTTGAAGATAGCTAGAATCACCATTTCAGTACGTGGTCAATCTCTTTATGGCCATTGGTTCTCTTAACTCCATCTTTATGATCAACATGCATTATGGGATCATATATCCATCATAATTACCCACTACACTTATCTCCAAAATTGAAGAGCTCAATCATACTGTATTAAACTCCTGGCACTAAAGAGCTCCAGTTCCCAAATGACATAAAATTATGGCTTCCCTCATATTTCAGCTGACATACAAGAAGTCGCAAGCCTGAGAGAATCTTATTTATTTAAGTGGATAGGGGTCAGTTGAGCTCCTTTGGGGTTTTTATTTACCCTTTGGGTCAGTTTTGGATGGTTGAGTTACTAATTAGAGATGAAGAGCTTTAGACATTAGCATTTTTGCACTGGATCATATGGGATCATGCCTGTTTCTCTCCTAAGCTTATCAGTAAATTGCTGGAAAATTTTGTATTTGTTACAAATCCCTCTTGAATAGCAGTTTCCTGTAGGTGAAACTTTTACATGGGAAATAAAACATCTGTGAAAATTCTACTTAAACATTAAACATATTTTATGATACAAGATAATCACAGAGGTCTTGATTTATACTAAGCAATATTCGACTATTTTATTAGTCTTAAAAACTGCTATTTCATTGGTACATAGTTTATGTAAATTCTCAAAGTTTATTGTAAAAACTTATTAAAAGATAAATTCTTATGTTTAGTATTGAGACTCATCAAAACCGACAAGGGTGGATAATGAGTCAAATCAAAGATGACTACAGTAAAACATGTGATAAAGACCACCTTTAAATTAAGGTCATGCTGCAGTGATTATTATGTTAACTAGTGTTTTTGTTGTCTGATTTTGCAGTTATTTTCCCTCTAATTTGTCAGTAACAAATTGATTGAATAATGACAGGGTATGTAAAGAGACAATGTATCTTTCAATTACATCATCATAAAAGGTTAAACATGCACAATGTGGACTGCACACCCACTTGGGTTCCGCTGGGTGTTCTTACTTGATACTGTGTTGAGTGTGCTGTACCCACGCAGTCCCATCTGGTTCCTAAAAGAGAGACATGAGCACAATGATCTTTTCATATCTTTCTGTATTTAGCATCACAATAACACAAAATCACCCTTTTAGCAAGTGATTGAATTGAATAAACTCGGTCAAAAATACAAAAATCCTTTCAATTATTTCAATCTTATTTTGGTAATTTAACCCTTCGGCCAAGTGACCAAATAAAGTGCCATCTGTGAAAATGAAATATTACATTTTAATGATGTGTCGTAGATTACTCTATCTCTGTCAGGTTATGTTGTCCAGAACGTACAATTAAAATCGGCCAATCAAATGATACCACCGACTCGGATTACACTGATACCCTTATTAGGGGTTTGAATGTTTTTCCTCAAGATTCAGAGATATCTTTTTGTTCCCTTCAGAAAGAGTGTTAGTTGAATGGTCATCTTAATTTAGTATGCAAATTCTATAATAATGACTGAAGATTTGCCTTTATCATAAATTTTGAGCTCTTTTGAGGAGAATTTTAGATTTTGTCTTCTTGAGCTCTAAACCCTTGTCATAGAAATGGGTGATATTGTCTAATATCAAAATTGAAAATTTATACCCAGAAAAAACGCCATGTATTTATTGTCCATTACTTATTTTCTCACTTGAACTACATTGAAATAAAAATCAAATAAAACAAATAAATAGAATCATTGTGTTCTCTATATATATCAGGTTAAAGTGTTTATCCATTACAAGCCTTAAAAAGGTATGGCAATATCTGTGACACTAGTATAGAGCCATGCCAGTCTGTACCTTTGATGCAGTACTGTAAGATAGGCCCTATACTTGAGACTGACTAAATCATCATGTTACAAGTTTTCACTTTGATATTCCAAAATTTTGAATATGGTCAATTCCAAAAATGCAATGTCGACATGACTCAATTTAAGAAAATTATGAAGCAGCTAGTGTATTTATAACCTTGTGTCAATTTGTCTAGATTAGGGATTGTTTTGTACAAGACTTGTGGTCATTTGTCTAGATTAATTGGGCCTTGCTTTGTTTGACCCTTCTGCTGTGGCGACAGTCATATGTATTGACAATAGTAATCTGATTTGTGTTGTAAAATATCACTATTGTTTTCATGGTAATGTTTTTTATACAATGTACTCCCTGGAACTGTTTAGTTGGAGCATATATAGTTGACAATTTGCCTTCACACATAATAACTGATATCTTAAATTAAACAAAGATCGTAGATTTAACTGATATTGTATATATACTAGTAAATGATGCCATAGATATAACCAATATTGTAAATATAGCCAATGTCATAGATATAAGTGCAATTGTATATAATTATATCCAATATCATAGAAATAATCTATATTGTTAATATAACCAATGCCATAGATATAACCAATATTGTAAATATAACCAATGTCATAGATATAAATGCAATTGTATATAATTATATCCAATATCATAGAAATAATCTATATTGTTAATATAACCAATGCCATAGATATAACCAATATTGTAAATATAGCCAATGTCATAGATATAAGTGCAATTGTATATAATTATATCCAATATCATAGAAATAATCTATATTGTTAATATAACCAATGCCATAGATATAACCAATATTGTAAATATAACCAATGTCATAGATATAAATGACTTTGTATATATAACCAATTCTATAGGTATATCCAATATTGTATATAATTATAAGCAATGTCATAGATTTTACTAATATTGGAACTCTGTTAAGTTTTGAATCGAAGCTTGAATGTCAAAGCAAATATCCAAGAAAATCTGATACCATATAGGGCATACTCATAATATAAATTTTTCACATCTCAGTGAAATATTCTGTATTCTGTTGTCTGATTTCTTCTTAGTGCAAGTTAAAGAAACTACAGTAAAAGCTCTGAATAATACATGCTTAAAGTGAAAAGATCACAAGTTACTAGTTTCTTAATTTCCTTAGAAGAGCATAGATACATATCTAGCATTTGTTTAATGGATTAGAGATGGTCAGCGTATGGTCAGTGCATTGCATTAATGACCAGCATATATTGATAATGCTGTCAATTGTGTTCTTGCATGCTGTACATCATTTGGCCACTAGTGACCACCTTGCAAATGCATTGTGTCCAGCATGTGGTCATCTAATCAAGATAAATAGCTACAGTAGCTTGACCACTGGCCTGACTTGATCCCTGGAGTTTGCAAGGATAGACCCACCCAGCTGCTCAAATATTTGTCTTAGAAATATTCCAATGTTCCCTGTAGTATGATTGTGTTTTGTTTCCATAAAAAATGTTGTCGGTCACAATAATGTTTTAACATTTGTATAAGATTTTGTGATACAAGTGTATAAGTATATATGGGCATAATTATTTCTGTGAAAGATTGAGATACTTGGTTCATAGTGTGTATTGTTGTTGTTGTTTTTATAATTTGTGTTTGGCAAAAATGTTTTTAGAAATTCTGAAATGTCTTAAAAAAATTAGGGACTAACTAAGCTTTAGTGGTGGAAAAAGACTTGTTGTGCACTATATTAGAAACAAGCAGGAACCTGAATATAGAACCATTGGCTGTTTGTCAGCTAGAGCCAGATTGAAACAAAAGTTGCTAGCAGTGACAAGCAGGCTACATAGGGCCCAATTCTCTTCCACCGCCTACCTGCATTCCCCCCCCCCACCAAGAAAAAAAACAACAAAAAAAAGAAATATATAAATAGAATATTCATATTTCAGATACTTCAGGCGTATCACGTTATTGTCATTCTCTATTGTATGAATCTAGTCAAATAATTCATGGACAGACAGAGGTTATCTAAATTTGCTCTTTGGCATTTTATTCATCATGAAGGAAATTACAGTATCACCATGTGGGATGCATTTTGCATGCTGTATGTCCAAACATGCCACGTCACACGCTGTTACAGTGGACAAACGTTCATGACCGACAGCACTGTAATTTCTGCAAATTGTGACAACGCTTTGCTGGAGACCAATTTTAATGGATTCTAAATTACAAAGAAAGATGGTTGGTGTGTATGAATAAATTTCAGTTATGAAAAATGATTAGATTTTACACTACCCGTATCCTTGTCCAAATATAATTGTCTTATACGTCTTCATTTTAAGTTAAACACTAGTTTGCATGATATTCTCTTGGTTAATTTTTCATTCCATTTATTCACGAGTCATTGTGCGTGATTTTTTTCATTTTCGGACTTGT